CAATAAAGATTATTCAACACACCATCACTATAATCATCCTTCCCGTTCCATCCATCCTCATGATACCAGTCCAGAAACGTCAGCGCCACAATGAATTCAGTTCAGCCCTACGCTCGCGAGGGCTTATCGGTCTTGCCAACGGACCTCGCCTATCCTCAATGCGAAGCTGATCCCCAAGAGCTGAGGAGGCCAACCCTGCCTACCCGTTGTGATAACTCTCCTGATCTTGCATGAAATCGCCAGTCGAGCCGTTTGTTCGTCTGCGAATTCTAGAATCGGACTTTGAGTAAAGAAGTTCGACCGCGTGGTACAGAGCAGCTGAGCTCGCAGTAGTCTAGATGCAGAAGTGCACTACGTTCAATCCGGACATTGACAGCGTCAACATTGCGCGGTATATACGACTGTTAGAGCAGTTGTTGCGGTCTAGAATGATGTAGAATAGATGGAATACTTGATGAATCCTTCTGCAACATAGCTCCGGTCCAGTAATCTGTAGCCTTGCTATCGTGAGGCGAGACGAGGCTTACAGTAGCGACAACGACGACGCGTCTAACAGTCCAATAATCACGTCCCTTACACGTCCATGGAATTTCCGCTTTCCGTTCTCTCTCTCCCTCGCCAAAAGCCACAACAATTATACTCTACGCTTGGGCTCGCCTTACGAATCATCATTCCATCTGCGCCACAAAAAAGCCCGAATGACCGTCCACTCACGGAACTCCCCTCCATCTTCACACTATCCTCACACATGATCCATCACGAACAACACAAAAACATACGCAAAACCGCACACCCCCATCGGCATCAAATACCGAGAATCCTGTCATTCCTGCTAAACTCCTCCGTTTTGCGGAGATGCCCATGTTATTTTAGTTCGCAGTGCTCATTGCTCCCCCAATCCGTCGTTGGCTTCGGAATGGAAACATGGTGTCGTCATTATAGTGAACCTGACTGACCGCTCATTCATGTAGTGAACCAAACTTTTTCTTTGCTTCTTCTTACCTGCTGGCTAATTCCAAACAAAGCCAACTCCGAGACCGACACCACTTTAGTGCGAGATGGTGATAGAAGAAGAAGAAGGGTTGTTAGAACACGGAACCGCGTTTCCCGCCCAATTAAAAACATGGCGAACCCATGTTTCTAACTAACTGAGACAGTTCCTTGTTCTTTGTCCTCTCTTGACCGCCTCGTCTCGCTTCGGCAGCAAGTCAAAACGCCTCGCGCAATTAGGCGGCGCAGGCCGCTAGGTAGCTAGCCTTGAGATCGAACCAAACTGTTCTTTACCACTGTATGCGGAAGAAGAGCAGTGTTCGGAAACGCGCCCCCCCTTTGCCCCCTCCCAGCGGGCCACCCTGCGGCCTGCTTTCGACCCTGTTGCACGTTATTGTGGCTTACATGTAAATGCGCCGCGCTGTGCGTAAGCGCCCATGCCATGCGCAATCATGTTCGATGCGGGGTATGCCTAATCCCTGTCTCGTTACTACACCACTACGACTTCCATCGCGATAATAACGCCCACGCCCACTTCTTCCCAGCCCCAAGACTCGGTTGTATTTTTGTTTGTTTGGTAGGGGGCAGGTATGTGTAGATCACGAGGCTTCACCACATCCCCCATGGATGAACCTAGACCGCTTGATGGCCTTGTTCGTTAAACTTGCCTCTTGTCTAGTTCCTCGCAAGAAAGAGAGAGAGAGAGTGATGAACCTTGAAGTAACAAGAAGCTATATCCTTACACCTCCATTTTACAAACCTTTATTATCGTTCGCGCGATATGCGATCATGTTCGCATGCAAATCATGCACTCTGCAATCACCCGACAGAACACCCAGAGTCATGTTCCAAGCACCATTTCAAATACGCAACCAGCCCAAACCCTAAATCCTAGCCCCGCCACTCACACTATACCCTTATCATAGGAGGGTATTGCGCGATGCAACAGCAAGCATACTCGTAGCTCGTTAAGAACGCGCAAGATGGTGTAAGAGCCGTTCGCAAGCGTTTGCGGTTTCTTGCTTGCGACAGGCCTACCAAGACCGAGGCGGTGCATTCTCGGGAGTTGCGGGACCCTGCCTTTCGTGATGGACGATCTGTGATCGGCACTGTCTACTGGTCTGCGCCTTTTTTTTTGACGTATGCAGTAGAGGGAAGGTGTATGGTTTTATGGTTTGCTGATCGCGACCCTGCGCTGATCGGTCGGACAAATTGCTCACATTGCACTACTTCGTACGAGAAGTTCAGAGTAAGAGCAAGAGCCAGTCGGATTAGCAATACGGCTTCTTGGTGAGGTAAGGCTGGCTGCTTTGTAGTGAACTCGCCACAAGGTAAGCATGATCAACGCAAACATCCGAGAGGCTGATTTGATGGGGTTGGATAGGCTACGCTGCGTCGCGTGTGAGACAAGAAACAACCTCGCGAGAAGCCGAATCAAGTCAGTCACCAACTAGCAACTGGAATGTATGTAACAGGTATATTGGACATGAAGATGAACAGGTTTGGTGGAGTCCAGTCAAGCATGCAGTCGGAGCGTCGGGCTTGGTAATGCAAATGTGGCCATAGGTTAGTGTATGAAACGATGAAACGCTCCTTTGAACAACGCGCTAGATCCTCAGTCTACGCCCGTTTCGAGCCCACTCTGAAGCTCGCGACGTTTGGTGTGGCACATCTTCTGTGGCCAACCGATCAATCACAGGGCGGGAGGGAGCGTCGTGGAGAACGCCGTGTGCGTGACTACGCAACGTGATGGGCTCGGAACAAGTGTATCGGAGGCATCCTGGTAGACGATTGAAATCGCGTCAAGAGGCAATATACTGCTCTGGCAGACATGTCTGACAATTGATAACATTCCCGACGCGCGTTGCGTTGCGTCGACACTCTTTGTATGTACAGCGCCGCATAGCCACAATATCCAACGTGACACTCGTGATGCATGGGAAGAAAGGGAGAAGAAGAAACTCAGTCGTTCATCCAAGCAGCCACACGGTTGCCGCCAAAACGTGCAGCGAACCGTAGACCAGTCGAGCCCATCGGGAAATACGAGACGATGTACCATAATAGACATACTAGTTGGGCAATAGCCGCAACAAAGGTGAGGATGGTACTGTGGAGCTAATCACGCGGACAACGTCAGTAAACACGAGCTAGTATGGAGACGATAATCGATAAGGGCTGGCGTGGGGGGCAGGTGGATGTTCGTTTTCGGGCAGCCATGACATGTACAAGGGTTGACATGTGCGCAGGGATCATATGTACTGGGGTAAGAACTTGAACCTACACCTAGGGAAAAGAACAGTGTGAGAGCGATGCTCCCAAAGTAAGCAGCCGTGAACGGAAGCCTCGGACCAGAGGTGAGGTGCTGGACTTGGTGGGAGTGTCAGCAACGGTGATGATGGTGGTTGGCTTAGGAATGAGGCTTGCTTACGGTATTGAATAGGGCCCATCAGGACACCCCAAGCTGCCAAAAAGAGAACGCTTCCCATGGACCATCTGCAATCAGGCCATGGTTGTTAGCGCTAACGTCATTCAGGTGATGTGCATACGACTTGGCAAGGTAGAGTCTGGACTAGACGTGAAGGCTGTCTGCACCCTGCAGCGCGCCGAACCTTGGACCCGCATGATCGCTACAAAGGGTCCAGTGCCGATCTTACGGTGGCTAGAGAGTCAAGCGACGCAATTCGTCCAGGTCAACGTCCGCAGTCGGTGAGCGGAAACATGCGATCCTTGGAGACATTGCAGATTGCATGAGTTCGCATAGCCGTGCCGAAGGACGCATACGGTATGTGCCAGTGCCTATCCGCCTTGTATGATCTCACCACTGGCGAGCAGGCTGCATGCAGGGCGTCCTTTTGACTGGATACGAGAGGCAACAGAGACAAGACGAGCTGAAAACTTACAAAATGGCAAACTTGCGTGGCCTGAGCAGGAAGACAGGCGTGAACATCAGGCCAATGCAGGTAGCAAACATTGCCAAGGCAGCGAGCAGCAGGCCGCCAAATACGAGCAGCCGGTCCCACCGACTCACTGCAGGTAGTGGTTAGCGCAATGAACATGAGTCAAGAAGGGAGGGAGAGGGCAGTGTGAAATGCGATGGTCCTGCATCCGAAGGTGGTAACGCAGGAACTCCCTTGCTGTCACATTGCCGGTCGTTGCGCGGCCGGGTTGGTGCAAAGGCAGACGGAAGGGCAGATGACACGTTGATGAGAGGAATTATGGATATTCTCCACAACTGGACAGATGCTCATTTCAAGAATGCCATATGATATCCAAGGACGGAAGACAAAGAACCATGGCTGTGCGGTGAGACTAGTCTCAGAACGTCGTCGTCTGATGACATCACGCGCCACAGCTGGAGTGTTGTAGTGCGCGGGCATATAGTGTGCGGGGGGAGTGGAGTGGATGTGCAAGGTGAAGGTGTTTTGCCACGGCATGTAATGGAAGACGTAGACTTACGCGCAAACCACCCCTCTTCCTCCTCTCGCCGAGAGGGCGCTGGGAGAGGGGCGCCCGGGTTGGTCTCTGTTATGGGGAGTCTGACATAGCCACCCTCGCCGAAGGGATTCAGGTTCTGTATGCGGCCCAGGAATGAGGGCGGCGCCGTGTTGACGGGGGCGGGTTCCTCTCTTCTACTCCAGCCGAGAGAGTTCATCGAGTCGCGGAACGAAGCGGAGGCCATGGTAAAGAATTAGGGTAAGGGTAGCAGTGAAGACGTGAGGTGCAAGCTTCGAGCCTTGGAAGCCGCAGCAGGCGACACAAAGATATGCGGGTCCAGGTAGCTGCCGTCGACCCTTGTCTAGCAGAGATTCAGGATGTGGCTGGAAGGGAGGGCACAGCTGCCTAGTGTCGATAAGTGTCGAACAGGATACAGCAGCGGTTTGTTCGATTCGGTGCAACTGCAACTACTGCGACAACGGACCGGAGGATTTCGTGCAGATGATCTGCCTGCGGTGTGGGAACAGGCGTCTCAGATAGGACGACGGATGGGCGAGGCTTGTGACGAGGCCGCGAAGGGTGCGGTAGGTGCGATGGCGACGCGAAAGGTGTAGCGGAAGGTGCGATGGGCCGGGGGCAGCACCGTGGCGGCGCTGATTGGTCGAGGGGAACAGTAAGGAACTCTCCGGGTGCTGGGTAGAGAGGGTTGGGCTGGTCGGTCGTATACGGTGACAGTAGTAGACTCAGTTCACATCAGTCAAGGTCGGCCGTCGCGTCGATTAGCGTCCTAGCGACTAGTGCGCGATCGTCTCCCGCTGCGACATGGCTAGTCGACGCTTTCAGGTAGACGCACACACACACCCACTCTCTCTCGGACACTTCGGCCAAGCCAGTCTAGCATGTCTCCCTAGACCTCGAGAATGAATGACGCTCGATACTGAGCCCGACTGTCCTTTAGTGAGTCACATTGCGCGCCCTCACCCAGCTTTGCTCCAAAACCGGGTAGCTGAGACATGATTACCTCGTCGTGACCAAAAGAGGCCACACCTTGCTCGCATGGTGGGCGCAGGACCGGGGTGGGCAACAGGCAGAGCCACACGCAGCGTAAGGCGGGTGAGCATGGCAAAAGAGCCGCCAGGTCGACTCGAGTGTATATTATGCTGCCGTGCCGCGTCCAATAATTCCTCTCCTGTCTAGTAGTCCCACTGCATGTCCGTCAGCATCTTCTCCAGACGTGGCCGACTTCTCCATACAATATATCTGCGGACCACTGCGGGCCGAGTTTCCTCCACAGCCGCCATCGCTGCCTCTGTACGCCGCCGCACGTCATCCCTTGCTGTCTCTCCGAACCACATAGCTTCCTCACTGCATCGCTAGCCGCGACTTGCTTTGCCGTACAGACGCCCCTCGCTGGCCTGCGATCCGCGGATAACAGGCTGATTCGCCATTGCCAATAGCTGCTTGGCGCAAGCGCTAGCAACACCATCCTCTCTGACCGCCTTCCGGCTTAGGGCCCTCCCACACCGACCAACTCGCTTCAGCTGCCCCGTCCTCGCTCTCAAGAGAGAGCCGCTGCAGCCAGCGGAATATCTTCAGCCTGTGCCGCATACAGACGCGCAGACTACAAGCACCGCAGCCCGCCTACCACGCTTCCTGGTCCACGGCTCCCAGCCCACATCCCACCCTTGATCCCTCCCCGCCATATACCCCGACATCCATCTCCATATCCCACCTCCGGTATTTTACCCACCACCACCCACGCCAGTCGCACAAACGAGTCGCCTCCATCTGTTCACTTCTCCACTCTCTGGACGACTGCCACGACGACCCTTCGCCCCTCACCTCGACAAACAAGACAAACTCCTTGCTCGCCCCACACTGATACACCAACACTACGACTACCCTCGACCACCAAGTTTGCTGTCCCCTCACCGGAGCAGCTAGCCGTTCGAGCGACCTCACTCCGTCTCTCCAGAACCGAGAGACCGAGTGTTGCAGGTGTCATTGCCATTGCGCCTTCCTCTCAATCGTGAGGTGAGTCAGCGCCCGGCTGCCCTTTCCTTTGCTGCTACTCTCCCTTCACCACCACTGCCACCACCACCACCACTCCTCGCTTCAGCCTGCATCGTCAACACCAGGTCTAGCCATACCGCGACCGTGTGCGACTGTTTCGCTGCTTTTGTCCTCTGTACCACCATCCCCACAGCGCCGGGCTGCAGCACGGCTGTCGTCCGCCGTCGCGCGCCTCGCGGGTTACCTACCTGTGCGCTACTTTGATGCACTCACCCCTTCAACCGCCCAACACTTCAGACTGCTGGACTGTGCGCTGACACATCCTTTCAGTTCGACTACAGAACCACAGCCACGAACGCTGCCGCTCATAGCCGTAGCAGGTTCCAGACCGGTGAGCGATAATTCCCGCCATATACCCGCAACGACGACTGTTGCATAAGAGCCATAGCGCTAACATCTTCTGCACAGACAAACAATAGCTTTCTGACCCAGATTAGAGGCTTGCTTGCACTGTCCTTGTGCTCATCAAATAGCAAGCATCTGCCAGGATCTTTAAAGGGACACAGAACGCCTCGTGCTGCAATCATCCTGCAAGCTTGCGAGTGAGTTCCTTAGTCACTTGCTTGGGCCGACGTCAGATCGTTTCAGATCCCACACTCGGCACCAGCATCGGCCCTCGGCCTCACACACCCACATTTCTGGAATACTGCAACCCACAGTAATGCCAAAGCCTAGTAAGTACGCCTTTGTGACATTCCCCGCTCTGCACTGTCATGAGAACGTCTGCCGAGTACACCCACATCTCCTATATCAACTCCTACCCCCACACTTCCTCTTTCGTCATTTCAAACGTCAATTTCTATCATGTACTACGAGACAATACTGACTGTCCCTCAAGCGGACGCTCTCTTCACTCCTCCCTCTTCCTACTCTCCTCAGAAGCCGATTGCAAGGCTGGACCTTGGCTTCGACTCTCCCTCTGACGACGTGCTAGACGCTGATATCTTCAACATGACTGGCACAGGATCACCTCAACCATACATTAAAGAAGAGGTCGACGAAATGTCGTTCAACAACCGCTTTTTGGGGCACAACGGCCTCGACATGAACCACCAATACGCTAACGCCCAGTTTTCTGGACATGAAAACGCCAATGGCATCAACCCCTCCGAGCTCAACATGAGCGGGAGCATGATGGGCAACCACTTTGGTACCAACAGTTACACGCAAGGCGGAGCTGGTATTGCCGACGACGAGCTTGCTGAATCTCTGGGCACTTTCGACCAGCAACCAGGCTTCAACAACTTTGCACAGGAGCAGGTTGGCCAGCAAGACTACTATCACAACCACACCAACAACACAAGCATGAACCAGATCTATTCCAACACACCGGACGACCTACCCATTCACAGCCCCTTCAACCATCCTGGCAACTTTGACTTCAACCAGTACCAATCAGTACCCCAGAGGATGAACTTCCCTGGCAGCATGCCGAGTGGATCCATGCGTCAGCGAATCACCATGAGCCGGACTGGTAGTGACAGCCGCGCTCCCATGTCACCCAAGACCCCTGCCATGGCCGGTCTCCACCTCGGCACTCCAGACTCTGGTAACTTCACTCAGCCAATCATGACCAACATGCATCGTCACCAGAAGAGCGTATCTAGCCAGTGGGATGGCACTCCTGGGAGTGCGCATTCATGGATCGACTCACCAACGGCATCGCCCCACACTGGTGGTCTGCACCACCAGCAGATCACCGATGTCTTGCACTCGGGCAAGCACAACTCACTCCCCGCCAAGGTCGACATTGGCCAGAACGCGGACGCAAAGAAGCGCCGACGTCGGGAGTCTCACAACTTGGTCGAGCGTCGACGACGCGACAATATCAATGAGCGTATTCACGACTTGTCCAGACTCGTACCCCAGCACCGTCTCGAGGACGAGAAGATCCGCAAGCACATCAACAACAATGGACCCCTGTCACCTACTATGGGAGCCAGCGGTATGTCGCCTCCACAAGCAACGTCACTTCTTGCTGGTGGCCAAGGAAGGCGGGCTGCTGGCAACATTACACAAGGACTGCCAATCGAGGAGAAGGACAAGGGACCAAACAAAGGAGACATTCTCAACGGCGCTGTTAGCTGGACTCGCGACCTCATGTGGATGCTGTCCAAGAAGATACAGGAGTGTGACGAGCTAGCCGCACGACTCCAACAAGCCACTGGCGAAGAGTGGGTCACTGAGCAGACGGAAGACGAGAAGCGCATGAAGACGGAAATCCTCGAAGCTCTTGAGAAGAATGGCTCTGGTACCTTCCGATACTCGCGAGGGCCAGGTTCCGGACTCCGAGTACCCAAGCACACCAACTTGGCCGGTGAGCCCCTTAGCGGCGTATCTCCACAAAGCCTGAGTCCAGGCATGCAGAGCACCGGTAGCGGTTCTGGATCCAACCAGCCACAGTACTGGACCAGCCTAAAAGAAGAGGATGAATACGGCATGGACATGGGCTGATCTGAAGCATGTCAGATAACCCAATTCTTCCGGTCTCCATATCTCTTTGTCGATTCCTTCACTATGATACCCCGCGATACCCCGCACCCGTTCCTGCATCTTGCTTGATGCATACGCTAGAGCTACATCAATGAGGCTAAAGGCGCCTCAGACCGGTGGACCATTCCTCGGCATATCATCGATCATCGCCCTTGAGCCTGCTCTCCGCATACCGTCTCTGCTGGCCAAGGACGGATGAAGCTTTCGCTTGCATCAAGCACTTCCCATCTCGTTGCATAATATGTTCTACCCCTCCGTGGCACATCATCACCCTGGCTTCCGCTCATCATCACCCGAGCCTAGCATATCCAACCGGAGCACAAAGGCCTTGGTCGCTCCGGTATTCGACACACACTCCGTACACGGCGGTCTCACCTGTCACAACAGCTGTGGCCACACCTTTCTGGCAGCTCTGACGACTCGCTTACCTTCTTCGTTTAGTCTTGTCTCATTTCGCATGCAAGTGGCGTTGCTTTATCTGCAGCTTTTGCACCTCATCACCCTTGTGCTTTTTTAATCATGGTTTTTTGGTTACAGGAAGGTACCTCGTTAGCATGGTCGGCGCGTTTTCGGATTGTTGGCGTTCTATGGTGTGGGGAATCGTGTTGCTGGAGGAGAGTAAGAGAATGATAGACATGCAGAAGACGTTCGGATAATGCTGGCTATGGATGATGGGGCCTGTGGAAATTCCTTGTTACTTGACGTTCTGTTACCTAGCTTATGGGCGCGTTATAGGTTGGTTGGTTCCAGCTTCAATTTTATCTCACATGTTTAAATATGGCTTTTTTTGACTTGTTCGAATGAAGTGAAACTGGTCGAGCCTCGCTGCACTTTGCCTTCTCCATCCAGCACACTAAAGCCAACCCTTGTTTCTGGCAGATTAGAGCTTCACAACGCCCATGATTTGCAATATAAGCAGGATGCCATTGACATTTGGCCCGCCCGCTCATACGAGAACACAAAACCGTGCTTCATTGGAACTACTCGGTCTCTTCCAAGCCCGCGGCGGGCGTAAACGCCACATCCAGACATGGAGAATTAGCGCTGGATCTTTGTAGTACAACGACGACGCTCGCTCGCTGGCTGGTTGGTTGGTCAGAAATAAGCAAAAAGGTTCAAGTCACACACCTGCATGCATAATTGCGCCATCTTCAACGGCTTGCTGCGGAACGGGCAAGGGGCAAAAGCAACTTCATGGCGGATCTTTACATATCCGAGCAAGTTTCCGAAGGGTTACTCCCTGTTGTGAGACTGGAGTGCTCGGTTATTTCGGGTGGTGGGGGAAGGAGGAGGAGAGGAGAGAAAGGTGTAGATTGTGAATGAATGGATGGTTAGGAGGGTATATGAGGAGATGGTAACATGGATACAAGAAACAGGATAGGTGGGTTGTATACATGTAGGCTGTGGGATGACTGTAAGCAAGAAAGAAAAAAAGAATAAGGGGAAAGGAGAGATGTGGAGATGGCAATGTAAGTTGGTGTTGGGAGGAGTTGAACTGAATTGAGAGTTTGTTTGTTTGCTATCGCTTGCTTGCCGCGGTTAACTGGTAAATCGAGCCTGTCGTAGAGTTCCCGTCATCCTCCTTCTTTGGAAAAGCCACAAAAAAGAAAACAAAAAATCACTAGTATCGACTACAACGATTTTCTCAATAACTTTTTTTTTCAGTGGTAATACGGTTACCTGCATATTCCCACCCCACAGTCTGCCGGCTGGTTGATTGATTGATTGATTGATTGAGGAGTAAGTCAGAATGCTAAAGGAGAGGGGGCGTCGAGTGTTGCTTTTGTTTTGATTGGTTGCGGGCCTGGAGGCCGTTTTCCTTTTCTCTCCACTATCTCTCTACCCCCTGTCCTGTATCTTTGGCACACAGACCGATCGTAGTGTTGTTGGGCGGGAAGAAAAAATAATGGTAAACTGGGTGATCTACCGGCAGGAAGCGGGGAGGGAGGGGGAGGGAGACAGGGTATATGGGAGAGGGGTGGATATATGTGATATGGACATTATTCACTTGCATACGCATGGGCGTGAGCATGGATTTGTTCGTTTGTATGTCGGTCATTGTCGGATTGCCATGGTTTCGGTTGGTGGGAACTTTTGCCGCGAGAGAGAGAGATTCTTTGCATCATGTGAGAAGACTTTCCCTCCTTCTTCCTCTTTCCTTCTTTTCCTCTTGGTACAATGGAAAGGTGGGGTTTTGTGATAGTTGGTGGCCTGTATGTAGCACAGAGAGACGCAACGACAGCATAATCCACCTCCTTTGGCGGATATCGCTACACGGCCAACTACGGCCATCATGGCGTGCCTAAGTTGTGTAGTAGCATTGAACGGGGCGGGGTGGAGGGGCGACGGAGGCGAGAGGAGGGGGGGTTGGTAGTACGATCGGTGTCCAGGGGCTTTTTCGGTTGATCAAGGACGGGGATTGTGACTGGGTGGTTACAATCGGTACTGACATCTGTTGTGTAACGTGCTTACGCATGCAGCGGTAATGGGTTGGGATTCTGTTAGTCGATAGTCGATAGTTGGCGTTGATAATGGGAAAAGCGATATAATAGTATATGCTATCATGCCGGTAATATTCGCGACCCTGGCTGCTGGTACTCAGGATGAGGGTTTTGGCATGTGAAAGAACTTTTACTCAACTTCCACATCGGGAACATCAACGCACCTTTGTCTTGAAACTGGAGTGCACGCATAGCAAGCCATATGCCGCATCGTACAATGTCTAAACGTCGAAACGCCATCCCGTCTCCCGCGCTCTTAGCAAAGTGCAAAAGCCCATGTGCCAACGATGTCACGGCGCGACCACTCAGTAGATGCGACCACACCGTTTCAAAGGAACTCGGTCATGTGTTGATTGAACGTCGCGCAACATGTCTCAGTGCGCGATCCGATAGCCGGGCATCGACAGGGAACAGGAGAGTAATGTTTAATACGAGTTGGTACTCGATGGATTGGCTCAAGTTATCGGCGGTGTTAGGTAACCAGCTGTACCACGGTTACACCCACCGATCCGTAGAGACTCTCCCTGGAGCTAGGCATCTAGGCTCTTGGGGGGATGACCCACAAGTCTCGGCTGTTAACCGTCACAGCATAATGACAGCAGATGGTGATCAACGAAGGTATAGTAATAGATTAGGAAACACACATGCATACACCACATCTGCTATTAATTGATGTAACAGTATGAGTTTTCTAGTAGCACATCAAAGTTATCCGGCAACTCCCAAACAGTGCTCAAATTGGACCCCATGGTCAATGTGAGCGCAAGTAAAATCCATCTTGAGATCTCTGGCCCGTAATAATGATACCACTTCTCTAGCACTTGCTTTCTGTCCTGCATTTCAGAGATTGCGGCCAAAGCTTCGACGGTCTTTAGGAGGTTTCTGATATCCCCCTCCTCGAATTCGCATTCATGTTTTCTTTTGAACCAGTCAAAGCAGTAACGGCCGAGCTCGGAATATATCATATCCCTCGGATCGCCGGAACCCCTGCTTGGGTGGAGACCTCGAACTGTGCGGCGATAGTCATCAACTAGTACCCTGATCGGTACTTCACGTTTCGTACATTCCCAAGCGTCATCATCATCCCATGCCATATCTAGCAATTCGACCATCGTTGACCAAATCTTCGAGGTCTTATCATATTGAGAGGAAAAGATAGGTTCGTCGCGGTCGAAGGCCCTCCAGGCCATGAGGTACGGCATTACTACTCGTTCATGGCCTGATGTCGTACATTTGAGTTGAATTGGAAATGAAGGATCCGGAACTAGGCCGGTGTTACTGGCTATTGCCTTGCAGAAATCAACGCTCGGAACCAAGGTACTGGCGAGAGGATGTGGGTCGTCGCTGTAGCGAACCTCGATGATAGGTAGATTGTCCTGGGAATTGGAGGAGACAGAGAAGATTGTATTGTGCACTAGAACAGCAGACGCTGAATGCTGAAAGTCCCGTGTGGAGACTCTAGATGCTAAGATACGGTAGACGTCGGTAGTTGGTATGCGAGCTAGAAACCGACGGTTTATGAAAGGGACAAGGCATATCGGCTTTCTCTCGCGCCGTATATCAGGGTCAAGTTCTTCAGGTTGGAATCTCTGGAGAAGCGTTGCCCAGCCGGATATGTCGTATGAGTCCATGAGCCGGGATGTGGGTAGGTTCTCATGAGAGAAATCTATTTGATGTAACCCTTCTTCGACGAACAGTCGAGTAGCGATCGAAATCGTAAATGAATCATTAGGTGAATCATACTTGGTACACAAATATGTTGCGTGCTGGGTCGCTGCAAATTCATCTTGTGTAGCGGGTTTCCGCATACTGGTCGTCTCCAGTAGGACTGCTATCACCCTTGTATCAATTATCATCCTATATATTTTGACATTCCACAGGGTTCATACGTTTTTTGGCTTCAGTGACTTTGACCCAACGCCGAATCTCACTGAACACAGAAACGAAATCAGGATCGTTTTCGTATTTAAACTTTGTCATGTCCGAGTGGTTCTTGTCGAGAGGTATGCTGTTCCAACCGGATAGTTTAGCAGATGCAGGCGAAACAACCTTTGACAATAGGTTAGACAATCACAAATGCTGGAACCATATCTGATACTTACATAGCCAACAAGAGGAACTTCCTTTTGCTCGTAGAAGCAAGTTATGTCGATGCGCTTGGGCTCTCTCGTCTTCAGCATCTTGGTGAAAGACTCATGTAGAATGGCCAAAACCTCCGAATCAGTTTTCAAGACAACCACGATTTCAACATTGACGTTGTGGACGACACTGAGAAATTTAGCTGATTTGCTTGCCCAGTTTGCAAGGCTATCAGCGCCAGCGTGAGGGGTACCCAAAAAAGCTATCGCAATAGTGCTCTCAACGATACTATAGAGATGAGAGCTAGCCGAAGCCTCGTTGGAAAGCGTGAGACACTGTGCATATGGTCAGTAAGGATCGCTTTGCAAACGATCGACAAAATGTTCTTGAAGACTTACACTTTGCAGGACTAGACCGCCCAGGCTATGCACTACAAATGCGATGGGCCGATCAGTCTAGTAGGCTTTCGTCAACATCCTCTTCGTAGTACTTGATATTGAGGACAGTTCACGTACCGAATCATCGAGAGAACGTTTCGCATAGAGGCCATTGAGCAGTGACTTTCCGTAGTCATGCACGCGCCCCTTGTTCACCATATCCCACCAGTGTATAACGTCTGCTGCATAGCCGAACCCAAGTATACGCACATTTGGTAGCAGAGGTGGAATAAAAGTCTTGGGCCATGGCGCGTCTCCCTTTTTGTTTCCATAAGTCCACGTACCCTCACGGGTACCAGTGATACCATGGACGAAGACAAGGCTTTAGTGCATCAGCATTTTTCCAAAGTGTAACGACATTGTAAGAACTTACTCTAGGACAATACTCTTAGGATCGGATGGAGCCCACCATTCTTGAATACCAGTGGGGAAGTCTTTGGTTGTCCGTGGTGGAGCAACCGATGGATTTGGTGATGGAGTACGCCCTCTGGATCTGGAGGACAGGATATTAAGCATTTGAGTCTGGTCAGCTGTTTGCTCAGAAGTGAGAGCGTCATTCTGATCTAAACCAGACGTGGACCCGTGCCTAGGGCTGCTTGAGCCTTTGCCGAAAAGCTTTTTGAATCTACCCATTATCACCGTCCTGTTGTTGTATTCTCTACGACAGCAATCATCGTGATTGTGCGGGGGAGCTCAACGAGGTAGCAACTTCAGCTTAACACCAGCTGAACAGTAGACCCACTTATCATGTACGTGAGTACGCCTCTATTCAGCCACTGACGCTTACCCCTCTTTGAGCACCAACCAATCGAAAAGCTTGGAAGATACTTTGAAGTCTCCAAACGCTTTCGAGTTGGCTATGCCAGTGAATTAAAGCCACACTCGTCGCCTTAGTCTGCTCAATCCGCGTTGTCGTTGTTGTGCTCGAAGTGAGGTTGCGCCGATGTACTTGGGTAAATTTCAATAATCAGCACAAAAGAAAGCTAGGCCGCGCTCCGAAATAGAGAGAGACGATTCGCTTGCTTTCGCAAGATAAGCCTTAGCCGCAGCATAGTGCGCTCGCTGGGTCAGCCTCACTGGGACTAGATCTTCCCACCTACGTTCGAGGCTGCGAGTACAAGTCGAGACGGCAAGCGCGGTAGCCCAGCAACTACACGCATAACGTCCTTAGACGCAGCTATGCAGTTGAACATTCGGCTTCCAGACGGAGTCATCTTGAACAGCTTCACTGTCTTTGACAATGAAACTATTGAGCAACTCAAGAAAAGGTTACAGCCGCGCGGTACGTACCTAGTTCCGTTTCATACAATCTCGAAAGAGCACCACTTATTAACCATAACACAGTCTGCAGGTCACCTGAGGAACAATGTCTGATCGCGAACGGACGGGTCCTTGACGACGCATGCACGGTTGACGTTACTGGACTTTCAGATGGGACAACGGTTCAGCTGATGCTCCATGATGGTCTCGTTAAAAGCAAAGGCCAGTCAGCCCCAGTATCGGTTGCAATCAATGATGAATCCTCGTTTGTCGTCCAAATTAAGGTCAGTTGAATACGGTCAGGATTTGGATCAATCTGATGGCTTTAGATTGGTGATAGCATTAGCCACGAACAAGAAGTTGCGGCTGGTGATCTCGTGTATAGCCTAAAACTAAAGATTGAACACGAGTTACGCAAGTCGCAGAGAAGGACAGTGCCATTTGGAAGGCAGATATTGCTATACGAGCAAGTAGAACTTCAAAACGGGCGGAAATTGAGACATTACAAGCTCGAAAACGGTGCAGTACTAGAGATGCAAGACAAAAGCCCACCTCAGACAGCTCAACAGGATGTAGAGGGTACACAAACAGTATTCGTCAAAACGCTTACGGGGTCAGTGCAACTCTCTGGGATGAAACACACCTTTCAGCTAAACTATATTGTAGGACTACTGTCTCACTAGTCCGGCTAAATCTCAGTACGACACTTGTTATCAAACTCAAGGAAGACATTCAAGATAGAACAGGTATTCCACCGGAGACACAGCGGTTGATATATGCGGGTAAGCAGTTGGAAGATGAACGGACATTGGGAGAGTATAACATCGAGAGTGAGAGTACCCTGCACATGGTGTTGCGCGTTCCAGGAGGAGGTGCGGTAGACTAGCAACACTAATCGCGAAGTGTGTTCGGACATAACGGTATACTGATGGTTCCTGCCAGTCGTCATTCTTCTGCATTCATCCTCTGCGTATGTTTAAATACTGCATGACAAGGTACTGCGACGACAGGACGACAGTAGTAATAAAGTGCGTGTTATTGCTATTCCGAATTGTCTTGAACGTAGCTGCGGGCGATAGTGAGATTGTCACGCGTCGCCGCGAGTGCGAAGAGTGAGCCATCCAACTGCCCAGCTCTACGTGGGATCACGACCATCTGCCCAGCCTCCCCACAATTTGTGGGCCATTGAGATATGGGGGTTTCTTTTCCTTTGATGAATATGCAAAGGTGAAGAATCAGAGTGTTGGCCTCATTTGCGCACCTGAGGTATGATTACTTCAGTTGTGCCTTGTCTTCGTCCGACTTGTTGCGGCCCGCGTGGAATCACCGCCATTCCCAGCTGCCACAGCACCTGTCCAGCCGTCATCTACATTTTTTATTCTACTCCACACTCCTGCATGTATTGACCCTTCATTTCATAGGAGATACCAGCCTCGTCGATCCCGTAACAGTGTCCAACCCCATGCCTCATCTCATGTGCCGACGAGTGGGACGCAGGGCGTCGTCTCGGTGTCGCCTATCGAATCCTGGGCCTCACTGCAGGGAGCGCATGGCAGGCATTCGTGGTGTTCGGGTGCATCGGCTTAGACGTTGAGGGTGCGCAACAAGAAGAGTGGAGACTGTATTCGCAATGGTAGCGTGAACTTGGTTCTTCGGATGCTACCGAAGTGATGACCATGAGGCTGCCACCCTCTTCACTCCAACAATATGCGGCATCTTGTACCCCACGAGGTCTACTTTTGCGACGTTTGGGACGAGGTGGTCGTGGGCTTTTTCGAGCCGGGGCCGTCACTGTCGTCACCGAAGCCTAGGTTTCTGAACGAATCAGGGGCCATGAGATTCCTGTAAGCACAAGAATGGTCAGTAATACGCTCATCAAATGCAAAAGAAGGCGCGGGACAAAAACGAGTGCATGCGACGCTTTCCGGGGGCTGTCGGGATAATCTGGTGGTGTGAGGAGACCGTTGTCTTATCCGTCGCTTGTTCTGGAACGAGTAACGGGAGGAAACGTATCGCAATATATGTAGTAGGAAGGCGTTGAACATTGCCTGAGAGAAGGTAGGCCTGGTGTACGTACCGGTCCATACGGCATGATAGGTATGATTTGGAGAGGTTGCGGCATTCGGGATCGTTAGTCCCGCGGTGGGATTTGATGCATCGGAGGTACGAGAGCATAATCTCTTTACATTCTCCTGAGAGGAGATGTCAGTATGTTGTGTGTCTCTATTGCGACGACGGATGGGGGCCGACGTAGGCGGGATGGGTAGGTAGGATGTGAAAGTTGAGGCTAGATTCGCGTACCGTCGTGGTCGAGAGGAAACGAGCCTCGCTCTGGCCTAGAACGGATTAAGAGTGAGCAAGAATTCACAGGATGATAGAAAGAGGCAGATATGTGCAGTGTGTCCCTCTGATGGCACAATGCGACTGGCGCGTTGAGGGAAGAACTCACGGATTTGGCCTGATGACCTTTTGACCAAGTCCAGCGCCTCCAAAGTTACTCATTTTGAGGTATTAAGCGATTGAAAAATGTAGTCGAGGATGTTTCGGGAGTCCGTGACGCGGTGGTCGAGTGCAATGGTCGTGGTGAAGAGTGGTGACTGTGGTGGAGTGAGCATTAGACAAACTTAGCGCCATTGGACTCGTTCGCTGGCCAGTGCTCTGCTTCCATCCTTGCAACCTCGGAATGACGCAACCACCATCGAACCTCAAGCACGTTATGGCTTGTCAAAGACGCGCTTCCATGTTCAATCAATTCATGCGTAGCTTACTCTCTGTTTGGAGTGCGTAGTACTAGGCTTTTAGGAATGACTGTCGCGAGAAGCCGGGTAGCAATCTCAGTTGACAGCGCTCACTTCTCGTCATCTTGTACGATACATACTCCATGAGGACGGAGAACGTGTCTTTGGGTCTGCTCGAGCCTGACTTGTATGGAAACAGTCATTGGGTATTTTTCGATCAATAACACATACTCATGGTTGGTCTGGTCATGCAAGCGCCAACGCGCGGTGGCGTCGTCGCCTGGGCAATGCGCAGGTGAGGGGTTGCGCCTTACTTTCACTCTACCACCATCGAACCAAGACTACAATACTATCTAGGGAAGCCCGACTCGCTGTTAAGCACGTCGCTAGTATGAGCGATGCTCATCAGACGCCCCGCCTGCCTCCTGTTACATTGAATACCTCTCAGTATTCATCAGAAGTTACGACCACGAGGCTGCCTACACCATCCCAACAGAGGTTTTGCGAGCCTTGCAGGGCTTTTCTCCGAGGAGATAGTACAAAATGCTTTGGTCCGGACAAATATGACCATAGTGAGAGTCTGGATCATGAGTACATTCATCATGTCGATGCGGAGTCTTTCCAGCGAGCTCTTGAGCTTCCTTGTAGCATATGTACTCGGCTCTACAAAGCATTCCAAAGAACCTCCGGTATAGTTGGCTTTATTAGAGCGTGTCATGACGGCTGACTTATTGTTAGAACGATCGGACCAGACCATTTATTTGACAGGGCCAACGCATTACTGTTGGTTAAATGACGACCTCAGTTTCCTGAGCCACTGTGGAACTGTTTGGCCTGGACTGGTACCATACGAATGTAAGAACAGTCATGTTTTGCATGTTTTCTATCTATCCAAGACTGACTCTAGAGTAAAGCAAGGCCTGACTTACATTATCAACATATCACTCAAAACACGGGTGATGCTAGAGCTCTTTCATTCTTGAAGGATCGGTACCACCAATGCCGAGAAAAGCATTCGCAATGTCAACGTATCGCACCCTATAATGATTACATGCCAACTAGAACCATATTTGTTGGATCTGCTGGGGAAGAAGAAGTACGCCTTTGCGATAGTGTCGAGATGATCGCCGGATCCGCCTACATTGTACTTTCACACTGCTGGGGCAAGAACCCGCAACATGTCATGCTGACAAAATCTACTGTGGAGATGCTCAAAGAAGGCATCGCTCTGTCTTCTCTGCCAAAAACTTTCCAGGACGCCATTGCAATAACACGGACATTCGGCATCCAATATATCTGGATTGATTCTCTGTAATGCCGCCGCATCTCTCTCTAGCCTCGCAGTCACTAACCATATAAAGGTGCATTTTTCAGGATGACTTACACGACTGGGCAGCTGAAGCTTCTCGTATGCGCGATGTTTACAGCAAGGCCGAACTCTGTATTGCAGCCACTGGCGCTGAAAATGGAGATGTTGGTCTTTTTCTTGATCGCGACACCGAACAAGTCACACCCGTCATGGTCGAGGCTACGTGGTCAAGGGAGCACTATTTATCACGCTGGCTAACCCCAGGTTTCTACCTGTTTGGCTTTAATCATGTCGAGGCTTATGAAGCCATCGATGCTGCGCCTCTAAATCAAAGGGCATGGGTTGCTCAAGAACGTTTTCTTTCTCCACGGATCTTGCATTTCACACAATCCCTGCTCTTCTGGGAGTGCCAAACATTTCTCACACACGAAAACGATGCAGTGTTGGAAAATCCAAACTTTCAAGAATTCCGGGGAATCAACTATCTCAGAGAGCAGCTCATTCAAGTTCAAAGGCCAAAATTCAGCGTTGGACCTATGCAGGATGTCACTCTTCCCAACACTACGCCAAGAGAGCTCTACAACGCGTGGTGGGAATTTCTGGCGGATTACACTTCATGCGGCATCACTAAAGAATCAGATATCCTGGTTGCGCTAGTTGGCGTAGCAGACCACGTTGGACATGCTACGAGCGATTGCCTGGTTGCTGGTCTCTGGAAAGCAAACTTCATCGAAGAGCTGTGTTGGCGTTCAGACGGTAATATCTCGAAGCCTAGCGTCTGGCGCGCACCAAGTTGGAGTTGGGCGAGCTTGTCAAGCCGTTGTGACAATTTTGCATACTCGAACGGCAATATCGATCATCAAATGGCAGCAGTAGTCGAACTCTATATATCGACAAAGCCTTCAGGAGAAGTAGAACAAGGCTCAGCCCTCGTGGAATGCAGACTCGTTCCAGCCGCTGTGCAGTATAGAGGACTGAAAGGTCACGATAGATACTACAACGCCTGCACCACTTTAGGCAAAAAGGTTTCGACCTCGTTCTCCGGAGAAACTTATATTAACAATGATGAGTTAATCAGCGTCCAGCTTGACGTTGCGGAAGCGCCTTCTTGCTACGCTGATCAAGCGGTCGACGTTCAACTGCTTGTGCTCTTGAAAAATGGGGACGGCTCTATGTATTGGATGACACTAGACGGAATCTGCGTAGTGGGCTCCAAAAAACAGGAGGGTGCTTTTGAAAGGGTTGGGTATTTTCACGCGAAAGGTGCAGCCGCGATGTTGTTGCTGGCAGCGTACCACCAAGCTCGGGTTCAAGCGATCTCACTTGTATAATCTGTTTTCTTATACCTCGATTGAATACTAGTATTTGTCTCGAAGACTCTGTTATATAGCTATTGTACCGTGTTAGGAGAGTTCGAGGAGGCGAGTTTGCAATGGACTTAGTCTCAGATGGGATTCAAGAATCCTCTACTGAGGCTTTACATTGCCTTAAGAGCAGTTCGAGCTGTGTCCCCGCTGGAGGGAGACTTGAAAAAAGCGCAGAGACCCAAAAGCTCAGGAAGAAGTGATTGGACGGTCGTACAGGAATGAGTTTTCTCCGTCTTGGCGGACCCCAGGTTTTACCCCACATTCCGACGATCAATACCAGCGCTCAACATAGGCAGGATAGCCGATACCCGATGGAGGAGTGACGTTGGAGGTTGTAGATCTATACCAGACTCAATACCGCGACCATGGCAAGTAAAGTCGGGCCGCACCAGTGCCGAACATAAAACATCATCCCGCAACAAATAAGTTTCCATTCCATTTTTCGGGACCACGGTCACTCTGCCAGTATGAGGTTTGATACACTCCTGCTTGGAGGCCTCTGCGCCGTATCAAATTTCCCATACGCCTCATCCGCACCGCGCGATGCTCGCTCTACTCAACATGTCCCGGAAGTCAAGAACCGCATATTCGTCCTCACAGACATTGGTAATGAACCCGACGACTCAATGTCTCTGGTCCGGCTACTCGTACACTCCAATCTCTACCAAATCGAAGGCTTAGTAGCAATAACCTCATTCTGGCTTCCCAATGCCACACTTCCTAACATGATCCACGACATCGTAGACGCATACGGAGCCGTCCAGTCAAACCTGCAATCGCACAGCAACACCTTCTTCCCAAAAGTCGACGACTTGAAAAGCAAGATTGGCACTGGACCCTCCGTCTACGGCATGCAAGCTTTACGTCAACTCGAACAAGGAGCAAACATCACAAACGGCACCCAAATGCTCATCAACGCCGTCGACGCTTCACCATCCCCACTATACGTACAGCTCTGGGGCGGAGCCAACACCCTCGCCTCCGCACTCTGGACCGTAAACCGCACTCGCTCAGCCTCAGAACTGGAAACATTTACCTCCAAACTCCGTGCCTACGCCATCTCAGATCAAGACGACACAGGCCCCTGGATCCGTCGCAATTTCCCTAGTATGCGGTACATTGCCTCGCGCCATGGATTCAACCAATACCCAGTCGCAGCGTGGATCGGCATGAGTTCCACATCCGTAGATCCAGGGGGTCCAGACAACGAAATCGTGTCGCAGGCGTGGCTCACGGAGAACATCCAAGTAGGCGAGCTAGGCAAAAAATATCCCGACGTCGCGTATCTGATGGAAGGTGACTCGCCCAGTTTGCTCTACCATATTCCCAACGGCCTGGGAAACCCCGAGTACCCGGAGTGGGGCAGCTGGGGTGGGAGGTACACGAGTAATCCGCTTGATGGCGATGCAGCTGCGCAGCAGTACGGCGATGCTGTGGACATGGCACAAGGTGTGAACGGCGAGATGTTCCTTACGAACCACGCGTCGGTGTGGAGGTGGCGCGATGCGTTCCAGCATGAGTTTGCTGCTAGAATGCAGTGGACGCTCAGCCCTTGGAGTCCTGGTTCTAATACCACGCATCCGCCCGTTGTGTTGCTGAATGGAACGTCTGGCCCGGATGCGTTGCATCTCAACGTCAGTGGTGGGGAAAAGGTGACGCTGGATGCTTCGGATTCTTACTCGCCGGATGGGGGCGCGAGTCTGAATTTCACTTGGTTCCAATATTCGGGTCCGTCTTCATACCAATCCTCGCCAAGCGATGTCCCTACGGTCAACTTGACGGATGTCACTGGGCCGGATGCGAGCGTCGTGCGTTTCACAGTGCCCTACGGAATGTACGATACATGCGTCGCCGACGAGGATGTGACTGAATTCGGTCAGTGGGGGGAGAAGCAGAAATGTCCGATTCTACATGTCGTCGTTGCTGTAAAGGATGTAAGCGCGGCGCACCCAATCACCAGATATAGGCGAGTGCTGTTACATGTGCAGCCCTACAGTCAAAAAGAAAAACGCTGAAAAATTTGTGTACTGGTAAGCAGCCCTTGGTAGAGGATTATATCGGTGGGTTAGCTTTTGCCTGCGTCTTTCTCTACCGGAACGAACATGAATAAAGTGGAACAAGGAATTTCTGCACAGCTTGATTAGAAATCTACACTGATCCAACTACGGTAGTCATGCAATATCAAGGCATGATACTAGGCCTCAGAATGACCTGCCTCCCAATCCCTGTGTGCTTACTCGCCCGATCAAAAGCCGTTTCCCAGTCGTCCAGTCCAAAGCTTTCAGTTTCAACAAACGTCCCAGTTCTGGGGAACAACCCTCGTTCAAGCATCTTGACCATTTGCACAAGATCGCTTCGTTCGTACATCAGCTTACCCTTTAGCGTAATGTTACACCCAACGCAATGCCACGGAGCGACTGGTTGATCAACAAAGCCCATTAAACTGGCCCTCCCGTTTCGACGAAGCGCACTCGTTGCAGCCCTAAGATGGGTCGACTTGGAAGCTTGCAGCGGTGTGAAATCCTGCACGGCATCGATGACACCGAAGCTCTGGAGCGTCTTTAGTTCCGTAGCCTCGTCTCCGGTGATCTTCACAGTCTCGATCGAAGCACCTGGGGTACCCTTGAGCACATGCTCTTTCAGTCTCGCAAGCTCTTCTTCGTTGCGGCCCATGGCGATGACTTTTGCGCCCATGGCAATCGCTACCTGCACGCCCGCGCCACCATATCCGCCTGTTGAAGGACACACGACGATGGTCTCTCCAGGCTCGAGTCTGATGTCTCGTAGTCCGCCAAAAGGGACCATAAGATACCCGATGTACATGAGATCTTCGATTGAGTAGCCCAGGTCCTGGCATAAGATGGTTTCGTTCATAATAATGCAGTTCTCGAGCGGAAACTTTGCGTATTCAGCGAATACCCCATCGCGCCAGACATCTCGCATCAGCTTCTTACTACCTTCTGCACCGCTGTCGTGAACTGCAGATAGGAAGAGCGTATCTGGATCATCTCGCGCATGGACTACGCAATCAACATAGACAAGTTGACCCTCGGTGAGAGTCGTGGCATCGGGTCCAACGGCTGCGATCCGTCCGATCGCACTGCCCCCACCAACTATAGGTGTTGGGAAAGAGTAGTGGCGTTCGCCGTTGTAGATTTCGCGGTGGTAGGAGAGGATCTTGCCGGCTTCGATGCGGACGATGGCGCTTCCTGGGTCGGCCTTGAGCATTGGCTTCTCGACAATCTGGAGGCCCGTATCGACACTGTCGACCTGCAGTGCGCGGTAGGTGGCAGGTAGATGAGTTGCCATAGTTGGAGAAGTGATTCAGGCTGGTTGTGCAGGCTTGGAGGTAGCAATATGGTCTTTGAATCGACGCCTTCTTATACTGTTGCGAACAATCGTCACAGGAGATTGAGTCGACGACTTGACGGATATAGAGTCAGCCGTATGCATTGTGAGACGAACTGTGACGGAGATAGACGGAGTTATGGGTGATGCCAAGGGCGATGTGATTCCAAAGTACCATGCTGCTCGGTCCTTGTGCGGACAAGCCGGAGAACATAGTCGGTCGTCGGAGATCGAAAGAAAAGCACACTTGACCCATGCGTAGATAGACCCGATACGTCAGTTCACTATCTTCCATTTGCATACAAAAACGTCTTCAGACAACATGTTGTCTGAGTAGACCATGGCCAGGCACCAAGACGGCCTTAGAATACAGCTTCTTCTTTGAATACCATGGACAGTACAGCCGAGCCGCGTTGCAGATCTTACCGCATTCAGGGGGTTATGCCATCTTCTGTCTCAGCGGGTCTATGAAGGTGAAGTTGTACGCCCTCACCGAACCCATTCAGAGAGAAGACCCCCAATGACCCTTCCGGCCTCCTCCTCCTCCTCATCCACCCATAGATTCCATATCCTATCTCAATAGCTTTGCAAAGGCAAAGTTGTAATCCCCCTACTAGGCTCGTTTAGAAAACAGGCACGTTCAGTTCATCATGTCGATAGTTCCAGTGAGTCAGTCACTCTGACAGCCAACCTTATCTGATGTTTGCCGTCCACTTGATCACATTCAACCTTCACCTGCATACTATACTATCAACTGATGGGTTTGGAGCACGAGGTGTCGCAAGTCGTCGCTGTATGCCTTAGGCAACCTACGCTAAACCCCTCCCGTTCGAAGGATCATGAAGGCCTTGACAAGTTCATTTCCCAGACAAATGAATAGGCAGAAAAACGGTAGACTAATCCACAAGTGACTCTGCATGGTCAGTCTTAGCCGTAGTTTATGGGCCTTATCCATGGGGTTGACGAGAATACAAGAGGGTTGGGCGGGAGCGCTCTCGAAGTGTCTTGTTTTTCTCTTTTTTGGTTGTTCAACTTCTCGCATCTCAAGTCCTTCTTTTTTTTTTTTTTAGCGATTTTCCCAGTTCTGTTGATCAACTAATACCTTCAACTGGAAGAATCTCCGACATGCAGGCCCTACTATCCTTTACCTCACTCTCCCTCCTCGTCTTGCCAACAGTCGCGATGACCGGCATGGTCGGAACGTGCTACTTCGCCAACGGAACAGCGCTCCCCGTAGATCCAATCTACAACCAATACCAACCGTGTCAGTCTGGCGGCCCTTCAACGATATGCTGTGGCATCTTCCGTGACAATGTCGCTGGAGGCAACATTACGGCTGGCGACACAACGGACGAATGTCTGCCCAACGGCCTGTGCCAGAACCGAGCAACAACGACAGATGGGGTGGAAGAAACAAAGTAAGCAGAGTCGATGACATGAGTGCTACAGAACGACGGTTGACACTAATGCCCCGTCCAGATTCTTCGTTGATTTCTGCGCCGACGACAACATAGACAGTCCCAACTGTCTCAACGTCTGCGACCAAGTACGAGATTCCTTCGGCATTGCACGTATAACGCCCTGCGACAACGGACGAGCCGATAGCGATCGATGGTGTTGTGGCGATAGCACGGCTTGCTGTACGAGTAACGTTGGAGTGGTGAAGTTGCCACAAATGATGGGAGCTGCAGTATCGTCAAGTCGAGCGGGTCTGCCAACTACAGCACCGGTTTCCAAAGTATCGTCAGCATCGACAGTCTCAACTCCTACGACGGGGACGGAGGCACCAAGCAAGACACCATCTGCTGCGGTGGGGAATACTGGAGAAGATCCTAGCGTCACTGGAGGCGTGATTGCGGGCATTGTCATCAGCGGTGTCATAGGGCTGGCTCTGCTGGCAGCCGCCGTCTTCTTCGCAAGGAGGGCGTCCAAGTATAAGAGAGAGGCAGCGGCATCGAAATACGCTCAAGGCATAGCTGGATGCTTGCCCCAAAATCCGGATCAGGGACAAATGTCAGATTATCAAAAGTATATGCACGACAGCCAGCACACCTACAGTTCCGCTCAGCCGTCTGAACTACCACCGGCACCACCAAGCGAGCTTCCTTCATATCAATCGCCTCCTCCAGGAACTACACTGCCGCAACGATGAGGGGAGATGCACAATCCGTGGGGATGGTGGAGTTGCTTGTGGGTCGATCTGGGCGTGGAAGAGGAGACATGTCGTCGAGGCGCGTGAGGCATTAACGCAGGTGTCCGTTTTCCGCGGGTTTCTGGGCCTGCACGCGAAGCCTACGCAAGACGACCGTCCTGTCGGAACTGTATATGCACTTGACTAACATTGATGCGGGGCTGTTGAGAGAGGTTGAATGTAGCCAGAAGCACACGGGACGGCCTTTCTTTTATCGGCCACGGGCATACACAAGTGCTGGCTTACCTTGTTTACTCACACAGTACACGGGACTGCGGCTCCGCTTAATCGAATGTAACCCCAAGGTCGATTCTCTTGTGTGTAGAATGTGAGGAAGTTTAGAATAGACAGCATTCTGACTCGTATAAACGGATTTTGACAATTGGCATGACGAAAGTGGATCCACCTAGACGTCTGCGCGGTGCGCTCCGCGATGCATGAACGTGTGGGATTCGTCGCGGCATTGGTTGAGGTGCATAAGCGAGTGGCAGCGAAAACGGTGATGTTCACATGTCAGAGCATGTTGACGCCATGTTGCGTTATGCGCGCAGGCGAAGACGAAATGCATTATCGATGAGGGCAGGCGGCAGGACGCGGGGATGGAGGGAAGTCCTAGAGGGAAACCTAATTGAGACATGGGAAGCACGGAACAGGAAAGGATGAATCTTGTTGCGACGGGTTTAGCGGCCGGTGACGTACCGAGCTGGGTCTCGATTCACGGTTCTCAGCAGAAAATTTCCCAATTGCAGCGCCCCATGCTTTCCGACAAGCCGCGCAACCCTTGTAACTGACCGTCTTTGACTATCATGTCTGGTGTCCGAGGAAGCTTCTTTGATTGTCACCTCCGTCGCGTCGAGGCATTGTTATATCCGCCTCCAGCTGTGTTTAGCGGCCGGTAGTCCCTTACTGCCCACCTCTCCACTTATCTCTGCTTGGGCCTGGGGATGCTTCGCTGAGTTTTGATTGTTTCCTAGAATTGTTCTTAATCAGGCGCCATGCCGTCACGTCTGTTCTCTCGCGACTCGCCCGCCGCAGAGCAACAGCTTCCCTTCACCAGCGACAGCGTCAACGAAGCCGACTTCGCCCAGGATCCGTCGCAGGCTGAGCATGGCGGACACTCGCTTCCGCGCCGGATAAGAGGGGGTTCAATCGCCTCCGGGCCCCTCTCTGGATCGTATACGCGCAATCCTATCCGCTCGTTTGCGCATCAGACGTCGCATGGCTTCGCCGCCGATACCCCACAGTACTCGTCGCAAGGCGTGCGCGAGAGAAGCTCCCAGTTGGCCTCGTATGCCCTCGAAGCCGAAGACTACCAAGACAGACCGCCCTTGTCTGACAACGACGAGGGGCGCGGGTCGATAGACACGGGTCGATGGACCGACACCATCGAGGAGGATAGCGAGGCCGAAACGCCCGACACGGTCATCGGGCCCCAGCAGGACAAGAGCTTCTTCAGCCCCAAGCCGGCAAACTCACACGTGCCTGGCGTCGTCGTCGAGGATACTGAGCGGACCCCTCTGCTCCCCCAAACTAGGCTGTCGCGCGGGGGCCCCCAACAAAAGCAGAAGGCACAGGAGAGCCACTCGTGGACACCACAGTCAAAGTTGCGCTTGCCTCAACGCGTCAAGCATACGTTTGCTGCTGGCCGCCAACACATTCTGGGAGTGGGCCAGTCGCTCACAAACCCAAAGAACTACACCACGGATGCCCTCATTTCCAGCGCTCTCGGCACCGTTCAAATCACATCGGCCGTCTTCCTTGGACTCCTCCTGAACCTCTTGGACGCCTTGTCCTATGGCTATATTCTGTTTCCGCTGGGCGCGCCCATCTTCAGCAACACCGGCCCGGATGGCATCTCCATCTTCTTCGTCAGCTGCATCGTATCGCAGCTCTGCTACTCCTTGGGACTCTCCGTGTTCAAGGGCGGTGTTGGCTCTGAGATGATCGAGGTGGTGCCCTTCTTCCACAAGATGGCATACTCCATCATGGAGCAGATGGAAGGCAAGCCACCAGAGGCCATCATAGCCACTACCATTGTGTCCTACTGCTTGAGCTCCATTTTAACCGGTCTCATATTCCTTGCCCTCGGCGCTTTCAAGCTAGGCAATCTCGTCAGCTTCTTTCCAAGGCACATTCTGATCGGCTGCATCGGAGGTGTTGGCTTCTTCCTCGTCGTTACTGGCATCGAGGTTTCCGCGCGTCTCGAGGGCAATCTCAACTACGATCTCCCTACCCTGCAGAAGCTGTTCTCTGGAGACACCTGGTATCTGTGGACACTGCCTCTTGCTCTTGCCATCACCATCATGGTCCTACGGCGCCTGTCCAAGAGCCCATTCGTTCTACCCGCATTCTTCATCACTGTATTTGCTGTCTTTTACCTCATCGTCAAGGGCATCCTACACAAGGACCTCGAGCCTGTACGCAACGCAGGTTGGATCTTTGAGACACCCGAAGCGGGCGTCAAGTTTTACAGATTCTATTCTTACTTCAAGTTCGGCAGCATAGATGGAGCGGCACTTGCCAGCACTATCCCGACCATGTTCGCTCTCTCCTTCTTCGGTATCATCCATGTTCCTATCAACGTCCCCGCTCTAGGTGCTGCGGTGCGAGAGGACAACCTTGATGTCAACCGGGAACTGATCGCCCACGGCATCTCAAACACTCTCTCCGGTTGCCTCGGTAGTATTCAGGTAGGACTGTCTTGAAATGCTATACGACGATTGCTAACATGTTGTTAGAACTACCTAGTCTACGCCAACAGCGTCATGTTTGTTGACAACGGAGGGAACAGCCGACTCGCAGGCATCTTGCTTGCCTGTGCGACAACTGCAGTCTGGGTTGCGGGGCCAGCCATGGTCGGCTACATCCCCATCTGCCTGGTCGGCGCGCTAATCTTCCTCCTCGGTATCGATCTTATGAAAGAAGCTCTTTGGGATACTTTCGGAAAGTGTCACAAACTCGAGTACTTGACCATCGTGGCCATTGTACTCATCATGGGCGTGCACGATTTTGTTGTTGGCATCTTTGTGGGTATCGTCCTTGCATGCGTCAGCTACGTGGTGCAGAGCTCGCGCCACTCAGCTATTCGAGGAACATACAGCGGCATGATTGCAGAATCCACTGTTCGACGCCCGCGCTCAGATTCTCGCTATCTCAACAAGGTGCGAGGTCAAATCCGCGCCATCAAGCTAGGCGGTTTCCTGTTCTTTGGAACCATTGTCTCCGTGGAAGAGTACATGCGCTCATTGATTGACGACGACAACTTTGAAAAGAACCCCATCAGCTTCATCATTGTCGACTTTACAAACGTCATGGACGTCGACTTTTCCAGCTCGGAGGGATTCCAACGAATCAATCGTATCTTAAACACCAAGAACGTCAAAATGATCATCTCCGGCGTCTCCTTTGCCGATCCCGTCGGTCGCGCCCTCCAAAACGTTGGTCTGCTCGACGAAGATGGCGATGAAGAGTGTCCTCCACCACAAGTCTTCGAGGACCTAAATACGGCGCTTGAGTCTTGTGAGAACGAGCTACTAGAAGTCTTCCACAAGCACTGGAATCGCCACTCGTCAAAATCCCAAACAACACCGCCGATGAGTATATCCGGTAATGGCAAATCAAGCAACGAACCCATCGCGACAGGCGGCTCCCCCACATCCTTTGGCGCCAGCTCCCTTAACCCTGTCTTCTCCTCCCCACGCCGCGGCGCCCGCCTCATCGCCGCCCGCTCCACCATGCGCGAGTCTGGCGAAGATTCTCTCTCCATAGTAGACAACTCGTCGCTCAACACCAATAGCAACAACAATCAACCCAGCCAAGCAGTAGCAGCCCCCTCGCGCTGGCGCAACTTTGCCCAGCCCCTCAAAATCATCCTCCAAACTTTCGAAGACGTGTCCACCAAGAACGAAGACTTTTGGCACGCCGTAGCACCGTACTTTGAGCGCAAAGAATACCCCGCGGGCACCGTCTTGTACTCGCGCGGCGACGACCCAGACGGCTTCTACGTCCTCGAGCAAGGTCGTCTGCGCACAGAGTACGAGCTCGATCAGGGTAGCTTCTTTGAAGTCATCTTGCCGGGGACAACGTGTGGTGAATTGCCCTTTTTCAGCGAAACCGATCGCACGGGGACGGTGGCGGCGGAGAATGATAGTGTGGCGTGGCTCTTGACGAGGGACAGGTATAATGAGTTGGAGAGGAGGGAGAAGGAGGTTGCGACTGAGTTGTTGAAGGTGGGGCTCAAGTTGACTAAGGAGAGGATGGATGCTATTACTAGTTATGTGCTTGTTACTGCATCTTGAGATGGGGAGTGGAGGGGGCTGGTGGTGTGGGACGATGGATGATGAGATGAGGGAGGAAATGTCTAGAGAGAGAGAGTACGTGTGCTAGATGTATTGGAGGGATTTTATCTTGTTGCATAGCGTGTGGTTGTCTGTTTTTGTCGTTTGATATATACCACGGTGACGATTCGCTTCTTTTTCTTCCCCTTCATCTTTTCTCGCTTTTGCTATTGAACAATATGCAGCCCGTTTCCATTCTTGAGCGCTAGGACTGTTGGTCGTGTTGAATTCGAGAGTACAATCTTGATGTGTAACTGGGACAAGCCATGTTGCCGTTAACAGAAGAGAAGGGGAAAACAACATGTAACAAAATATGAGGTTGGTGCCCTAACTAGCGTCACTAACAATCTGGCTAGACTTTCCTTCCTGCCGCGCCCAAAAAAAGTCATCTAACCTAGATGTGCCCACTCACTCATGGAAGGGAAAAAAAATTACAAAAAGAATAGACACAATGTTCTAGCTGCTGCTCGTTTCGATCGAGCGTCCTCCGGGTTATGAGCCCGGCGCGCTTCCGCTGCGCCAAGCAGCTTTGATGAACAGTTGTTATTGGTGTTCGATGACATTTTGGAAAATTAGATGGTAAACAATTGAAGATATTTACTACTGCAGCAGTCGATTATCCCACGTACAGATCTTGTCCATTGATGTGTTCATTGAATAGCGGTGTAGAAACGATCGTAAGTGGGTAAGCAAGAGGGGGTGCGTGGGCGAAAGTAAAATTCGATAGTAGACGTGAGTCATGTTCCAAAACAACCAGCTTCCCTAGCCCACGACAACAAAAGTTAATCTCGTGTAATAGAAAGCTGGGGTACGCGTTCAAGGTTAGACATATACATACAACAACAACAACAACAACAATAACAATAACAACAACAATGTTTTGCTGTCTCACGTAGTCATGATAATGTTGGTAATGGAAGAATAACAGACTTGACTACTCTCAACATCTGCAAAATTTAGAAACACTTTGGTCTTATTACGAGAAATCTAGAATTGCCAATCTGACCACAAAGGAAAATGGTATCCCTAAGCTGAAAAAAAAAGATTCAAACGCCCTCTGCAAGTTCAACATGAGCAAAGACGAGAAGTAGTAGAAGAAGAGGAAGAGGAACCTCAATAGCCTTCTTCTTCTTCTTCTTCTTCTTCTTCTTCTTCTTCTTCTTCTTCTTCTCCAACACCATCTTCCCCAACACAACCAACATCACACCCCCCTCGCCTCACACAAATGCCCACTCTTACTCAACACCGTCCCCAACCCCCTATGCACCTCGACCTGAAACCCTTCAAACGGCACCCTCTCCCCATCAATACTAATATACCCATCCTTCTGATTCTTAGGAATAATCCTATACGCGCTCACTTTGGTATAATCCACATGTTCCAGATCAAAAAACGTGTGATTTTCAATCGCAAGCAGCGTCTTGATAGCGGTATGCCGCGCAATATCGCCACGGATACGAATCAGATCTAGACAGCCGTCTGACGGCAAGGTAGCCGGAAAAAAGTTCGCGTCGGCAGACATGTATGCAATGTTGCCCGCGTAAAAGTTTCCAAGCGTGTTGTGCGGGATGAGTTGCCAACCAGCGGGCAAAGGGTCGTTCGCGGTCCCATATTTCAGGGCTGGAAGACCGGTATCGGGCGTAGGCACAATGCGCTCATCATCGGAACTGGGCGGTGGTTTACTCGCCTCGTTCTGATACGCTTCCCGCACGGCAGTCTTGTTGTCGTATTCGACTTTGACCGCGATATCAGCCGGATAACACGTCTTGCTCACAAGACGGACCAAAAACCCCCAGGTAAACCTCGCTGCACCCATCCACCTCAGATGCTCCGTCGCCAGATCCGTCTCGGCCACGATACCCACCGCCTGCGAGAGGAACGACAGCGTGCGGCGGTCTCCCTGCGTCACGCTCGACAAATCGAGCGGCGTGCGGATCCCCTTTACGACAGCCAGCGCCGCGAGACTGGGGTCGTCGGTGCCGTTGAAATTGAGGCTCATGGCGTTGCCAGAGCCGCAGGGGAGCTGCGCGACGGCCATCTTGTGCAGCGCGCGTGCAGCGTCTGCGCGCTTGCCCAGCCCGTTCCACACTTCGTGCGGGATGCCGTCGCCCGAGCAGCACGCGACGACATCGTACGCTTCAATGTCGAGGCTCTGTGCAATCTCTACGCCATGCCCGTTGTGTGTCGTCTTCTCGACGTCGAGGTCGCACCGCGCGGCCGCCAGGATGGGCGCAATCTGCTTGTGGTAGGTTTTGACGGCGCCGCCTTGTCCGCCAAAAGGGTTGACGAGTACTTTGATTCGCTTGCGTCGCTGCGAGGGCCCGTAGGCGCGCGAGAGTAGCTTCTCTATCCAAGCTTCCGTCAAGCGACTGTCGGGTTTGTCCAGGGCGTAACTAACGATTGCGGGACGCACGGCTTTCTTGGACAGGGTCTGCGCATATTGTATCGTGACCTGGCCGTCCTCGGAGTGCTCGGCCCAGAGGATGTTGTAAAAGGGTATGGAACGAGTGGATTTGTTCTCTGCGGTTGCGTAAGCGGGGACTGGGCCGTCTGCATCTTGTCCGCATATGCTTACTGCCAGCAAGAGACAGGCTGCAGCAGCCGGCGCTTTTACTCTCTAGAAGCGCTTCATCTGTACCCGCGTGAGTCGCGTATTCGCAGGCCGTGGTTGGCGCTGCGTACCTAGGACAATGAGGGAATCGGTTCCAAGAGTCAAGGAAGCATTTCTGCCAACAGCGAGTGTGTCAGGGACGTTGAGCGACGGATTCGCATTCATGGGCGGCTGCGAAGGAGTGGAATCAAGCAGAGGGTCTCGAAAGGGATCGTCGGTACCAGCCATCGAGGCCATGATTATTGTAAAGTGTCAAGAGAAGACGACGCACAGCATGCTGTGCAAGGCAACAAGGACCAGGAAGCAAACGTCGAGATTAGTAGACAACGAGGTAAGCTGACCACCGTCACGCTTCATGCGTACGTGCCCTGCGCTGCAAGGGCGGATCCTTGCGGATCACTCGTGCTAAACAAAAAGGAAAAAGACCCGCTGGAACCTGCGCGCGGGACGCGAGCCGAGGCATCTCCAGCTCCACCACCCATGCATGCAGACTAGACATCAAGCCAATAAACCTCATTCACATGACAATCCGAATTGAGATCTTGAATTCTTATGTCTTCAATACATGCAGCAATGCTAAATTAGCATTCACCCTATCCATCATGTCTTTGCTTCAACGCGCCCAAATGCAACACTCCAGGACTAAAAGCCAAGCGAGAAGCCTTCCTTTTTGTTACCCTTTCTTTAGGAACAAAACGCCCATCTCCCGTTACCCCGGACGAGTAGTAAGTGCTTTTTAGCCGGGAACTCATGCCACACCAACCTTATTCAGACCCTTCAACGATCCCAAGCTCAATGCCAAGCCTTGGGAGCGACTTCTTATGCGGACGAACCCGGTGATGGGACCACTGTCGCCTTCCTTCTCGATGCTCAAGTTGGCCAGAGCGTCCTCACCTTGTTTCTGTTAGCGGCGCAAGTCTAGGGTCGGGCTGTGCAGGCTTACCGAAAACACTCCTGGCATACAAGTTGGCTGACAAGAACTGGCAGTCGCCCTTCATCGATGCTTCTGGAGTCAAGCAGCTCATATTGGTACATGCCATGAGTTGCTTCAAGAAATCACGTAGCGTCTTGGCCTTGGAGTTGATGTTGACCTTGTTCTCCCACTCAAACTCGGTCCACATGGTCCGGAATTGCGTTTCTGTGCATTGCGCGGGCTTGATGTAGTCCATAATGTCGACGTGGACGTCATTGAGAATGACAACGTTGGAGTCGACACCCTTCTCACTGCGACATGTTAGCAATTATTGTAGACTGTCGAGGTGAATGACTGACCCTTCGTAGATGATGTTTCCAAAGATGACACCAGTGTCGGTAGATGAGACTGCAAAAGTAAGCATATGAGTCGACACACGCTCATGGAGAAAGACTTACCCTTAATCGTCGCTTGGATGTTGATGAAGTCGTGGGGTCCAACGTTCTGCGTTGAAGGGCGCTCGACTACCTTGAGATCACCGAGTGTTGCGAATTCGATAGTGAGGTTTTGTAATGTCTCAGTTGTCTGGTTCACGAGAAGAACATCGAGAACGATATCGAATTGGTGAACCTGGTAAAGTCAGCAAACAGTCTCGGTAAGTATAGATTGACGCACCTTGACATAGGCTTCTGCGTAGACTGAGTCTGAGAAACCAGTCAACTGTACGACGCGACTGAGTTTGGATGTGAGATCCTCAGTCGCAGTGTCGCCTCCAGTGGCGAGTTCTAGATCTTGCTCGACACCGTCACTGCCATCCGCGTCCTTCTTCTTTAACTGGCGGATGTTGAAAGAGTCATCAACGTTGACAGCCGACTTTGCACGCTCGGAAGCCTCCTTGGCTGCTCGCTTCTTCTCTTCCGTCTGAACCATCGTTCGGAATGATCTCCGGGTGTCCTCCAAGAAGACAGTCTCAAGCTCCTTTCTTTGCGAGAACTCGGAGAGCGAACGAACACAGGACATGATACGGTCGATGGAGTCTTCGTCAATAAACGTCTTGACGAAATGCGACTGGCCAACACGGATGATTGAGATCATTATGAGCATGGCCTCGGCGCGGAGAGCGTTGGTGCGAGCGTCGTCCTTTGAGATTTCCTTGTGGCGCATGACAAGCTTGGTGAGAGTGCTGGACAAAACTGTGGCAAGATAGTAGTCGCCGTCGAGGAGAAGTTGTCGTAGTGGAGGCTTCTGTGAGTTCTTAACCGCCTCGAGCTTTGCCTTGGCAGCGGCGGAGGAAGTCAGAGCACTTTCAGTTGCATAGGTGCCGTCAGCGAGCACTTTCCTTGATCCGGTTGGAGCTGCCTTTGCGTGTCCGTTGACTTGTTCACTACTCTCTTTGCCCTCTGATGCATCGTCCAGCAGTCGTTGCTCAGAAGCAAGAATGGGAATCTCGCCAAGTGATGAACGGATACCCTTCCATGCGTCACGGATATCCTTGGCCTCGAGGGAGAACTCTCCGATGATCCAGAGCACACCACGGTAAACCTTGCCGGCGCGTACTTCGCCAAGAGTCGAGACCAGTCGTTCGATGATGGAAGCTCTCAAATCTGGGAAGCGCTCAACAACCTCCTTGACAAACGAAATGACGTCGACTGCAGAAGCATTGCTGCTGACATCGGAGATGAAGTCCATGAGTGATCCGACGACGCTTGCTGCGACTTCGGGGAACTTGATGGCGGCGGAGTGTATCGACGAGATGAGGAGCGATCTGTATTCGGGGTTCTTCTCGTATTGTTCGTCCACCGTCTTCATTAGCTCCTTCTTCAGCAGCAGGACGACTTCCTCGACATTCCTGCTTGAGATCATCTCCATTGCGATGTTGAGCGATTTCTTCCGGACGTCCAGGTCGGTGCTGGACAGCACACGGAGAACCTCCATTGTCAGATCATCAAGGACTCCTTCATTCTTGTGTCGTAGTTGGTCAACCCTCTCCAAGACAATCAGCTTGACATTGTTGTCGGGCTCCTTGATAGCCAGCTCCACAAACTTTGCAGCAGCAGCCTTTACGGCGACTGGGTTGCTTGTGAGGGTTGTAAGGGCGTGGGCGGCCTCGTAGATGACGGTCGAGACTTGGGATTCGAGGAGGTCGAAGATCAAGCGGAGGTAGCGGGCCTTGTTGGATGGGTTTACAATAGCATCTTTGCGGATAAAGTCTAGTTCAGCGAGAAGGAGAAGCTCTTCGTGGTTGGGTATGGCGTCAAAGACGGTGCTGAGGTATTCGAGAGCCTTTTCATGGCTGACGGAGACGAGGGCGGCGAAGGCATTGCGCTTGCAAGTCGGGTCGTTCTCGTCGTCTAGGAATGTTACCAGAAGATCGGGCGCATCTGGCATGAGTTCGGGGAGATGTGTGAAGATGGACGCGATAGCGAAGGTTGCGTTCTTTCGCACGTATGCGTGTCGGTGTGCTAGGCACTGGCGCACCGGTTCTACAGCTGTCAGCATGACGTTTGGGAGAATGGAGGATATGGCTCTTACGTAGTAGGGGCTCGACAAGTTCAGCATCTCGTAGCTTGGTTCTGTTGCATGCATCAGCAATGTCCGGGGTGACGGCTTGGTGTATCCTACACGAAGCGCAATGTGTTTCCTCGTACGTATTCGTTGGGCGCCTGCAGGTCGAATCGAATCGCATTACTAGCACAGTCAGCAGCCGTTGCACTCGGCGTTGGCATCATGTCCTACCAGACGAGAATCCATTCCTGCCGTAGCTTGCCCTGAGCGTCGTGCTTGGGGCATACCTCGAAGAAGAAGTACATGAGCTTCTTGAGCGGCTTCGACTTGCTGGGCATGACGAATCGGATAATGTGCATGAGTAAACCGGCCTGGGGGTCGCCATTGAGCATAATCGAGAGGATCTTCTTCTGCAAAGCTGTCAGACGGTCGCATTCACTACCACCATCGCGGGGCACTGCAATTGCAAGAGCGCACCATAGTCTCGATCTTCTGCTCATCGCTGCCCTTTTCCAGAGCATTCTTCAGCTCATTCTGTGATGGTACGTCGGCAGCATTGTCCTGGTGCACCTGTTGTTCTCCGTCAGCTTCCCCATGTCCCCAGACCCACTGCCAGGTGTTCCTACCAGACTGTACGAGTTCTCGAGGAAGGCCGCCATGATGCCCGTCTGGCTCTGGTATATGCGATGGTCCCGAGATATACAGTATCCAGCTGCGATAACGTGACTCTCAAAGGCCTTCAGCCCTCAGTGTCCCTTGGTGTCCAGAATAAGTGGGATGCTACGTGTATCGATCGACTTGGGCGGTGCAGAGGGTCGTGAGCTTTGGCGCAGCTGCAGGCAGGTGGCGGGGGTGAAGAGACGGAATTGCCCTGGCGCGAAGAGGTTGCTTCTTGGGTATCGGGGTGCAATGCTGGACTTGGCTGTTTACCTCCAGGTGTCTGCTCGAGAAATGGTCGCTCCAAGACCGCCCTCGCTAGGCTTGCAGGGGTCCGGCCGCCAAGATCTCCAACTCACCTTGCTGCCGTCCAACATCAACACCACGACGCGCAGCTGAACACGGCGCATTTCTATACGCGCAATTTTACACATCAGCCATACCCATCCGCAAACATGACCACCAACGAGCCATTCTATCTTCGATACTAGTATGCAGCCTATCGGCCTCGAGAGCACGTGCAGTTATTAACATTTTCGCAGCTCTGGCCACCAGGGCCGATTTGGACACGAGTTCCTGGGTGCGTACTGTCTGCAAGAGAGTTGCGGATGAGAAAAGTTGATTGTTGATCAGAGTTCGACTTTCGGGTGCTTGGAGATGGCCGCAGCGCATCTGCCCGTTATGCAAACAACTCCAACTACCGCAACGATAGCCTTATCCGGAAAGAGAGTACGAAATGCCCTGCGTCCGACGTTGCCAGTTTCTAACGCATCGTCAGTGTGTGTCAGCGATGCGTTGGTAGCCGAAATCAAGCGCATCGTCAAGGACAGTGAAATTCTCAAGTACGTCTCGAGCAATGGAAGCGCACACAACCATCTGCTAATCAGTCCTCCAGAGAAGATGACACAAAGTGGCCTCAAAAGAACAAAGATGGTCGTCAAGAGCTGGAAATTCGGTTAGGCAGCGAACACATCTCCTTTGAGGTAGCCTTGACCATGCCCATGACTTGTATTGATATTGACGATTGCAGACTGCAAAGATCGGCTCCCTCCAGGACGTGCAGGACTCGTCGGATCCAGAAGGCCTCCGTGTTTTCTACTACCTGGTACAGGACCTCAAGGCTCTGGTCTTCTCCTTGATATCTCTTCACTTCAAGGTACGCATAGCGCGCATTCGCATGTCGAGCATGCAAACTCACAACTTTACAGATCAAGCCAATCTAAGTCTCTCGCTGCCACATGTGAGCCACAGCAACGCTGCTTTTGCCGATAGCGCGCAGCCACTGCAGTGTGGCACAACCGCAGCTTGACGTCGAATGACGCAAGGACGGCGTATGGAGTCAACTAGAGGAACCACATCGTTTGTGGCTAGTGTCACCTGGTATCCGTGAACCTGTCGGGGATGATGATGTAGGAAAGAGAGGCGCCGCAAGGTCATCTGACCACGACTCGCTAGGTCTGACGGGGCGGCTCGGAAAGTCGCCATAGCACACTTGGCAAGGAACAATAATATGCTTCACAAATGTTCACAACAAGATCAGATAAAGGCTTCCTATGCTACCCACCTGGCCGTAGGCGTTCAGGGTTTTGGCCCCATGTCATCCCACGTGAGACTAGCGCCTTTTCCCCGCGTAAGTGCAGCGCTCAGCGACCCACTAACCGCCTAGACACGTCCGCCGAGTCCAAGTCATCCATCCAACATGCATACTTGCCCATCGCCACTACTTTTGGCCCTGCACCTCTGTACTGTATAATCGCACTCTCATCTTCCCTCCGTCTCATGTATAACCGACCCGTACCTTGCTTGTAATCTCCTCGCACCTGCTATCGGACGATGCCGACGCCCGACGATGAAGCCATGGTCTCGCCGGTGGAGCACGAGAGCATCGCTGGCCGCACGACCTGTCCGCCAGAAGATGCGCGCATTATCCCTACCCACGAATTGAATGATACACCAAGTCCAAGTGTGCCCATGCAGCAGCCGACTCCCTCGCCGCAAAGCTCGCGCGAGCCTACCCAGGCGCCCGACGATATCCACAGCAAGATATCAAGCACCAACATAGAAGCACCAAGCAGAGATATACCCACCCCCATGACCGCGACCGACGATGGCACCGAGGAGCAACGCACGTCTCAGGCTTCGCCGCTTTCCACGGCGGCGCCAGTTTCGCTGCTCGCCAATCACCTGTCGTCGCCGTTTCCTGCGCATAGGGTGCGTTGTATTCAGCATGCAGACCGAGCATTGCGCAACGCGAACATTGCTGATGGCGATACAGTTCATACCAAACACATCGTCCTCCCTCCTTCGGCCCGGTAGTCGCTTCGTGGGCACTCAAACCTCTGACCGCCAGAAGTATGAAGTCGAAGTCGAGATAAAACACGTCGATATGCGCGAGTCCTTCATGTGTGGCTACTTGCGCATCAAAGGCACGCACACGTCTTGCAGTACAATGTACAGAGCTGGCAGGCTGACTAGTCCCTAGGTTTGACCGAAGACCATCCCAGCTTGACGACATACTTCGAGGGCGAGATCATCGGAAGCAAATACACATTCATTACCCAGCACCCGGAATGGGGTTCCAACGAAAAGGTCGACCGACAACATTGGGCGCGGTTCCCTGCATACAAGCCGCTGTCAAAGTACTCCTCGCGCCAAGAACTGGTGACCAAGGACTGGATGCAGAAGGAGCACTTGTTCATGCGATGGAAGGAATACTTCCTCGTGCCAGACCACCGCGTCAGGACAATAAGCGGAGCGAGCTTTGAGGGCTTCTACTACATCTGCTTCAACCAGGTCTCGGGTGGCATCGAGGGCATCTACTTCCACGCTAAGAGCGAGAAGTAAGTCCCATCCCCCATCTCTCCCTCGATATAGAAATGCGCTGACCCCATCGCTAGGTTCCAGAAGCTCCAACTGGAACACGTCCAAGACTTTGGATGCCAGGGCGCAATTGAATTCCGATAATGTTGATGATTGAAACGAGAATTTGGGCATTTGGGTGTTAGGACTTAGCATTTGGGCGCACACACCGGGCTTGATCACACTTCTTGTATCGTATTTTCTTTCCCACGGACCATGTGCAGCGTGCGATAAGGTCGTAGGGCTTTTCTATAGTAACGTCCCTGGAACACCCAGGTCATGAAGTATTACGTCACTTGGCGATTGGCAAGAAAAGCAGCGCATCGTTGCGCGAACGGCTGTTGTGTTCACCCAATCTGCACTGGTGGACCAGAGACCCTGGCGCTAGCAAAAAACTCGCTTCGTGATACGCAACTACCGTAATCGACTATTACCTCAGCACCTGTGCATCTACTCCTCGACACCAACAAACTTACTTGCCCATCCAGCAACTTGCCGCTATATTCGGACATCACGCAAACATGCCAGGCGAACCAGCAAAGCGCACAAGGCGCGAAGAATACAGGAAATCCCTCCAAACAGATGAGCAACAAGGCGCACTACCCAAGAAGAAGTTTTATAGACAACGCGCTCATGCAAATCCTTTCTCAGATCACTCTCTCACGTAGTAAGATTAATTTTGATGTTTTGATTTCTCCCGAAAACAGCCAACTAACATGGACATAGCCCTACGAGCCCCGCAGACATGGACTGGGCCAGTCTGTACCCCAAGTACGCCAAACATGCAAAGAAAGAGATGGGAGAGGCGCAGAATGAGTCACATGATGTTAGCATTGAAGAGCAGCAGAAGCTTAATGCAATTACGCAAAATGTCGAAATCGCAGACATTGGATGTGGATTTGGTGGTCTACTCTTTGCCCTTGCACCCAAATTCCCGGATACATTGATACTAGGTAAGGATAACAACTTCACATGCCCGCACAGCTCCCATAGTCAAAAGAAAAAAAGAACCCGGTTGCAAAACAAGGAAACAGCCAGCAAAACACTCTACACATATATGAAATGATTATTGGAAAAAAATTAACAAATTTTGCACAGGCATGGAGATTCGCACCTCGGTAACAGAATACGTGCAAGAAAAAGTCCGCGCCCTCCGCGTCCAAAACGCATCAACAAATGCCTACCAAAACGCATCCTGCATCCGCGCCAACACGATGAAATTCCTCCCCAACTTCTTCCAAAAACACCAACTCGGTAAAATCTTCCTCTGCTTTCCCGACCCGCATTTCAAGCAGCGCAAACACAAGGCGCGCATCGTGTCGTGGACGCTCAACGCAGAATACGCCTATGTGCTGCGTCCCGGCGGTATCGTGTATACGATTACCGATGTCGAGGATCTGCATGTGTGGATGAGGGGCCATTTTGAAAAGCATCCGAGCTTTGAGCGTGTGGAAAGGGTGTTTGAGGAGGGGGAGACGGTGGATGGGGTCGAGGGCGTGGGTATGGATGAGTGTGTGAAGGCGATGAGGGTGGAGACGGAGGAGGGGAAGAAGGTGGAGAGGAATAAGGGGTTGAAGTTTGTGGCGTGCTTTAGGAGGGTTGAGGATCCGGCTTGGCCGGAGAGTAGTGGTCCTTGAGGTGGAGGGGGCGGGCTGGTTGGTGGAGGTTGACAGGAGTGAGTCGGAGGGAAAGACGGAAGTATCAGTTATATGCTCGGTTTTCTTTGCACAGATGAAATGCTCTAAACCACAGGGAATGGAAGTTTTCTGACTCAACTGAAACTTTGATGTACACCGAATGAAACCAGACAGAACGTAGTAGACTTGGCTGCGAAGTGGTGTTCGATACGCTCAGTTCTTTCTGCAAATCGCGTTCGTCACACCCCCGCCATATAATCATATACCGCATCTCTCACCGCAGCGCCCGCAGAGTACCCTGTCACTGGATTGGCTATGAGACCACCGATTCCTACCCGTGCTGGTCTGTATCACATAGATGCGTAGCAGTTCTTGTTCAAGACTTGGATGCCACCGACTTATTGACATAGTGTATCAGATGTCATAGCCATGGACATGACATGTATCAAGCATTTTCTGGTCTACCTCAGTTTGGAGAATTCGAATGAAGTCACCATGTCAAAGTCAGCAGACTCGACAGTGCAAACCATCCAAACTTATGGCTATATTTTTCGTATCCCCAAATACAAGCGAAACAAACTCATGTCTGCTCGGTCGTCACGATAAGATGTGCAAGTAAAGTAAAGCCAGTCAGGCGAGATTCTCAAGGCGCGTTCAATCATTGGAATGCTAATATCTATACACTATCCAGAAGCATATATTGTCTAGAGCTTCCTGTAGCCCTGAACTCTGATCTTCTAGAAGTTGTGCAAGTAGTCTCCGACAAAGCGCTTAGTCATTTCCTCGACAGTGTTGATATCTTTGAATCCAAGCCCCTCGATGATGTCCGCGGCCTTTCCTCCCAGATCGGCCATAGTGTTGGAAACATAACGGTGCTGAATCAAGTCAGTGACTTTCCATGGTGGGTGATTTCATCACAGCTCACTGACCTGGTAAGGCTTGTAGTCCTTGTTGTGGAAAACAAGGAAACGCTTGGTCTTGTTCTTGTCCTGTCCGTACTGGAACTGGTCATCGACCTTCAAAGTGAAGTTGTCGCCGTCCATCTTCTTCGACTTGAACTCGTCGAGCTTGTCGGTTTGGATGTAGATGACACCTTCGGAGCTGCCTGATCAAATCTCATAAGCCTGGAGGTATCGATCGAGGAAAGGAGTTTACCTACCACCAGACTTGACGGTATACTTGCAGACCCAGTACTCTTGATTGCGCTGGCGCAATGACTGGCTCCAGGTCACGTTGACCTTTCGGCCTTTCTCACCGCCGAGGAACTCGGCAGGGACGTAGATGGTGTTATCCTTTTCGACGAGAGAAGACATGGTGGAATAGTGTTGTTTGAGTTTGGTGAAAAGAAGACGGCTCTAGAGTAGTTGTTGGCTGTTGATGAGATGAGATGAGATGAGATGGAATGAGATGATATGTGGATGTTGGGTGTCTTTATACTTTTCAAGTCCGTCTTCTATGCTGCAATCTACGGTAATACTTAGGTGCTGATCAATGTGATTGCTCTCCTCGTGCAGCTCCACCTGCGAAGTGACCAACAAACATGGCGTGTTTCGCACCGTCTGCTCTAGATCATCGGGCTTCAGCTCGCCATTAGACTTGAAGCGTCCGTGCAGTTGTCGTGAAGCGCTTGAGTGTCATGAAGCCGTCACGATGAACATGCATACAGCTGTGCAGATGTCGGTCGTGTCCAGCTGATCGCTGTGGTGTTCGGCTGTCCCTTCATTGGCTGGATGCCCGGTGCCGGGACGGGCCGGGCTTCCTGACAGTTGATAGGTACACATCCTGACATGCAGTTTCTCTAGATCACTCCTTTCGTCCACGCCCTTGCATATTTCGCGGCCCGCTGAGCTGTGTGGCTTTTCACACTGCATTCGACAGGACGCTGCCGGGCACCCCGCGTTCTCGGCCATCAAAATGGACCCTGGGGGCTTGCCACAAGCGAGCTGAAAACGCCGGATTCTGGTAACACGCGAGGAACATACACGCTACGAGCTTCTCGCCTCAATTCTGATGCATGGGGTATTGTGCGCACATCGCAGAAAAGACCGTACTATCGCCCGATCGGTTGTACCCCGCTTCAGTCACCTCAATATGGAAGCGCGTCGTTGAGGACTACTTCTTTCGGTCATTGTGGCTTTCATGTAGCTCCCATCCCCCGTCGCCAGTCGATTGGTCGAGTAAGCGGTACACCGCTCCTGTAACTTCATCCACATCACGCAGTACATACTGCTGTTGGTGGAATGCTATGAAGACCGCATTGGGCGATTGATTTGAGATACGGGAGGCGGGGGTACTTCTCGCTACCATGAGAGCGAGAACCTTCCAATTCTGGATCTGCGGTATACCACTCTAGAGACAGCGAAATATGGAATGATTGACTACCAACGACTCATGCCATGCAGCTGTAGTGGTGGTGGCTGTCTGAAAGCTCTATCACGACGTTCCAGCTCGCCAACTAGAGTGTTGTATGCATGTTCAAGCTCATGCGTAGTAGGTGACTGGTGGTGCATATGGCTGTTCGGAGATAGTTGGAGCTGTGATGCAGGTTGAAGACTCCGCGTCACTTAAGAAAGAGCTTAGAGGCGTTACGGGAGAACAACCATCCTGTGCAGCGAGATTCTGGGTATCAGACGTTGTCCGCATTTTTGCAAGTTCTTCCTCTTCACCTTCTGAACTGAGGTTTTGGTTTACTTTACCTACCTGATGATTTTGTCGCATTAGTTTTGCATGTTTGCTCTTCGTCTGCCATCTCACTCCAAAAGTACATCAATATGAGCTTCTGGGACGATCCAGTCTTCGCTGGAACAGCACAACCAATTTCCGCGACAACAGCCGATACCACTCTGAAGCAGTCAGTTGGCAAGATCGAATTAACGGATGATCAACTACAACTATACAAAGAGGAACCACCCAAATTCACCAGTTGGGATGGGTTCTGGGCTGACCCAGTATTCGCGAATGTCGCTGGAAGAGAAGCACCTCTTCCCGAAGGGGAGACCCGTGAGTTCTGGAAGTACGAGCTAGATGAGTCTGTCTCACTCAGCTCGCTTTTCCCGGATCTGTCATCTACAGCATTTGGATCGGTCGCCTTCCGGAAATCGGCCATCGAGTGGTGGTCAAAGCCCATTCTCGACAAGCCAGCTGGATTATATCTCCGGACTGAGATCGAGTTCAATGGTCTGCTCGATGGGATATTCGAAGTTTTCAAGCAGTTCCTTGGCGATGAGGCAAAGCCAACGCTCCGGATTTCTGCGTATCTTGGGGTTACACAGGTACCGGATGGAACGTATGCCTCAGATGGTCTGACATTCGAGGGTTCGTTGCTTGGCTTGAAGTCTCAAATGCCACCGGGGTTAGAGCTTGTCACCATCCTCTCTGTAGGGGTACAGGTCAATGTTGGGAAGACCAACACCACCACGGAAATCGAATCGTTCGTTGCACCTGCAAAGTCAGAAGATGTTAGCTGCGCTATCATCGGCGAACTGCATGCTTCTTTCCCTGGATTGACTGGTCCACTCTTGTTAGCATACAAAGCCTCTCTTGGAGAGACCTTCTTGAGACTGGATATGACCATACCTGGGGACGGAAAATGGAGGAGCCCACTTGGTGTTGAGTCATTGCTGGTAAGTAAAATTATGATGAACTCAGGTCCAGTATGCCAGGCTGATGGTTGCTTTTAGCTCGATGAAGCGAAATTCTCGATCAACATCCCACTGCCAAAGACGGTCGCCAAGCCGAGTGACGACACAGTCCTAGCTGCGTCCAAACAGGATGTTCAAGCCCTAGCACCAACAACCGAGTCCCAAGAGCAGACAGCTTTACTCCCAGGTGGAGCAACGGCAGCTCAGCTTGACGCATCGCTATCCTTTACTGTGTCGGCGAAATGGAAGACTTCCAGCAATGGCGTGGTCAAACTGACTGGTGCTATATACAAACAGTATCCCGATGCATCATACATCGAAGGAACATTAGAGAGAGTCACCTGGAGTGACATAAAGAAGCTGTTTTCCGATATTCACGGCGAGGATCTGGCAACTTCCGATCATGAGATCACCTGCGAGAAGCTGACTATCAGGATCTCCAAAGCTCAGCTTCTGCTCAGAGGGTCGCTTTCCATCGATGGGAGGCATTTGGCCGCAGCCACCATCGCCATCACCTCTGCCGGTATTCTCATCAGAGCAGATGTGCATGAGTTCTCCATAGATGACGGCTACGTCACTATTCATGATGCTTCGCTTACCCTGATGATTGGCAAAGCGGCTACTACAGCCTCTCCTGAAGGCAAGGAAAAGCAGCCAGAGACAACTCAGAAAGGCTGGTATGGTGGACTCGAGGTCGCTGGTCGGATCACGATTAAAGAAGGTGTCTCCAAGCCTATGGATATCAGAGTCGTCTTCACTGGTGGAAAGCAGAACGGAAAGATGTTTTGGGTGCTTTGTGGTAGCATGGACTCTGATGTGTCATTGAGAGACATAGTGTCTTCTATCGATGAGCATTCCGAGCTTGATCTTCGACTAAAGTCTGTCTGTCTTGTGGCCTCTAACATAGACAGTCCCAAGTGTCATCTCAACACAAACGGCTACGTGATTAGGCCTGGGTTCTATCTGTGGGCTACTTTACAGAAGATACCGTGCATTCAGATTGGTGGGAAGGTCAAAGAGCCTGCAGCAGGCGATACGACACAGCTCTCTATTGGTTGGAAGAAAGGCAGCAAAATTCCAAACGTCTCGATCTTCTTACCGAAGTCCTTGAAGATCGACATCGGCCCACGTTTCAGGACGAACAGGTTCGAGCTCCAGATTGGTAGTGACCGTAGCCTGCGCTTCGTGGGGGGCTTCCAGGTGCGCATGGACGACAATACCGAGTGGCTACAATTTGATCTTGCCACGGAGGTCAAGGCATTGGAGGTCGCTGGTGAGCTGGTATTCACTGGACATATCAACAACCCTTTCGGACTCAGCAAGGAAATCACGATTGGCCCAAAGCTTGCTTTAGGAGTAAAATTCAAATGGCCTGTACTCGTGGCGACAGGTCTACCTACGGGTGGTGGTATTCTAGGCTCCTTCTACCTTGGTAAGGTCAGCCCAGACAACGCATATGGGATGGCGCTCTACGTCTGTGAAGATCCCAAGGACATGCTGATCAAAGTCAATACACCATCCATGGACTACTACAAGCTGATCCAGTTTGTCGGAGCCATTATGGACAGAGAGGTACCTGCCACAGACATGGAGATACTTCAGCTCAAGGATGTCGATATCTACGCCAGTGGAGGGGTAGCTTTTGCGGGTGACTATTACCCCGCGGGCATTCGGTTCAAAGGGAAAATCATTGTGTTTGATCATGAGGCGGGCATGGACTGCTCGCTCACTACCGAAGGACTTCGACTGAAAGCATGGCTTCAAACCATCGAGCTCGGACCACTCAGTATCGGCGGTACTATGACACTACCAGATAAACCTGGTGTAACTTTTGCGTTGTTGGATCTGGAGCTTAGTATGACGACACAGAAATTCATACTCAACGGCTTCGTGAAGATCTTCAACCTCTCAGCATCCATCGACCTACATATACAGCTCATGCCAGATCCAGCCTTCTTCTTCAACTTCGAGTTGCTATGGAGCGATCTTCTCAGCATCAAAGCGAAGGCTTTTATGATCAGCAAAGGTGAAGAGAAGAGCCTCTCGAGGAAGCTCGCAAACGCGGACTGGACTATTGATGTAGCTATTGAGCAACAAATTATCCAGAGGATGGTTGAGACGATACGAACGGCCTTGGAGAAATTCCACGCTGCTGTGAAAGCAAAGATCGCGGTCGCTCATGGAGCAGTTGCGGCAGCTGAGGCAGAGTACAAGGCCGGAATCGAAGAAGCGCAAAAGACCTTGATATCTAAGCGTTCTGAGTATAACCGACGCCACAATGAGCTTGATGACAAGATCGCGGCACTGGAGCGTGAAGCCAACTCTGGGATGAGCGCACGCAATAAAGATATCCAAGATGCGAAAACCAATGAAACAAAGTCGACACAGGAAGCACGCCTCGAGCGGGACAGAAAGGTGTATGAAAAAGAGAATGAAGTCAATGCGAAGAGGAACGAATACGAACATCAGGAGCAAAAGGGTCGCCACGATGAAAATGCTGCTCTATCTGCAAGAGAGCTCAGGAAGCAAGACTTCTATGCGAAATTCGGTGAAGCTGACGCGTCACTTCAACGAGCACTGAACGAGTTGTCCAACGCAAACCGTTCAGTCGATTCGATCCGTGGTGAAATCGATCATGTCGAATGGCAATTGAAAAACGGACCGTGGTATCGTGCTCCAGACTTGGTAAGTTTGCCTATCATCACCAAAGTTTAGTATTGCTAACATCACCGACCACAGGGCATTCAAGCTGGCGCACTATACGCCGCGTTGGGAACAGCGAAAGCAGGCTTAGCTATTGCAGAGGCATCTGTACAGTTGGTCAAAGACACAATGAACTCCGGACCATTCCAAAGCATGAAGCAGGTATGGTTAGACGCCAGCGAAGTCTTCGAAACAGTAAAGACGATGGCCGCCAAAGCTGTACAAGAGGCCCTAAACCAGTTGAAGATCGCGGAAGGCTTGTTGTCAGCTGCAAAGTCCGCAATCGAGGGCGACTTCGAAAAAGCGAAACGGGAAGCCAGAGAAGTGGTCGACAAAGCGCAGGAGTCATACAAAACCTACAAGGAGGCGCAGCGTATTGAAGGAGAGAAGTTGCAAATCCAACTAGAACAGCTCAAGAACAGCACGCAGGCAGCCGCCGTTACCACTGCAGAGGCAGCGCTCGAGGTCGCTAAGAACAACAACATCGCCTTCAAAGCTGCACAGGCGGGTCTCGACGCTCTCGACACAATCAATGATGCTGTCTACACAACACTCGATGCAGCGGTACAGGCTGCGGGAACGATATGCGACATCAGGGTGGCTCGGCTTACGGGTACACTTACTGCTAATAAGCAAGAGCAGAAACCGTTCAAGATCTACTTGGAAGGCACGCTGCTGAAAGATGAGCTGAAGTTGAATCTGGATTTCACGCCGGGCGAGACTGGCAAATTCCTGAAGGACGTGAGTTCTGAGGCACTTGCGCTGATTACGCCGGGGAAGAAGAAGACGGTATAGACAGAGATATGAGTGCGCATTCTGCTTTTGCAGCGAACAAGTGTTCTTTATTCGAGAGACATACCAGCTATACTGCCATCTGGAATTTCACGTGATGAAGCAGCGTTTCCGTAAATCTCTTGCCGAGGTGCTTGGGCGAGAAGGCCACGCATGACTAGCGTAGGGATGCCTGACGCTAACGCCAGGCACCAGCGCAGACGCGTTTATTATGAACGCGAACCCCTCACCTCGGCCATCTTCATTTTGCCTTCTACACGCAACGTCTGTGTGGCCCTGACTCTGAAGTTATGGAGGAACTACCAAATGAACTGCTCCTCCAAATCTTCGGCTACCTGCATACACCGCCAGTAACAGACTTCAGTTCACCACACGTAGCCGATCGCTCGCCAGATCTCCATGTCTTGAGTCGCGTCTCTCGAAGACTAAGAGATGTTGCCGCGCCACTCGTCTACGAGTTCATAGAGAGAGCAGGTGATGTGGACAGTTTGGCCTATCGTCAGCTACCACAAACCTTGCTCAACAATATGGAGCTGTGCCGGTACATCAAGAGTGTAAGACTGAAGATGGAGGACGGCTTTGAAGCCGGCGACTTTTGGGCGGGCCACGTCATGCTTTCGGGAAACGAGAGCGGGGACGAGGAGCGAGTGGACTACAATGAAAGACACTGTCGCTATCAAAAGCGACGTCCGTGTGACGCACAAGAGAGTGATGGAAAGGGAGGTGATGACGAAGTGGAAAAACTGCCAGCTGATACCCCAGAGCACTACAAATGGCTTGCCAAGCTCATATCAGCCATGGACAATGATCAGGAACATGCTGACGACCAAGACCTTCTTCAGCGAGCTATCCTTGGTGAAGATGTACTACTTACACCATGTGTCCTCTCTGCACCTAATCTGGAGCGCCTCTGGATCCGCTTACCCAAATTACAGTTGGACGGGAATTACACAAGCTTCTTGCTGAACAGCCTCTCCTATAGTGCTCACACGGGTGGGTTTGAAAAGCTCAAAGTCCTTCATCTTGACGTGTACCAAAGTGGCCTCGAATGGTCAGTCAGCCAAGTGCTGTTTTTCTTTCGTCTTCCCAATCTAGTCGATCTCACGCTTGGAAATTGCGGTAGCGTGAGCTTTGATATGGATTGGGATGAATGGAGGGATGGGCAGTGTCTAAGGCCTGATCCATTCCATAGAAGAATCTGGCCAGATAAGAACGACGCGGCGTTCATGGGAGAGCCCTGGATATGGCCTCTGCGCACTTCTTCCATCACTAGGCTATCGCTACTCTCTCCACGTTTCAGTGGATCGATAATAGCAAACATGCTACTTGCATGCAGAGCAATCACCGAGTTCGAAGTATTATTGCCCTACAAACATGCACCTTTTGATAGCACATTCTACGAGGACGTTAGTACAGCCCTTCTTGGACATACCGATACTCTTGCCAAATTATCACTTGGTGACCAACTAGCAACCATCAGGCGTTGTCTCCCGTGTAGTCCAGGCCTATTTCGCATCGGCTCCTTATTGACCTCGCTCAAGTTCTTACGAATTAATCCGTTCACCATTCTCGGCGACGACTCTATGAGGCGGTATACAACAGACACGTCTCCTGCCTTATCAGACGCTCTTCCGGACACGATCGAACATTTGTGGCTTGACCTAGCCTGCAGTCCATTCTTGATAAATTTCAACACATACATCAAAGATCTGTTCGAAGCTCGTCGAAACGGTCGGTTTTCTCACTTGAAGAGTATTCATGTATATTGGTATAAGAAGTTGTACACTTCTTTTGATCGTGTACCCTCCTACCTCAAAGACCTGTTGAAAATCCGTGAGCAAGCGTCGGTGCATGTACCCACTATCAGCTTCGATATTTCGGTGCGAGTGGATTGTTGGACTGCGGGTAAGCCACGACCGAACAAGCCTTGACGTGGAAGATAAGATGCTAATCAAACTCAGAGCTTGCGGACGATGGCCTGAAAGAATTGACCGACGTTAAAAGATGGTGGTACGTGTCCCCACTGGACAACTATCGCAGATATGACGTGGATCATAAAGATGGTCGGCGATATTATATTGAAGGTTCTACATGCAAGAGATTTCCAAGGACATCAGAAGAGATGCAAGACGACTTAGACCACGGGTACTGGGGAAGTTCGTACTGTAGTTAATAAAAGTAGCGTCAGATGAGATCAAATGTAGGGTGTGACTTGGTATTTAATACAATCATTACCACGCGAGTCCATTCTAGAACCCGACTACAACGGATACAAGACCCACGACAGCCAACAGACCCCAAGAAACGCTCATGCCCATGGCACCGCTTTCAACAACCTCCGGCGTACCGACTTCTTTCACGTCATCGATTTTGCAGACGGTTTTGCATTTCTTCTCCGACCTCTTTCTCCCAAACAAACTCGTCGTATCTCTCTTATCCTCCTGAGGCTTACCAGTGTACGGTCCACTGGTATTGAACGTCATTTCGATCCACTGAATATGGAACTCGGCATTATCGCCCACTTCCATATCGCCACTCCACTCTCCACCATCGCTCCACATGTTCAGGACCATGAAACTCTGCTCGCGGGGTACAGAGTATGTGTTGGAGGCGACTTGCTTCTGGTTGAGGTACCAGTAGCTGTTCTTGGGCAGCCAGTCGATACGATGTGTTTGCCAGTCGTCCCAACGTGGAAGATCGGTGGGGCCCACAGACGCGGCAGCCACTTCATTGCCGTCCTTGCCTACTGAGGGCTGGTTTGTGTAGCGGATCTGGTCTTTGGGGTCGTCGGTCAGGATCTCGATATCGGATTCGTTGTCGTCGTCGTAAAAGGTGAAGAATCCTGCTACGGCTCCCTTGGCTCCTTGAACACGACCGTACATGCGCATGGAGACGTGCATGAGGTTTTTTTGCTCGTTCTCAATCTCGCCAGATGTCTGGTAGTCGTCCATGCGCGATGTGCGGAGTGCGAGGTAGGACGTCGAGTCCTCTTGGCCTAGGAAGATGTTTGCGAAGGAGTTGTTCATTGGTGTGGGGAAGTCTTCGGTGGACGGTTTGCTCCAGTTCTGGATCCCCCAATCGTAGTTCCACGCATCGCTGTTGAAGAGATCCGGCTGCCATGTCGACGCCAAACCCGCGTTGTCTGTATCGTTGAGTAGCGGCGGCGATTCGCTCATCGCGCCCGGGAGGTTTCGGAAGTCGTAGAATCGGTAATACTGGAAGTACTCTGGTGTATTCGAGTCTTTGCCGGATTGCACGACATAGCAATCACAGTCTGCGTTGTTGTCTTTCGGTGTTTCGCTCATAGAGCTAGTGTACGGATTCGCAGCGAGTGCAGGTTGGGCGAGTAGTGCCGTGAGAGGCAGGAGCAAGGCTCCTAGAGGTGGAAGGCGAGACATGGTAATCGATCTGCTTTGGGAGTCGTATTCGTAGTGACAGTATCCGAATAATTAGGTAACAAGGATGTGTAGAATGAAGACGGGTGATCGACAGCTAGTAAAAGGTGAATAGAAGAGCGAACGAATGTCACCTAGCCATCAACAATTACAAGAGACAAGGAAAGAAAACTGCGCTCAATGATGCTGCAACAAGCTCGATGATGTAAAGTGGTGATACCAAAAGTTCAGCGCAAACGCGGGTCAGTAGACTCATATACTAAAACGTGCAGTGACGCCCGCCCGCTACTCCCGCTTACACGGCACCAACACCAGTCCAGTCTCGAACACCGCCCGCAAGTCGTGCTTTTTGTTTGCGGAGCTTGTCCTAGCTACATTCGCTAAGGTGTGTCTAAGCCAGAAACGCGCGCGCGCTGGAACTGGAGTAAGGCAGGGCACTAAGGCAGGTAAGCTGGAGTAGCCACAGGAAAATATGGCGGATACGAAACGCAGACACATCACATCACACCAGCGGCGCACTTTGTTTCTGCACTCAGCCACACTACATCTGGACTTTTGGACCTCATGACAGGGGTTGTAAGGTTTTCATAGGGTCTGCGCAAGTGTAAGCTTGCGATCCACCCCTGGTTTAGGCTGCTTTGGGGGGGTTTCGGTAGCGTCGATGTGCCACCGGGAGTTTCGGCGTAGGCGCCAAGGTGGCTTGACTCTCCGAGTGGTTCGATGTTTCCTCTCTGTCTAGGAAAGTGCTGTAATATTTGTTGATAAAACAAAGTCCCTCTTGCCCCGTGAGACTAAATGAGCATTCCGAGCTATCATTCGGTACATGGAGAAATGACGGTGATGATGATGGCGATGTTGTTGTTGTTGTAAGGTTGTAAAGCGGCGCAGACGGGTCATCAGGAAATGACAGGCATCTTCGGGTCACCAGCCACATCCGCCCACATGGGCCGGCGCCAACCAATGCAACTAAGTCCCAAAATAGCCCTGATTCAATACCCTCAAATGCCGCGCCAACGCCAGATTCGTCCGTATGAGACGACCATACGAGCACGTTTCCACCCGTCTAGCAGACGTGGAGTTTGTCATGCTCTCGTATCCTTCATACTGGCGCGGGGTCTGGAGGTCTTGGGCATGTTGGTCAACTTGGCAAAAGAGATGATGAGGGGTAGGTTTGATTGAGGTGTGTATGACGCTTTTGACGCGAGGTTCTGGTGTGGCTAAAGGGGTTGTAGTATTGACGACCATGTTACAATCGATATATTTACCGGTCAGCCCCCTGAGCATCTCCCCGGCTTGTATAGACAAGCATTGCTTCGGCATGCGAAGTGGTGCGCCACAAATTGGCAGCTGAAGGACCCCTTCCGAGTCATCAAACTGCTCACAAGGTGACTAATGGCTCATATCCACAGCCTGCAGCGTATCTAGACTCATCTTCTGACTTTTTGACATATCAAGGATACAAAGCCAAGTCTATATGTGTAATTGATGTTTTGACAGAACGTACTCACCGACATGGTCAACGTTCGCTGAGCGTGTTCCGCGATGACAATTCTTGGGTACGAAGGATTAGGACGGTGCATGACTACTGCCCAGCACACTCAACCTCGCGTATACTAATAAAATCTCGACTGTCATTGCCAACCCGCTACCTACCAAGCAACTGTTATTCACCTGGCAAGCATTTCCTCATATTTCAGCCTCGCGAGTTCTCCAAGTGGATCGTTCTCGTCCTCCCAGTCGCTGTACTCAAGAAATTCCTCTTGCCTCTCAACAAAACGAGCATTTTTTCAATACTGAGTAATCGTAGAAACCGGTTTTTGATCTCGCAACAAGTGCGAAGTCTCTGCAGCCAGGAAGTCCGTTTGGCGTCTGCCCATATTGGCCATGGCCTTTGATATCCTACAGCGAAAAGGCAGTTGCTTAAAGTACAAACCTTTCTATCGCCAAATACACATTGTCACTTCAAATGTAGCCATTTCTACGGCCTTATCACGGGAAAAAAATCTCTTCTGGCACTGGGAAGCTCACTCACTCCATTCACCTCTCTGTCCACGTTCAGCTCCCAAAGTTTTGACGGGCGCTTGAAACTTCCAAAACCTAAGAAGAAGTAACCCCAACCCCCCCAGGTGTTGGCCAAACTACTCTAAAAGTTCAGGTCAGGTACATTGGCCTCGATCGCTTGACTCATGATTCGCAAATCGTAACCAATCAGCCTCACCACCACTATCACGCATCCGACGACGCAAAAAAAAAGGTAATCAAAAACATACAACAGCGGGGATTCGCTAGTGGTCACCCACCTAACTACTAATCCGCCGGTACACTGCTTGTATATGGCTGAGCGGACGGCCACTTGTGTGATAAAACCTGCGCTTCTTTCGTCAATGCTCTCCTCGACCAGAACCTCTACTTCGCTTAACACCTGCAGAAGATTCGTGACCATGGACCAGCTTCCACAGGAGTTAGTCGATCGAATCAGCAGTTATCTCTCTGTCGATGACCTGAAGAACACACTATTGCTGTCTCATGCATTCCGCTTTCCCGCTGAAAAATACTCTGGGGCGTTTACAACATTCGCTCTAAACGAAAACAACGCTGAGAAGTTTATTGGAACTTTTTCTGGTCATCGGCTTCTGTATTTACGCGATCTTAAATTCGGGATCTGCCTTCCTCGTCCTGAAGACAACGAGCGTCGCGACGACGCGGACCAACTGAGCAAGCATGACAAGAGCTTCACTCAACAAATCACGTTTCTTTTCAAGACTATGAAAACGGTCGAAGACCTTGCAGGGAACCACAATAAACCGGGAACAGTTCGACTAGCGATAAGCCCTCCCAGGCGACCGATTTTTGCCGAACGTTCACTCTCGTATCATGATCACCTAAGCTGGCGCGTGCATTTGCTAGAACCCGAAGCACTTCCGTTACTCGAATCGGTTCGTTCCCTGGAGGTAGGGGACGACTGGGACGGGTCATTCGGCGGAAGAGCAGAGTTTACGGGTTATAATTCGGGGCGAGTGAAACTCGACTACCGTGTGATGGTCGACCTTGTCGTCAAGTTGCCGAATCTTGAGTACTGGGGCTGTCGAACTGGAGGCAATGAATGGTCGCCGAAAACTGAACAAGAGGCGACAAAATATCTCACGCAAGATTGGGCTGGTCCACGTCGGGACACAAGACAGGATTTTGCAAAAGCTCTCTTGTCTGCACGTCTTCCAGGTTCACTTCAGCGTATTCGTTTAGACTTTCTCCACGATCTTGACGAAAGTACGCAAATCGACCATTTCACAGCACAGCCTGACCTGGTAAGCCCGGCGGCCAATGATCTTTTCAGCACCAGTCTACACCATCTCTCACACCATCTCCGACGGCTTCACTTGCGTGTAGTAGCAGATGAAACGCTGTTCTGGCCCAAGGATAACTGCACCCCTTCCTGGCCAAATCTCGAGAGTTTCATTGTCACATTCCACATGGTTAACCCGTCGGGACAATGGTATTTCATAGGACCAAACGGCGAAGGGCGTGACACGGCTGCATTCAACGTCACTAATGCCTCATACCCACCGTTGGAAACAAACTCCTATGACGAAGAAATGGACTGGCAGATTCAGATGGAGGGAGATAGGCGATACAGAGGGAACGAAAACAGCCGCATGCGCATCGTGCCGAACGATACTACACTGCGGCCGTTCCTTGTAGCCTTTGCTAAGGCAACATCAAATATGAAGGCTCTTCAAGAAGCAATGCTCTGGTGCCCCCTTGCGTGGGCGCCTGATGATTATTCAACGACTGACTGGCTCCAAGAGAACTGTCAAGACGCGGATAAACTCGCTTGGGGAGTGCATTATCAAGCCAAAGGTGAGCCCAACGTTACTCGGCAGGGTGAACGCGTTCTTACGGAAGTTCCTATGCTCTGGTGGAAAGCCGGCAAGTGGCGTCCGGATCCTGAGCTCCATGAGCTTTTTCAGCAAATTGGTCGTACGTCATGGGGCGACGGTGTGGAGGAACACTGGGAGGATGAATACCATGGAGACGGGTTGGTGGATCGCGGATATTTCGAGTATTGTGCACTCGAAGAAGTCGATAAGGTGGGGCGGATCCCACCGCCGAACTAAGCATCTATGGTGTCCAGCCACGGTAACACGGGCACAGTTTCCTTGCCCTTGTCTTTCGTGTGGATATTCTTCAATTTCAACTTACATAAAAGGAAACGTCTTTACACTCGCATCGGCGTAGAGCTAGCTGCAAATCACATCACATCAACACCAGCACACAGCACAAATCGAACTTCCGACCCCAATAGATTGATCGAACGCAAATCCAAGCCCGTTGAGGGACTACCCACGGATCAACACAAAGCTCTTCGTCTAAGAAACAAAAAAAGAACAACCAACGCTAGCCACCCATTGTTGAAGACAACATATGCCACCCCCAAATCGCTCAAACTACTTTTTGCGCCGCTGCTGCTGCTGGCACTTCCTTGTTGTCATGGCCATTCTGCAACGCTTCACTCGCCTCCTTAATCGTCGGCACGGATTCAGACGGAACGACAAGCGATGCGCCATTGACAGCGCCATTGGTGGTGGAATCCTGATTCGGATCCTGGAGTCCCTGACGGACTTTGAGAACGCTATCGACAATGACGGCGTCGATGCCTTCGTTTCGTTGGAGCTAATTGCGCTGTTAGTCAATGTTGCAAACGGGTTTACAATGGCGTCGTGAGGAGGTCATGACTTACCAGAACGTTCTTTGGGTCGTTGTTTAGCATGCCATATGAGACACATACTAAACCGCTTTCCTTTACCACCTTGACCAGTCTTGGACACATGACCAGAGGCGTCGCGGCGCTGACTACGCCAAGCAGGTTCCATCGACTAGCGAATCGAATGGCTTCTTGCAAACTGGCTGCTCGCACGTCTCCGACGGGCGAGGTACCGGCATCGGTGAGGAATAGCACTGGAATCGAAGGTTGCTTAAACGAAAGCATCAGGCAGATGTCCGGATTGAAAGACGAGAAGATGATGTTTCGCTTGCCCATCTTGTCGTACACTTTCTCCAACACAGTGTCGACAAAGGAATTCAGCTCGACAGCATACTGGTCCATCTCCTCTTCTTCAGACTCATGAAGCATGGGATACTTCATCTCGACGTTGAAACCAACCGACTCAGGCAGCTCATCGAACATGCGCTCTAGAGTCGTGAAGGAAGACTGGATAGAATTGCCACGACTGTTACCCTTGAAACCCTTCTTCTTGAAATCGCGGGTGTACTTCATACGCTCAGTGAGCTCGTTTTGGCGATCTGTATGAATGTTGCGCTGCTTCGAGTTGTCGACCGAGTACGATCGAAGTCTCCGTGTGTTAGGGCGGTCATCTGTGCCATTCGTACCGTTGGGAACTGGGACCGTTTCTGGTGAACCAGCGCGAGAAGATCGTGGCTTTTGACCCTCGCCGATGTGAAGGAATTGATCCAGTGTGAGTGTGTGTACAGGTGCGTCGATACCAGTCTCGCTGACGAGGAAATCGTGGTAGATGACCGGCACGTGGTCCTTTGTCAACTGAACGTCAAACTCTACGTATTCCGCACCCAAATTTGCAGCAGAGATGAACGACTGTATTGTGTTCTCTCCGAGTTGCAGTGACGTACGTGAGGCTGTGTTCTTTCCCAGACCGCGGTGGCCAATAACCATGGTTGTAGCTGCCATCTTCTTCCAGTAGGTGTGCTGCTCTGTGACCGACATAGCTGGGTGGTGGAAGGGCGTAATGATCAAGAAGTTGAAATTAACAGTGCCGATCACGTCCAACGTGGAGGCCGCCACGATCGGTACCTTCATGTCTCCCTGGAGTGATATACGCTTGGATCCAATACTGGTCTTGATAGTTGACAGCAATGCCACTGCCCGTCCCACAACACGCTCTTGATTGCCGGCGTATGTCGGGATGATGTCGAACAACAGCTTGACCTTGGTAACATCGCTAGTCATAAAAGTTATAGGCTCAGTCGCGATATTCTCCTGGATGGGCAAGTCGATCACCGTAGGTTCTCCAGTAGCACCAGATGCGTTCACAACCACTGACAAAGCAGTGTCAAGTTGCGTCGCATGCGCATCCGCAAGGGGAATGTCATCCAACTTTACCGCAGGCGTATCCTTTCTGATGTCCATGGACCCAAGGCTAACGAGAACCATCGTTTCTTTAGTTAGATAACGATGGCCAAAAGTCTTTACAGGTTCGGGGGCCTTCTGCATAACGTTGTTGTTGTTGTCTCGGTTCAGGTTCTTGGATCTTCGCTCATCAAGTGAAGATTGAGTAGGCGACCCAGCTCGGGCGATGCGTGTATCCGTAGGCGCAACGAGATGCGATTCTGTGGTGGGCGTAAGTTCTGCTAGCCTTGCTGCTATCTCCATGTGACCACGGAGCGCGGCATGCTCCTTTGCTGTCCAACCAGAGTTGTCACACTTTTGCAAGTCAGCTCCGGCAGCGGCCAAAATCTCGACCATGGAAAGATGGTCGTCAACGCAAGCGATGAATAATGGTGTCCAAGCAAACGTCTTCTCGGCCACGTCCACTTCCGCCTTGTTCTTACTGGATCCTTTCAGTAGGACTTGGGCGCACTTATCATACCCATAGCGTGCTGCCATATGTAACGCGGTCTCACCACCTTCATCCTGATAGTTGACGTCCACACCAGCTTCGACTAAGAGCTTGACGATCTCTACGAAATTCGCCTGAGTCGCTAAAGTCAAAGCTGCACCTGATCGCGCAATGGCTTTCCGACATGCTAGTCGCTCTTCTGTGGCACCACGCCAGTTTTCTGCTTCAAGTAGAGCTTTGGTGGTAAGGGGATGTCCGCCCATGACGCTAAGATGTAGAGGAGCGTTACCCTCTGCATCCTGCCAGTAGTCGGAGTCGATACCTTGAGCGACATCGAACTGGCCCCAGTCTTGCATGTGCTTCATGACGACCTGGCAAATGACTACGAATCCATACTGCGCAGCATAATGGAGCGGGAACCTGCCATACGAGTCACGAGACTGGAGCGCGATGCGCTGCTCAGCACGAAGTTGGTCGAGTAGGTAGATGAGTAGTTGCACGGATTCGTCATTCTCGCTAAGTAGCTGCGTTGACTCTTCTTCGGTGGTAGTACAAGGACGAGGCTGGCGATTGGGATCCGTAGCAGGCACTATGAAGTTTCGTGTTTCACTCGAGCTCTGGAGGAGAGTTCCATCAGCTCCAAAAGTGTCGCCAGTCTTTGAACGACCAATATTGATGACAAGTCGGTGGATACAGTTGCGCTTGTTGATATCGTCTTCCTCCTCTAGTGAGATGATATCTTGCAGCAGCCTCTCAATACAGGACTTTGCCCGACACGAGATAGCGCGCTGCAAGAAGTTCAAGAGCACTTGCTGAACCGAGGAACTAGATACGCCGTTACTTTTGACGACTTCCGTGAGTTGCTCATTGAGATCGTTGACCTTGTCAGCACGGATAGCCGTGTCCACAGCGTCCAAAAGGCCCGAAGGAAGGTGTAGCGAGCGACCTGGGACTCTGCCCAGGGAAGCAGCAGAATGTGTAGAGCCTGTATCGTCGAATGTCTTGATGTCGCTCAGTCCCGATAGCCACTCATTGACCGCCTTCATATCCTGGTTCAAAGGCAAGTTGTGCGCAAAGGGCTTCGGATTGACTTTTGACGCTAGGTAGCGTTCCTGAAGACAAACAGTCTCGATTTTTTTGTCAAGCTTCTTCGTGATTTTGATGAAACCCCGGCGATTCACTTCTCCATACCATTGAAGCTTCCGCATTGATCCACGCAATTCAAGCAGCGCGCCCATGAGATCTTGCGCTTCGTCCTTATCGATACCCTCGGGTAATTGTGCGACTCGTCCATAGCGGCCATGCAGAAGTCGTAACCGTCGCGCGTTCTCGGCATATTTGCGGTTGTAGAAGTTATCGACGTCTTCGAGGTTACGATCGAGCGAGAAGAAGAACTCTGGATTTGTATGTCAGCCACATGTTCGTCGAATTTGGTAATCATGGACATTATCGGCATGCGCTCGCTCATGGCTGTGCTAGCATACCACAGACCTTTGTGGACGCAACGACGCCACGGGGGCACAACATTCAATACGGACTCTGGTAGGAGATGTAGTAAACATACCAGCAAGATCCGGAGCGGAGCCATCCTTGGAAGCTTCAGCAGCATTCTTGATAAGCTTCTTGAGGCCTTTATAGTTGATGTAGTTCGCCGCCCATTCCGGGACCTGGTTACGGGGTAGATTATGTCCAAACTTCATCTTGGAGGCAGAATGATAGTAGGTGGAAATCTATAGCCGGATCGAGCTCGATACTGAGCTTGGAGCGTAGCTCTAATGCGTATGGAGGACTAGCTTTGCGCTGGTGGGGGCGGGCAAAAGCAAGGATATGTAGCGGTAGGTATTGAATGATCGGCAGGGCAAGAGCCAGAGCATAAATTCCATGCGACCTGCGCAATCAACGCGTTAATGTTGAATCTTTAGGGTGTGCTCGAGGCGTCCATTCTCATTGGATGAGACAGAGCTCGACAAAACCGCGCCTGCAACATGGTTAAATGGACTGTCAAAAGTAGGGAAAGCCGCAGCTGAAGGCTGGGGGAAGTACACTGGAGCGGCGGATCGCTGATCAGTGTTATCGCGTGGTGCTGGAGGCGTGAGGGAAAGACGTTGAGATGAAAGAGACGTGGTTGGTGCTCGCGAAATGACGTATGGCGGCAGAGCGCGCTTTGTACTATCACTCCCGCAAGCGTAAGCAGAGGCTCGTCTGCTTTATACTGCAAGCTCCTGCAAAACTTGTGATGCTTCGGTACGATGGTGGATCCTTGCCCCAATTATCGCATTCGACTGCAGCCCGCTTGAGCGCCTCCTGCGTCGGCGGATCACGGCGGTGTATGTTTGTCAGCTTGACTCGCGAAGGACATGCGTTCAGAAAAGCCTGTTCTTGGCGCTGCAATTCGGTGTCATAAAGCAACTTGTGCGAGCCCCAAGCGCAACACAACTCAACACTGCGCTGGTGACCATCGTGAGATTTGAGCTCGGGCACACCGATACGGGCAACAAGGCACGCGACTGCCTTCTAAAGCGGGATGCATGTCATTCGTGGTGCCTACGGGGGCGCGGTAGCTTAGCCGGTCACACCGCATCAAAGACTGATTAACGTGGATGGTGGGGTTGCATTGATACTGGCTATGGGTTTCCCGCGCGATTAATGCTCATGGCACCTACACGGCACCGTTCATGCGTCCTGCTGCAGCTTTCTCCGCTCTGGGGAACCTGGCTTCTCCATATCCCGCCTGGGCGATTGGACCCTTCCCGCTAGTCCACCCATCGAGTCCGTGGGCGCTGGAACGTGCAAGATAAGGACCGAAGCAGCAGGCCTAGGCCTGCTCGGAAGAAGACTCTGATGTATCAGGTGCTTTACGAGAAAAAGAAGGCATTGCCTTCGTTGTCCTTTCGCTGCACCTTTGACAGGTCCTTGTCTGGTGCGTACTCTGTCCACGTGCTCGCGGGGAAGATATGCTTGTTGCGCTCGTACCAACGCCTGTCAACGACTTTGGTTATTGCTGGATCTTCACCGAAGCCCTCGAGTTCCTCATCTGGTATACTAGACTCTTTGCTCTTCTTCTTAGAGGGCTGAGCAAGTGGGTCGTATGTAGCAGGATCTACTTCGGCGTCGGCATCGGACGTGCTGGGAGTGGCTTTGGTGGGTTGTGCTGAGTAGTCGAAGATCGGGCCATCGAAGCCAGTGACCCTGTTAAACAAGAAGTGGTAGATCTCGTAGTGCTGGCGTCAATGTTAGCATACAATAAGAGGCACTTCTGAATATGATGCTTACATGCGGTAATATGACTTCACCTCTGACAAGCATCAAGTCATCTACGCTGACCCTAGCCCAATCTCTTCGACTCTTGTCTCCTCCCACGCCTAGCTCTGCACCCACTTTTCGGGCTTTGTCTAGAAACAACCATATCTGCTCGCCCTTCTTTATCCTGCATCTTCCGCCTGGAACATTGGTCCCATCATAGAAGACAAAAGGTATCACTACTTCGGTCGCCTTTACGGAGTCGCGCATGAGTATAAAGTCTTGCCGTGCCTGTTCTGCTTGCTGGGCTTCGCGTTGGAGAGCTGTCTTGGTCATGACACGGGGCTTGAGACCGATGCTCGAGTTTGCGCCGAGCTTCTTCTTGAACACCTTCACTTCAACTTCTGGGGCAGATGTTTCGGTGGGGGTGCTTTCGCGAGGGGTAGACGTCTTCGAAGCATTGGATTCGGTGTCTTCGTCTTCATCTATGCCGAATGAGAGCTTGCCTTTACCAGCTACTTTGCGCTTCTTCTTGAAAACGGGCTTCGGCGTCGATGCCCTATACTTTGCAAATTAGCGAACATCCAATGAGCGTGTTCGCAGATTCGTACCCTTCGGCGGGTGTGTTTTCGCCTGAGTTGATCGCAGCGTCACCTCGCTCCTTCCTATCGAGCGCCTCGGCGCGTCGCTTGCGGTAATCATTCAGGTTGACGAGCCCGACAGTTTGCGCCTTAAGCAAATCCTCGGCTGTCGCAGCCTGGGATGTGAAGCGCGCATTGCCAGATGTATCTGGGCGATCGCCAGAACTCGAGGCAAATCTGTCCATATTCGTAGAATGATGTGGGTTGGAGGATATGCGGTTGCCAAAAAGTCGACGATCATTTCGCGCCAAGCCCCGGTCGTGGCTCGTCCCGTGATTGCGTGAACGCGACGCGATCAACGGGAAGGAACACTCGCCCCCACTCCGATAACAATCTCGCCCCAGCGCTCTAAGCCCTTGCCGGACTACACACGACATGCACAGCGATGCCGCGCATTGTACAGGACTCAGATGAAGAGCTGGACGACGATCTCGAGGGCGACCTTGTGCCACCCAAACAACCAGACGCGTCCACGCAGCCACCCAGTAATGAGACCCACGGCACAGGATCCACCGGTAGGGCCGACACCATGAACCTGTATTCCGAGTTGAGAACGCTGATGTGTAATCCAGAATCACTGAAGAGGGCTATTGAAAAGGCGCACCGCGAGCATCTTCAATCGCAGCCCAGCCAGGATGAGCCTCAGTCCTCAGTATCCTTGCCTGAGCATCCAACTAAGAAGAGAAAGACCGCGGCTGATCCTAGCCCGCTCAAGCCGTCAATTGATGCATCGTCCAAAAAGAGAGGACCAATCACCTATGGCAAGGCTCCTAAATCTATCTTTGGTAGCTCTCCAGCAATCATCGCTCCACTGGACGACAAGGAAGGCACGAGCCTTGCTAATTGGATGCCGGACAGCACTATGCGCGGATACTGGATGAACCACGAACCAGCCATGTTTAGTGAGCATGAGCCTTCGAGCACTGTCCCCAACGCTACGATGACCCAGCAACATGTTTTGGAAGTTGTTAATGCTCCGATGATGATGGGCCAAGAGATCGATACTGAAGGTCGTCATTGGGTCCCACCGCCCGAACCATCGATACCTTGGTCAGACCTCATGAAGTTCACACCTGCAGAGGCTGCTGATCAGACTGAGTTATCGGAACGTGACCTACCTCCGCTCGATCTTTCATTAGCCACCCCGATTCGAACGACGCAGGGAGGCTATGAATACTCTGCGTCCCAACGTAGCAGGCGTGGGTCTTCCGTCCGTCTGAAAAACAGTCCTTTGAAGAACGAAGTTCCGCACACCGACTCCAACATAACTTCGGCTCTTGATTTACCCTCTACTGCATCACCAAGGACCCAGAAGAGCAGTTATGGAGAAGCAAAGGAGACGCCTCGTCGTTCAAAGTCACAACTAGTACCTAAGGATCAACCTGACGACGACCTTGCCGCTATCGGGCTCCCCAAGGAGCAATACAAACCACGCCCCAGTCGCTCAAGATCACTCAAGGTCGAAGAGGAGGGACCTATTGACTACTCTGTCCGACCCGAGAAAGTCAAAAAGGTTAGTAGACGGCGGCAGACAACAGCTGCTGTCGATGCCAGTAATATCAAAACACCTGAAAAGGTACGACAGATTTGCGACATGGGCTTCACACCTACGACGACCTCTGGGGCTCTGAAGCGAAACAACGGTGACGTCATACAGACCATAGATTGGCTAGTCACTAACAATGTTGGCCATGATGAGCTTGCACCACCAAGTCCACCTAAAAACAAGCCGGTCACGAACAAGAGTGAGGAGAAACCGGCGATGGACTCCGAGGCTATTCAAGATATTATGCGCGATCTGAACGAGTATCGCAGAGACGACACCCAGGATGCCGTGCAAGACACGGTCCACGTTGCGGTGGCGAACGGTACTACTATGCATACGGAAACCGCGGATGATATAGCAAGACCTACGGTGACCGAACTGCGTTCCCCGACAAAAGTACAAGTGGTGATACCTAAGAAGTCTCCAGTTGCCACTTCCAAGCAACCCGCAAGTTCAGCCACAACATCGAAGAAGAAGGCGAAGCGTAGGAAAACCATGTCGGATCAGCCTGAGAGTGAACAGGCCGCAGCAGATGATACTGTGCCTGAAGCCATACCCGCGAAGAAGACGCGTGGTCGACCCAAGAAAATTGCACCTACTGTTCCGCCCCAGGAGCCCAATTTAGAACCAATGGAGCAGACCACGGAGATGGAACAACATGAAGAAGCTGTGCAAACCACCGAGCCTGAAGCACTTCCGAAAATAGCACAGCAAAGTTCAGGAGCCGCATCGAAGGAGAGGAAGCAGTCAAATTCGGCAGATACCCCAGAGACAATGACTGCCAATGATCCCATCCTACCATCGAAACCCTCCCCGGCTGCAACATCAGCAACCCCAGAACCCAAAACAAAACCTACAACCGCATCGCCAGCCACTACAGGCAAGGTGCCATACCGTGTAGGACTGAGCAAACGCGCGAGAATTGCTCCTTTGTTGCGCATTGTGAAGAAATGATAGGGCAGTGCTTACTTCTCCTGTCACAAAGACATATAGATTATGACGTTACACTTAGCATCTAGCTATGTACCTGAACCTAATGATACCCACTTTTACTTGGCCTTACCTTCAATTTCCACCTCTTCGTGAACGTCGTATACAAGGACCAGCTGAAGTTTTTCTAGTGGCTCGCCTGCCTTAGCCGAACCACAACTCAACGTCTGAGCAAACTAGAGGACGCAGCTATTTGGTCTCGACGTTCTGGCGCCAAAGCGTATCGGCTATCCACTTTGTTGCATCTTCGTGGCGCTCGATCAATGCAAGACAACAGACTGCTGTTCGCTCTATCTACTGGTATCCTTACCTTGACGAAGTTTTGAACCACTAAACATCGCATTGCATATGCGATTTGCTTGCCGGAGGTTCATTGCCGCCGGCGGCATTATCGATTATCGAGAGCGGAAGCCAGCGCTAGCTTGGACTTGGCGGTGGAAATGAAGGCTCTCAGGGGCCTTCCAACACCGAATCGCAACCAGCGGACGACAGCCGGGGCGTTACCAATCCTGCACCCCTGAGCTTGGCGTCAGGCGTTCGTCCTTAGAGCTGGGAAAATGTGACTCGGAGTATCGTGCTGCGAGCGGCGCGCATGACGATGTGACCGTTACTGGCGCGCTGTCGCATACCGGTAGTCCCAACACCACGGGTGTCGCAACAACGGCTGACAGAATAGACATTGTTGTTACCGTTTCCTGGTACTGAAATCATTGTTCGCAATGTAGCATTCGAATCGCGACTAACATGCGGCATTCACCAACTTCATCGATACTGGTGATTGCCCTTCTGCAGAGCCCTTCAACCACATTCCTGGATTCGGTGCCGACGAAGCCGAAAGCGAAACGGCCTCTGATTCCTACGCGAGACGCCATCGAACGCCACATCAAGCCATCAACGTGAAAACCACGATGTTTTTGTGACGCCAAGTATCCCCGCTAGCCTGTTGTTGAGATAGGCCCCGCCGGCGATCATCCCACTTCAGTGTATCCGCGACGGGAGCTGGTCAGAACCAGCATCGCGTCTCATATATTTAGACCCCGGCGCCTTATTAGCTTGGTCATGACAGGAACAGGTCGGCTTCAGGCTCTGTTATGCCTCTTCGAGATCGACATGTTTATGGGGTTTGGCACCTCACAAGCCTCCCAAGGCTGTAGGGCTACCAAGACGTGCAATCACGATAAAGACATGAGAGTTTGCCGTATCACCTTACAGTGGCTTACACTAGGCGCCTTACCAATCTTCTCAGTACCATGCCGTCTCCACTGTCCCTTCGTATCCCACGAAAGTTTCCCAGGGCCGCGCTCTTGGCTGCTGATAATAGTGTGCTGACTTCTTTCAGTTAGTGGGGCTCCACTCCTCGCAGCTACGCCACGAGTCGTCGCCCTTGGAGGTGCGTCTACAGGATTCTCTGTTATAAGTATATCGGATTTCTTCTCTTTGCGTTCTTTACTCGTCTTGCTCGTCTTTGCACGCATAGCGACCGTCACTCGTTTACTCCTAACTAATTCTAATTGACTTATTGTCAACCACACTCGCTTTACACTTTTGCAACCTAAACCGAATACTACAACCATACTAGGACTGTAAAACTTAATTCGCTAAAATGCGTTTCACTCAAGTCGCTGCTGCCTCTTTGGTAGCACCGCTCGTTGCCGCTCATGGCATGGAGGGCATGCCAAGGATCGTTGGTATGCCTAGGCAGTTGAGGGCCAGCAACCCTTTTGCTGGTTTCAAAGACCATCATATTGCTCACCCAGATCCCATCATCCGCCCCCGACAGTCTGCTGACGGACGCTGTGGTCCTGACGGCGGCAACCAAAAGTGTGCGGACAACGAGTGCTGCTCAAGCGCCGGATACTGTGGTACTACCCAGGAACACTGCCAAGCGCCTGACTGCTTGTTCAACTTTGGACCTGCATGCGGTATGACACGTTCTTTCCCGTCTACTGTGATCAGCTTACTCATGTCACTGCAGATGCCAACAAGACTCCTGCTGGAGCAAGCACCCGCAATGATGTTCGCCAGAAGCTAGGATCCATTCCTTACGGCGGTGGTGGTATCTACGTCTGCAACAACCCTGGAACCGTCGCCATTACATACGACGATGGTCCATACATCTACACCGAGGACGTTATGGCTCAATTTGAAGCACGTGGTGCCCATGCCACATTCTTCATCACCGGTAACAACATCGGAAAGGGTGCCATTGATGAGAACTGGGCTGGTGTCATCAAGAAGATGTACGACAACGGCCATCAGGTCGCTTCTCACACTTGGTCCCACCAGGACCTTAGCCTCATCACCAAGGAGGAGGTTTACGACCAGATGGTCAAGAACGAAATGGCCATCCGTAACATCATCGGCAAATACCCTACCTACATGCGCCCACCTTACTCTTCCTGCGATGCTGAGTGCCAGGAAGTCATGTCTGATCTTGGCTACGTCGTTTCCTACTTCGATCTCGACACCGACGACTACAACAACTTGACTCCGGAGAAGATCCAGGTCTCCAAGGACAACTTCAAGAACGGCATCGACACCCGCAACAGCGGAGACCCATACGACGGTGACAGACTCGTCATCGGCCACGACATCCACCAACTGACCGCGGAGAACCTCACTGCATACATGCTTGACTACCTCTACGCCCAAGGCCTCACAGCTGTTACCATGGGTGAGTGTCTCCAGGACCCCAAGGAGAACTGGTACCGCGACTCTACCCCCGCTCCCCCCAGCACTTCCTCCACTCGCACCTCTTCTGCCGTCCCTACCCCCACCGGCCCTACCTCCAAGGACGGCATGTGCGGCTCAACTGGCGGTGACCAGTCCTGCGTCGGCTGGGTCGGTATTGACGGTCTCCTCGGCGAATGCTGCTCTCAATACGGATACTGTGGAAACACCGCCGACCACTGCCAAACTGGCTGCCAAGCCGGTTTCGGAAAGTGTGGTGCCCAGCCCAGTGCCTCTCCCTCCGCCTCTGCCTCCGTTTCTGCCAGCGTCACTGGTCCCGTGCCTACCCCTACTGGCCCTTCTACCACCGATGGATCTTGCGGTGCTGCAAACGGCGGCATGACCTGCATTGGCTTCAACGGCCCCGCTGGTCTTAGCGAGTGCTGCTCCGAGTACGGATACTGCGGTAACACTGACATCTACTGCGGAACAGGTTGCCAGGCTGGCTTCGGAAAGTGCGGTGCTCAGGATGTTAGCAGCGCTTCTTCTTCTGTAGCCGCTAGCTCTACCCCAGCTCCGTCTTCCTCGGCTGATGTCAGCAAGGACACTGTCTCTTCTTCCACTGTCTTGAGCTCTTCCGCCCCTGCTTCGTCCGATGCTAGCACCACTATCGATGCTAGCTCCAGCGCCAGCCAAGTCTCCTCCGCACCCTCTGCTACTCCTACCACTTCTGGAGAGAAGTCCCGCGACGGCTCTTGCGGCGGTGACAAGGGATACACATGTGTTGGATTCAGCACTCTCGAGGGCGTAAAGTCCGAATGCTGCTCCGCTTGGGGATACTGCGGTTCCTCCGAGGACCACTGCGGTGCTGGTTGCAACCCAATCTATGGCAACTGCCCTTCGGTCTCTTCTTCGTCTGTTTCCTCTTCCATCGCTGTTTCCAGCGCCAGCGAGAAGTCCGAGTCCACATCTTCTACTGTTGCTACGCCCACATCTGAGGTCATTTCTTCATCTGTTTCTGCTTCCGCCTCCGCTTCGGCTTCGGAGTACGTTTCTGCATCAGTCTCTGAGCATGTTTCCGCGTCTGCTTCGGCTTCTGCCTCGGCTTCTGCCTCTGTTTCTGAGCACATCTCTGCTTCCGCTTCCGCTTCCGCTTCAGTCTCCGACTACGCCTCGGTGTCCGTCTCCGTCTCCGAGCACGTCTCCGCATCCGCTTCAACCCCCACGTCTGAGAAGCCAGAGGAGCACGAGTCCACCTCCGTCTCTGTCTCTGTCTCTGCTTCCGCCACAGACTCCGCTTCCAAGGACAGCTACCCCACCAGCTCTGTCGTCCCAGCCTCCGAGTACCCAGCCTCCACTCCTGGAAACTCCCAGACCGTCCCATCAAGCAGCTCAGTCGCCGTCTCGGCCTCTTCCGAGTACCCCGTCTCAAGCTCCGCTTCCTCTGCCTACCCCGTCTCTACCATGACACCCACCCCCGTCCACCCCTCATCTTCCTTCTCGACTGCCATTGTCCGCCCTAGCTCTACTTCCTGCTCCACAACCGCCACTCCTACACCTACCAAGCTCCCCGTTTCTTCAAACGGAAAGTGCGGTGAGGCCAACGGTGGCCAGACATGCGCTGGCTACAAGACGCTTTTCGGTGTTGAGATGGGATGCTGCTGCAAGCAGAGTGGACGTTGCTCCATTGACCCCTGGGCGTGTGGTCTTGGATGTGACAAGGGATACGGAAAGTGCTGGTTCTAGATGATGAGCGAGGTATTTTTTTATGGACTTTCTTCATGTTCTGGTTATATCCTTAGGGTGGTGGTTTGTTGTGGCTTGCTTATGTAACATGTAGAATAGCAATACATGATGATGAAGACCTAGTGGGTGTTGTGCTGGAAATTCTTTTGATCATGGTATCGTGTCCGGTGAAAGTGACATAGTGAGAAACTCAAGCTCATTACAAAGGAATGCTACGAAGTGTTTCTCAAGAAAGTGCCACAATTTAGGCAGCGGTGGGACTATGAAAACCCTCTGGAAACGGTCATGTTCGAGAACCAACGTTACAAGTACGGCTGGATGTCCGAGGTCCCGGATTACGGCTCTGCCTATGATTCAGACTGAGTGGCATGGCGAATCAGTATTCTCTAGATTCTGGATTTCTAGATGTACGAAGAGAGGATCGAAAACAAAACGAAGTTGGAGAAGACATGTACGACAGTCTCATCTTTTTGGGCGGTAGTCACATGCGCATTACTTCCCAGCTTTGTGTCTTGGCCTTGTACTTCTAGGATAATCATATAAAACTGTGTCAGTACGACCTCCCCGCCTTTCTCACATCCCAAAGTACACTCCATTTTACGAAAAAAAAAACAAGCCAAGTGCGTTCATGGAGGAGACTGCCTCTTCTCCAAAAAGTCTCAACCTGTCAATTATGTCCGGCACCTCTCTTCGCGCCCTAAAATCGATGGCTCGAGTTTGTCATGAGGAGCGTTCTTCGAGTGCCACCCTAGTACGAAACTCATCACAAGAGAGCCACATGTGCGGCACTTGCTCTCCTTCCCCAGCTCTACACTTTTGGACTGTTCGATACATAAAAGCGTCTTCGCTACGCCCAACCTCCACTCATCAATAATCTCATTTCATTCTCTTCTTAACAGAATGCGGAAACCAGACGAAACATGGAGAAGGCGTTCGGTCTTCCAACATACAACAGACATAGTCATGTTTCTTCATCGTGCCGTAATTACCAAAAGACGTATCAGTGTACTTCATGACGGGAAATCTCTGTTCAGAGTTTACACCACTTATCCAACAAAAAAAAATGATAGCGATCCTTGATGTGTGGCAGTCGCGGCGAGGTACACACAACCGTATCCTAGTCTGAGCTTCTACGTGTATCGAAAACTGGAAAGGTCATGGGTATGACGGTGCTGTCGCTCTTGGTGGAGCACTGCAATCGCTGAGATGGCGATGGCGATGTTCGATCACATGTGCAGCTGTCTTCTTGGCTCTTCTATAAAATGATCTCTTCGGCAGCTGTATCCCTTCTTTCTGCATCCAATCTGTTTCTTCTTTTACCAAAAAAGCCTTGATCAAGATCCATGGGGATTGCTCTGCCTGCACTCCAAAACCAGACACGTATGACATATGTGTTCGCAACCTTCCTTGCTTCAAAACCAGAACCATTGTCCGGGTGACTGTGCGTTCTTTCCAGGACAACTTTGAAACTATCTGTTCATCCAAAAGGACCGAAACACATATCATGTTTGCGCTACGCTGTCGCATCGATCTACTGCCAAATTCGCTATGGAGACACCTCTCTTCTTCTTCTTCTTTGTAATCAGAGTCCGTCGCTTCTTCCAAAAAGGCTCGTCGTAACTTCGATGGGGACTGCGCCTCTTGTTCAAGAATGTAACATGCTAGCCCGATGGAGATTGCGCCTTTCCTTCGAAATCACAATTACAAGGTTGACAAGTGTGTCTTTCTGTGCTGTCAAGCTTGTGCGGATTAGGAAAATAGCCGTCGTTTCTCGCTCACGAGATCTATGAGCGCAAATCATCGACAACCAACCACGAAGCTCTCAAGTGTGCGTCGTTCGCTGGCTCTACTATAAAACCTGTCTGCGGCTGCAGCACTTTTCTTATAAACTCAACTTCTTCATCTTTTCCCCAAAATGCGAATGTCAAAGCGACATGAAGATCGCGCCTGTTGCTCCTAAAGTGACCGCAAAACAGAATTATGTGTCTCTCTCGAAGCACCATATCGAACTTTCGATGTTTCAGAGAAATCGCACATCCCCTCTCATGAGAGCGCTACCGCCACGAACACTGCATATAAAACATCTCCGACTAGTCGACTACTCTTTCTACATCATCAGCTATCCTTCCTTTTTCCAAAACCTTGTGGGATGGTTGTATGAGACCGCGTCTCTCTCTCTCTTCAAAAGTGAAATTCAACCATTATGTGTTCCAGACCTTTTTCCCGGCTCCCGACCAGGCCGGCAATCGTCCAAAATATCACGCACCCTACCAGAAAGCTCAAAATATCCAGGACAATGGGCGAGCGCTGTCGTCTTGCAACTATTATAAAATCCTCCACTGGCCGACCTTCTTCCTCCATCATCCATTTTCCTCCTCCCTTTTCCTAAAAACACTACGGATATTTGCCATGGAGACGGTGCCGCCTTCCAAAGCTTCATGAGTCCACTCGATGCGCCTGGTCTGGCCTCTTCTTCTTCTCTCAATACTCAATCTCCAAGTTCACAATGAGATGACTACAAGCTTCGCGCCGAGTTTGACATGGCGGAAATCGACTCAAAGAGGAAATGATCATGCGTGATGGGTTGGAAGAGTACTGTTCCCATCGACATGTTCGTCCTCGCTGTCTGGAGCTGCGATGTCGACAGGATGGGAAACGGGAGCAAAAGCAGGAGCAAAAGCAGCAATGGGATATAAATTCGAGGTCCTCGATTCTATGTTCTTCTTTCTCTTCCCTTCTTTCACACTACACAATGGATGCCATCTCTAAACAGAAAACCAGCGAGCTCACTATGTGTCGAGCACCGAAACTGCCATAGTCACTTTACATGGTCCGACGGACGTCGGTGTCGGATACCTGCCTACGTTTACAAAATCATCACTGTACACAACCAAAACCGTCATTCACCTTCACCTATGACCTGAGATGACGAAAACGTCGCGACATTATACCGTCAGACTTTTGCGTGATTCATAGGAGAGAGTGTAATACATACGGATCATCCTATCTCACACCTACCAACCAGCCAGCGTCCACCCACCCCACATAACAACAATTCTACCAAAACTCCCATCCATGATGCGCTCACGCACACACACAACACCAAAAACGCCAAATCGCTATGCCAGTCACACCACCAACCCCCATGAACCCAACCCGTCCTCACAGGCTCCCCTCCTACACACACCCTCTCTCTCTCACCCATCACCAGCAAAATACAAATATCACAGCCTCCCCACCCCCACCCTCGCCCCCCAATCCCCGCGATTAAACCTCTTCAAATCCCCCCCAGCCCTCCTAAACTTCTTCATCTCCCACTTCTTCTTCTTTTCAAACTCTTCACCTGCCAGTCTCTTCCTCACGAGTGACTTTTCCTCCACTGTATTACCATGACCACCACTACCAGCAACAGTAGCATCGTGCAACACAGCCGCATCTTCCCAACTATACGAGAATTCCTTGATCAAAGGATGACTTTGGTTGTTGAGTTGGATAGCCGAAAAAGGGTTCTTGTGGGAGAATTTGAGTAGGTCGGGGGTGGTTTCTGTTTGTTCTGTTACGACCATTGCTGCTGTTGTTGTTGTTGTGGTCGTCGTCGTCGTCGAGCTGAGCTTTAGACCATGGGCATCACGTCTCGAAGTGACGGTAACAAACGGAGGACCATCGGCGTCACCATCATCAATAGTAGTAGTGTGCTTCTCCTCTTCCTTCTCGGGGAAGGGGTTCGGTATACCAGGCGACGTCGGCGTCGGAGTATGCGTACCACCAAAGACGCGTTTCGGAGCCGTATCGAATCTCGCGAGCCCTTTGATGCCAAAAGCGTTATTCCCTTTACTCCTCGTCCTTGCATGATGATGACTACCACCTCCTCTTGCTGCTGTCTTGTCGCCCCCGAGCGGCGGTCCAGGTATCCAGTCTTCCTCTGCATCACTATTTTGCTCTCCCGGCATGCCGACACCCCCTCTGCGTCGCCTGTTCTCTTCATCTTCACTCGCTGGGCGTTGCAACTTTGGTCCCGCGGGCGTCATCTTGACGCGTTCCTTCTCCTTGCCCTTGGACGTCGGTTTCGCGATACGTTCCTCCTCCGGCGGCGGCATCTCCTTGTCTTCGCCCCTCATTTGCGCTTGCCTGACCTCGTCGGCCATGTCCCGCGGCACAGCAGCATGGATATCCGTCATGAGCTTTGCCCTTCTACAGTAACCCTCCCAGTCCTCGACGGCCAACTTGCCTGCTGCTTCGTTGAGCGCACTCGCGGGATTCGGTTGGATGAGGAGACAGGATATCGTGACGAGCACGTCTCTCAGCTTCAAACTACTACTCCAGTCCCGCTTCAGCGTCTCCACACACACGGCGCCCGTGGCCTCGTCAATGTTCGGATGCCATAGTCTGGTTCGGAATTGCGCCGTGGGCGGGGCGGCGGGGTACGTAGGTGGTATGTCGAGGTGCAGGCGCCATACACCGCCCGAATAAGGTGTTCCTACAGGGCCGGCGAGAAGGACGTCTAGAGAGGTGAGGTCTGCCGAGTCATCCGCGCCTGGAGGGAACAGGTAGTTGGGAGGAAGGCCGGCGGTGTGCAGGGAGCCGTGGTCGGCGGCGAGGCGGCGCAGTGACTTTGAGTTCTGAGTGTTTGTGTTAGTGGAGTGCGTGGGTACGCGACGGGACATGCGAGCATCACCATGGCTGTGTGCTGTAGTAGGAGCGCGTCTGTGTAGGTGAGAGAGAGAACAAGGCGTTCATTGCGCTGCTGTACAGACCATCTGCCGTCTTTGGAGTGGTGAGCAGTGACGAGTCAGGCCTGCGGTCTTCCAGCGGTTGCCATGCACCCACACGTCGGTCGCGACGCCCCGCAATTCGCCGCCATCTGAGCGCGCCTTAGCGCGTCAACTCCACCTCCGGCCTCCTCACCCATCAACCTCAAGCCATGCATGATCAACATTTCAAACAGCTACTCTGCGTAAAGACATCTCCATCTCCATCATATTTGCTAGCTACAGTCATCCATCCAGAAAGAAGAAAAGAAGAAGAAGAAAAAACGACCCTTCCAGATGCAGGTCACATATAGTCTTACATCCATCATTTCCCTCTAATACTCCCTAACAAACGCCATGCTATAAACACCCCTACAAGATGTCCATCCCATCCTCCGTCTCCACAAAAGGAAACTGCCCACTCTCAATCGCCGCCACCCGATCCAACTCCTCCTGATACTCCTTCCTCAGCGTATCCAGCGTAACAATCTGCCTCTTGAGCAACTTCTTGCCCTGTCCAATCCCCCAATTCAACCCCCCTCCTGCACCACTACTTTCCATCCTCTGCTCAGCCAATATGTACGCATCCTCTTTACTGACCGCCGACAAGGTATTGATAATCATGAGGTAAATCTGCGCCAAGCTTTCATCAGCCGGGTCGTGGATCTTGCTACTGGTCGTCTTGAGACGTTGCAGCCGCTCGTGCAGGATAGACGCTGCGCCGCGGAAGTTGTTTCGGCTGATGCGGAACGAGTAGAGGATTTGATGGTACGGCGGTCCGGAAGCAAGGTTGAGTGTCTTTTGGCAGAGAGAGGTGAGGATGGTGTCGACGGCGTCGGAGAGGCCGACAAATGGGAACGTGAGGAGGGTGGGAGTTTGCGAGGCCGTGACCATGGTTGTGATGAGAGTTTGAAGATCAGATGTTTTCCTGTGTGGGAACGGCAACAGTCAGTATAACAAGTTGGACAGTGGTAAAGACGGGTATTTGACGTACAAGGCTGTGTCGCTATGCCTGATCAACGCAGAGTACGCATCATGGAATCTAGCTGTTTGTATTGAAGCGGTGAAGAGCCGTTGGAGCAGATCCGTCTTGAGCTCCTCATCTTCCTGGCCCATCAAACATCGCAGACCGAGTTTGGCAAAATCCGCGACGTAGGAGTATGCCTTGGCCTTCTCGAACAGGCCGATGACGTGACTGTAGTAGCGTGCTAGGCCTTCGGAAAACGAGTTTCGCTCGACTTCTGATACCAGGCCTGCTGTGTCTTCTTCCGCGACATCGAACATTGGACCGAGGGCTGTACAGGTTAGTGGTCTGTAGGCAAATTTGCATGTAGTAGACTTACCCATGGTATATGCAGGCTTTTGGAAGCACAAAGACGCGAGCGCACTCTCACCGAGTGCAAGGTGCATGCGCCCCTTTAGATAAGAGGCCCAATGACCTTCAGGAAGGAACTTGGAAAAGTCCATAGCGAGGTCGTACTCTTGCTGTGCTAGAAGGAACCCCATAATGTCCTCCACGACATTCTCAAAGTCGTGTTCCCTAAAGATGAAAGACAACCAGCCCCGGCTCCAGTGGGTGAGTAGACCCGCCTTCGTATCCTTTGGTAGCAAGACCTCAAAGGCGCGCAGTCCGTAGATGCCCTCGAGGACTGTCTGGGTGATAGGTAGCTTCTGGGTCTTGTACGTCTCGCCTAACATGCGATACAGTTGCTCTGACGCTTGACCCGTCATAGACTGGTGAGCCCACACTGTGCGAGCTAACCAGGACACCACCATGCAATCCTTGTATCGAAGCAAAAGTTCTGCAAAGACTTCAGATGCATCCCACTCATCATGTGTTTCTCCCTCCAGCTCGATGAACATGAACAACAGCAGCACAAGCAAGTCCAATAGGGCATTGTGGTCATTCTCAAGCGTTTCCTTGGAGACTGAAGATAGCGCACTCAGCCCATATCTTGCGATTTGCTTTCTCGACTGAGGTCGGCCATCGTGTTCATAGTCCAGCTTCTTGATAGCTCGGAGAAATGTCTCAGTGCCCAAGTCCTTCACTTCCATACCAAGCTCTTCGACAAGGACGGTGACATCCTCGTCAGTCACATGCTGGGAGAGTTCGCTGTTGACCTCGATCCATTCCATGCGATCCAAGATTGTGATGTTCCGGCTCTGTAGTAGGTCCATCTCCATGTGGCGTTGTACTTGTTGCTGGACAAAAGATGGCAGTCGTTGACGGAAGGAAGCTGCGGCGTTCAACAAACGTGCCACATCGCGAGACTCCGAAGTATCCAGGGTTTGCCGTAGGGGTTTGCTCAGCACGCGCTGGCTTGAGATGGCAGCTGCGTTGAGTGTAGTGACTTCTGACTCGCTGCAATTCCTAATCGCAGAGAGGTGGTCGCTCAACACTAGCCACGGCCGGTCGGTAGCTCGGTCGTAAACGAGTGATAGCGATTCTCCCCTCCGCTTATGTAGATCCTTTACCAGACTCCAGTAAGCCTGCCACTCTGCTATTATGGCTTTGCTAAGATCTTCTGTTTGCGGACTGTGCTCGACCGCGAGGGTGACAATAGTGGCGCTTAGACGCTCTTTCAAGCTGCCCCGATTCGACGATCGACTTGACCGCACCCGCTCTGAACCTCTTTTGCAGATGAGCAGCGCCGTCTCCAACGTCGCAATCGTGAACCGTCCGGGATAGAACAGGAAGTCAATCCATTGATCAGAGACCTCCTCGTCAGGCTCCAACTCTCGCTCGCTAGGATTCGCAGGATTCATCTTTAGTGCCTCGACGGTCAATGGGCCTGAATCAACAGACACCCAATCGCTCTTCCAAGTTTGTGTTCGTTGGTCGGCAAAATCAGTGAGGTCGAATTTCAATGAGTAGACTTTACTGCTCGGTCCTGACCTAGCGCGTATCCAGATCTCCGAGCCCCTCCACCCAGGTCCTGGGATTACGTGGAATTCCTCTAGTGTCCATACAGTCGTGTTCATCAGTTCGTCAATCGGCGGAATGAGCTCCGAGTCCTGCGCAGCATCGTAGAATCCATGGTCCTGGTCGTCCGCGTCCCGCACGCCCCAGAACTTGAATTGATGTTGCTTCGGAGAGTAGGTGACGATATGATACTCTGCGCCTCCCGGCCCCCCAAGACCGTCCACAACAGTCATGAGCATCGACTGCGAAGGTCCAATCGAGTATGAAGCTTGTGACTTTTCTAGTGCAAAGTCGTCGGCGCCCAAAAGGTCAACGTGAGCACCTGGCTTGCCCGACGCAATGTTCCACGCCCTTATCGAGTGATCCAAACACACTGAGAGGATGTGTTGCTTGTTCGGTGATATCGCGACCGCAGCGGCGGCTGATACAGCAAAGTCTGCGTTTTCAAACCTGACTGTGGGCTGCGCTTTCCATGACAGAAGACCGCGTACCGACCAGTTACTCTGCTGGTACCGCGCCCCGTCCCACGTGTTGTTGGCCTTGTCCCAAATCAGACGGCAGATGGCCCCATCATCAAGTGTTACGAGTAGCTCCTCTGCGCTTTCGGCGACCAATCTGTAGGGTATGCGCCCGCTGAAGAGGGCCGGCTCGAACCTCTTACACCACGTCTCGGGTTCCTGCTCCGAGGCTGCGGGAGTGGAGAAGAAGTCGCGGTGTAGAGTCATGGTATAGAGCTCGTTGTTCGTCGTGATTACGAAGACGCTCAATGCGTTTCGGTCAGCGGGCTCAGCGAAGGCGACGCAAAAGGGTCGAATCTCGGCGGGGAACTGGAAGAGGAGCGCGAGGTTGGCCTCGAACTTGTCGGCAAAGTCGTGGTCCAAGTCGGTGGACTGTATCTCCAACATCTTTCTGTTGTCCAGCACCCGCCAGAGGAAGCTTCGCGGGTATGCATGGTGTTGCCGAAAGAACATGGATCCATCCGTGGCTAGATGACGCCTCGTGAAGGCCTCCTCGTCTTTGTCTGCATAGTGCTCTGTGATAAGACTGCGCTTCACCGTACCTCGGATCCCGAAAGGAGCGTGTGTTGGTATCGAAAATACGATTGTCGAGCCAGGATAGGCGGGTTCGATGTTCAATCGCGCCTCTTTGTAGAGACATGTGCCTCCGTTTTGAACCATGGCGATCGCATGCGAAAGGGTCCCGACTGTCGTCGCAGGAGTCGAGGAATTGTGGCGCGCGTTGGGTTGGAGTTGCAGCTGTCGGCGCGAAGGTAAAGCTCACAAAAACAGTCGCCGCGGTGCATGCACGAAGCTGTCTGGCGCACGCGTGCACGGACGCGGCTTTGTCCTTCACCGCAGATCACCTTGACGTTTCTTGCAGGGGGGCTCGCATCACGCAGCACGCGAGAGAAGTGGACAACCATGATGTGCTTCGGTTCAAATTTTGTATTAGGATATCATACGCATTGCATAAACATAAATCGTCCACGACCAAACACATCTAGATCGTCACCGCCCCATAACGCCTTGCACCGGCAATGCGAATCGGGGCCGAAGCCCCTCCATCAGCCTCATCACCTATTGGCCCTCTCCTCGAGGTCCTTCTCCTTGGGATCGCCAATGCCGTCTTCGTTGATGGCGAACAGGCAATCACTCTCTGGCAGACATGGGCTGTCATAGATCTTGCAAACACGCGTTTCTCCCCTGCCCTTCCTCAAGCTGAGGCGCGTCGTACTTGCGTGCGCAATGATGTTTCCTCCGATAGGTTTCTTCGGATCTGGGTTGAACATGGCACTTGGCCCACCATCCACTTGTGCAACGACTTGGTTGGTGATTACGACGGCAATACCAAACTCATCCGCAAGCCGTTGTAGCGTGCGCATGAACTTGGCCAAATGTGTTTGCCTAGCCGAAAGCTCTCCACGCCCTGCAAAATCCGTTCGATATAGTGCGGTGGCGGAGTCGACGACGAGCAATGAGAATCGTGTCTCCGTCATCATCTGGGCGGCCTGGTTGAGAAGCTCCAGCTGGTGATCAGAGTTGTATGCGCGCGCGTAAGCAACATTGTCTAGAACTTCTTCTCCTGAAAGTCCGAATCGATTTGCCACAGCCAAACATCGTACTGGTCGGAAGGTGCCCTCAGTGTCGATGTATAGGCATTTGCCCTCACCACCGCCCATGTCGAACGGCAGCTGGCAGGTAACGGCGAGTGTATGACAAATCTGACTCTTTCCCGTTCGAAACTCGCCAAAGATCTCTGTGATCGAGCCGGTCTCAATTCCACCTGCCAGAAGAGTGTCCAGTTGTTTTGAGCCGGTCGTGATCGAAATCAGTTCGCTACGACGTGAGTGCATCTCGGTAGCCGTGGTGAAGCCCATAGGCACAAGTTTGGAGGCTGTTCAAGTAAGCAACAGGCAATATAACGGCGTCATTGCTGCTTACCCTCTGCAAGTAGTTTTGAGGCCTTTTGTTCTGAGATGCCCTTTATTTGCTCGAGCGCTCGCCGTGGCCTGTCTGTCGTTAGTGGCGGGGCCAATCTACACACAGTGGCTGACATACGTATAGGCAATTGACTCTACGGTGTTGAAGCCGCCCTCAACAATCAATTTGATGTCGCGTGCAGTCAATCCATTGACTCCCTGAGATCTCGTCAATGTCCGCTGCGCGTACCAAGTCAAGTAAAGCATACCTCAAGCGCAGACACCGGAGTGGGGGCACCAGGGCCACCCATGCTGCTATCATCGAACTGCTCTTCTTCGGCACTCATTTTGACGGATATGGGACAGTAAAAAAGTGTGAATTAGTCGTTGTACTGGAGTCGAGTGTGAAGTGTTCAAGAAAGAGAGATGAGTGGCGAACGGGCATCTAGATCAGGCGCGTCTTGCTAGCGCCAAACGCGTTCTCACATGACGCTGATAAATCGCCACAAGGCAGTCGCGCAGGCTCCCACGGTCATGTCCGACGTTACTCCGCAACACCAAAGACGCTTCACGCACTGACACTTCGGGTGTATGTATAGTCACATGTTCATTCCTTTCTATTTCATGGTATCATTGTACGTAAAGACCTACTCGTCATCGCCAAAGAAGACCTTGACCGGTAGCCAGGCGTCACCACAAACCTTGAAGCGCTCAGGCAGCGAGCTAATCTCCTTCATCTCCTCATCAGTCAGCTCCCAGCCGTCAAGCTGGAAGTTGCCCTGGATGCGGGATGCTGTGACGGACTTGGGGATGACGCTGGAGCCACGCTGCAGACCCCACATGAGCAAGACTTGCTGGACAGACTTGCCCTTGTTGTCGGCGAGCTTCTTGAGCTTCTCGTTCTTGTAAAGAGGTGAGTCGGTTGATCCGAGGCAGGAGTAGGCGGTGGCGTGGATGCCCTTCTCCTTGAGGTAATCGAGGAGCTTGGGGCTGGTCTCACTGTCAGTTTACACATACATGAGTGAGCTGCCAACACATGACTTACGAGGGGTTGTTGGGGTGGAGCTCGATCTGGTTGACGGCAGGTGTGGTCTTGAAGCGAGAGTCGGCAAACAGCTTCTCGAGGTTCTTGATGGCGAAGTTGGAAACACCAATGTTCTTCACGCGGCCAGACTCGGGGAGCTTTTGCATCTCCGCCCAGGTGTCCTTGAAGTCCCAGTCGGGGTAGTGCTTCTTAAGATCATCGGGGTCGGTGGAAGAAGGCCAGTGCTGTCACCGCGTCAGTGTTTAGTCCAATCGGAGAGTATACCTTGATGTTGAGCAACTTACCATGAGGTAAAGGTCAACGTAGTCGAGACCAAGACTGTTCAGAGAGCTGGTAATGCCCTCTTCAACGCGCTTGTGCCATGGGTTGTCAAGCTTGGTGGTAACCCAGATCTCCTCACGGGGTACACCAGAGTCCTTGATACCCTCGCCGACCTCCTTCTCGTTGCCGTAGGCAAGCGCGGTGTCAATGTGGCGGTATCCTCCCTGGAGGGCAGCCTTGACGGCCTCGCGAACCTCACCAGGCTTTGACTGCCATGTGCCGAGACCGACAGCGGGAATCTTTGCGCCAGTGTTGAGCGTGAAGTGCTCCTTGGTCCAGTTCTTGGGTGCCATTCTTGCTAGGGTACGAATCATAAATTGTAAGGTAAAGTTTGGGATGTAGGAAATTTGAAAGAAGGCAGAAATGGCAAACTTTTGAAGGGTGATCTGGAGGGGCAGTGCCGACGCGTTGTGTACCCCTCCTACGTCAGGGCCATCCTTCATCCAACACGTTGGTATCTGTACCGAGCAACTTTAAGCACCGGCATAAAACCTCCACGTATCAGGACGCGATTTGCCCGCGGGTGAGGTTAAACGGGTGGGGGGTGGAGCGCTACCCACCTGGCGCTAGAACCCAAAAGGAAGTCGGAACAGTACCATTTTTTGGCGTTCTGCCGTTGAACATTCCCGCTTCCATTGCACCGCCATCAGCTACCTGCGCTAGCCGAATAAGTGTGGACCGCAATGTCTTCAGGATTCGTCAGTGGCGGCAAGGCTGGTGAGGAAGTCGAACGCGATGATGAGTGGAAAAAGGCCCAGCAAGAGATTGAGGATGCGAGACGCGCCAAAGCCGACCTAGCGAAGCAGCAAGACGGGAAAAGTCTTTTCGAGGTCTTACAAGCCAACAAAGACAAGAAGCAAGCTGAGTTTGAAGAAAAAGCGCGGTACAAGCTGCATGTTGCTCTGGACGACGAAGAAGCCGACCACCTGGATTCGGTCTTGCAAAAGAAGCGCCAGGAAGAAGCCAATGTAAAGAAAGAAACCTTTGAACAATTAGATTTGTTCCGCAGACAGCGCGAAGAAGCCGAGAGGAGGGCTCGGGGTCTCGAAGAAGAGAGCACAGAAACACCTCAAGAGGAGGATGCCGGCCAATGGGCGGCAGTTGGACGAAAGAGGAAGAAGGGTACTGAAGCTGGTCTCCTAAAGGGCGTAAAGCTTAGGAAATCGAGCTCCATGCCTGAAGAGAAGAGCAGCACCAACGAAGTAAAGGCTACGAAGCAGTCTACGCCAGATGTCAAAACGAACACACCTTCTACTACGGGCGGCAGTAACGGCGTAAAGAGTCCCGCGACATCATCCGTGAACGCGACAAAGCCACCAGCAGGGCCACCTTCCTCCAAGCTCGGAAACACGCTTTCGCTCGGGTTAGGCTATGCATCTTCGGATGATGAAGACTGAGTCTCTATCGAAGGCTGGATGTCGTTCTCGAAACGAGCGTAGCCCACCTCAACCAGAATGTTTTTCTGGAAGGAATCTTGCAATTCCTGCGCGACACGAAAACAGTTGCGATTATGCAGGTACTGGCGTACGAAAACTGAGAAGCTTCATCTTTGCCAATCCCAACATGTTGAAACATGAAAAACTACTTGTAATGCGTCTGTGTCAGCGCTTGGCACCCTTACGGCATGCAACTATATGTTTACCAGCACGACATCCTGGGCGTTGGGCATCACTTCACAACACGCGACGTGATGATGTCATTGGCCAGCCGCATGGGTGACGCTTACCTGTTCCTAGCGACATTCCGCGACAGCAGTTTCCGCCGGAACTGACGATCAACTATCCATATCATCAATCAACATTCATTCTCGAACTGCTCGCAACTCGTCAAAAATGCATTCGTGATTTTACTGACATAAAACAACGCAACTAACAATCTGGCATCGCGATCTGAATGTGCAACGTCGCAACAACATGGCACACCAACCCACCAACCACGAAGATTCTCCGCTTCTCCATGACAACAGCAGCTCTCCAGGAGACAACGAGACTACCCGCAATGTCGATGAAAAGATGGATACGCGCCTGATGTTGAAGATTGCGGCAGCAATGTACTCCTTCACCACACTCGGCCTCTTCAACTCCTCAATCGGCACCGTCCTCCCTCTCCTCTCCTCCTACTACCATCTCACCGACCTCCAAGTATCTTGCATCTTTCTCGTCCCGCCCATCGGCTACGTTGTAGCAGCACAGTGTAGCGATACTGTGCATCACCGCTTTGGCCAACGAGGAATCGCAGTTGCAGCGCCTTTGTTACAAATCCTGGCTACGACGATGGTAGCAACGCATCCGGGGTTTGGGTGGGTGCTGGTTGCCTTTATGTTCCAGGGGCTGGGAACGGGGCTGCTGGATGGGAGTTGGTGTGCGTGGGCGGGGAGTATGGAGAAGGCGAATACTGTGAGCGGGCTGTTGCATGGGAGTTATAGTGTTGGTGGGGCGATGGGTCCATTTATCGTTACTATTTTGACCACCAGGCACTTTCCGTGGTGGACCTGGTATTCTATCTTAGTGAGTTCCCTGAATCCAAGGTCTTTCACTTCCTTGACTAATGGTTGTAGGCTGGAGCATGCGCGCTCTCTTTCTTGGTTTTAGTCATGGCATTCCGTAACGAAACCGCATCCGTCTACCACGAAAGCAAGCAGTCGAAAATCAACGATTCCAAGATCGACGTCAAGGCCGTGTTCAGATACCGAGCTACTTGGTTCTGCGCAGCGTACTTTCTCACTTACGTTGGTATCGAGACAGCGATCTCGGGGTGGATCGTCTCATTCATGCTGCGCAGCCGCCACTCAACCGCTTACGTCGCTGGTCTGTCTTCTACGGGGTACTGGATTGGCATGGCTATTGGACGACTCACGTTAGGTTTTGCAACAGATAGAATGGGGGTGCGGCGCGCGACTGGTTTGTACTTTGTTCTCGCTATTGGGATAGATATTCTCTTCGCTGCTTTGTCATCTGCAGCTGCTTCTGTGGCGCTGATGACAATGCTAGGGTTTATCATGGGTCCGATGTTTCCGTCAGGAGTTGTTGTGCTTACACGATTGTTGCCGGCAGAGTTGCATGTTGCCGCTGTTTCCTTTGTGGCTTCTCTAGGTCAGGTTGGAGCAGCGCTTTCGCCGTTTGCTATCGGTGCTGTTATCGACGGCATGGGTATTGGTGTCTTCCGGTTCGCGATAGTTATCGAGACTGTGTTGGCGTTGCTGGTATGGGTTGCTTTTGCAAGGCTGCGTCCCGCTTTGCAAGTTGTATCTACTGCGCGCCATGAGGACTGAGATTATGGGACCACTGCAGCGCTATGAAGCTATTGACCACCGTGTCAACATAGTGCTGTTCAGATGTAAAAGCGACAGCCAGACTAACTTCAGCTTTGATCTCTCGCTATATTCTACACAGAGATCTGACATGGTCATATTAATACATCTTTAGTATGATCATTGGTATGTTTTTAGAGTGATTCTTTTGTTACGAGCGACTTAGAAATAACGTCATCCGTCATATTTGCTTCCCAGATGAATTACCTAGGCATGCAAACAAGTCTTCGAGTTGTATTGATCTTACCAACTCCCAAGCCTATCTTAAGATAATGTAAGTCTGCTTCCTCTAAGCAGAAAGAATGTGCTTCGCAGTGCTTGAGAAACGCTATGTAGGTATTTTGTAAAGATTACAAAGAGGGTCGGCGAACTCACATAACCCGACAATGAAGTGACAACTAGAGAATCGTAACCTCACTACAATCCCGAGTCGTGGTCAATCGAACCCAGGGTCTCAACCGATGGGGCGGCCGCGAGATGAAGCGGTGGGGGCCTCGCCCGAAGGATGAGGGGCGTTCTGGCGCTAGTAGCCCAGCTAACCCGGGCCGCACCACGCGTACTTTATACGGCAGACCGTCCCTTCATCCTTGCATCCCAAGGTTTGATAACTCAAGTCTGTCCTCGTCGCTGCACTGTGACAACCTCATGGGAGCCATCACTCGTGTACCTTGATGGGTCTATCGCAGACACAAAAATCACACCTACGTTGTATGTACAAGCGGTACGACTTCTTCGCTTGCGATCCATCGCATAGTTCACAAGTCGAACATGCAGACGATCCTTCCTGCGTCCTGAATTGGTAACAGCTCCGGTGCCTGGGAGACCCAAGTGCGCTAGACCAACATGCTTCCAAACGGAGTCGAGCCGCGGAGGCAATACTTTATGTCCGTCCGATATTCTTCATAAACATCAGCATCCGCCTGTCTATCTCGTTCGTACTTAGCTATTGGCATCATTTCCTTAGACCCAGCATGGTACTTTTAGCAGGTGTTGCGGCTCTTCTCTTTGCTGCACCGTCAATTGCAACGGGAGCAGCCAAAAGCCTCTTTGGTGGTGAGAAAGTGGCCTGCTCAAAGTTGAAGGCCAAATACCCTGAAAGCACCTTTCTACCTGGAACCTCGGGCTACTCCTATGAGACGCAAGAGCGTATGTGTTTACAATCAAGACGCAAGCGCGATATTTGCTAAGAATCCACAGCCTATTGGTCAGCCACAGTCTACAGCAGTCCTGCGTGCGTCTTCGTTCCTCAAAATGCCCAACAAGTTTCGTACGCGGTCACTACGATGACACTCACTCTCTCAAAATTCGCTATGCGAGGAGGAGGACATATGCCAATACCTGGCTACAACGGAATCGACAGCTCCGGTGTGTTGCTGTCTTCGTCCAACTTGACGACCTTATCTCTTTCGACAGACAAGTCTATCGTCTCCGTTGGTCCCGGGAATAGGTGGAGGGACGTCTACGCTTATCTCAAACCGTCCGGACTCGCGGCTGTTGGAGGTCGTGTGGGCCACGTGGGTGTTCCTGGTCTGCTACTTGGCGGGGGAATTTCGTTTTATTCTTCGGAGTATGGATTTGCTTCGGACAACGTTCAGAAGTACCAAGTAAGTTGGCATCATCTCTCAAGTTTAGCTCTGATCTGACAGCGATAGTGCGTGTTGTCCAGCGGACTTATCGTTGAAGCAACAGCGACGAACAAGTACTCTGATCTTTTCTGGGCCTTGAGGGGTGGCGGAAACTCCTTCTGCATCGTTACACGATTCGACCTACGACCAGTGGAGGGTAGCGATGTTCACGTTGGCATCGGACAATTTGACCAGTCGCAATCGAAAGGCTACCTGGATGGTGTTTATAACTTCGGGAAATACGGCGGCATCGATCCCAAAGCTGCCATTATTCCTACGATCCTTACCTTCCCTGCGGCGAACATGACGGTTTATGCGGCTGCTAAGTTTTACCACTCCACTACTGACAACCCAGAAGTGTTTGAGAACTTCACTGCGCCGAAGCTCACCCCTGTCGCCGATTCGTACGCACTGCAACCACTTTCGGACTACATCTCAGCTACAGACGCTCTTCAACCATTAGGGCTACGCCAGGAGTTCCGCACTCTTTCGTCTGTCGTCGATCGAGACGCTGTCCAGCTCATTCACGACACCTTCATCTCGGGCGTCAATGCCAAGCTGCCCAGTGTTGGCAACCTCCAGGCTTCAATAACCTTCCAGCCTGTTACCAAGGCATTTCTGTCGCACAGTGCTAAGACTGGTGGTAACCCTCAGGGCGTGGATGTCTCCAAGGCACCTTTCTTCTGGATGGTGGAGAACTTCACTTGGACGTCAGCAAGCGATGATGTCAAGGTACGCGCTGCTGCTGATGAGATCACAGCAAGCATCAACGGCTTGCTCAAGGCAAAATCATGGAGCGCTGATTACCTGTACATGAATGATGCTGGAAAAGGGCAGCCCATTTTCCAAAGCTATCCGGCTGCCAACTTGAGAAGGCTAAAGACTATTCGTACAAAGTACGATCCTCTTCGGGTATATACCAACCTGATGCCTGGTGGCTGGAAAGTCGCCGATGCATGATTGATCAATTCGGGTGCGCTATTTACAGTGTTTAGATCCTTTCGCTACGCACATTGACCAATAAACATCGTTTGGCCCCTACCAACGCAAGAAGATACGTCTTCTTTGTGATTCTCCTTGTGACCGTGGTCACAGATCAAGATCATATGCCCTTTGAGGTTCATATCGTCGTTTATCTGCTTGTATCGCGCCTCATTACCAACCTGAACATGTTCCCCTCGATCGGGCGAGTTTGTGCGTCATTCGCAGACATGTATTCGTCCGGAAGTTCGGCGTACCAGTAGCGGGTACGAATTAACTGTGCCTCACCTTTGCCGGGTGGATGAAAAGCTTGAACGCGAAGGAACGCGAAGGAAGGGGCAGCGTAACCGAGCCGTGTCCAAAGGATTGGCCCAGCCTCCCGGGAACCTTGATTTGCTTCCCGCGAAAATGGAAATCAGTTGTTGTAACGGAGCTATTACTCCAATGAGCAACCCCCAGCAGCGATAAGATGATGTCTCATTCTCGGTTCCGTTGATTTGTCGACAGCTCCTTGAACCTGTCGATCCAACTTCTGATTTCTAGGTCATCGTGTTGCGTGCATGCATGTTGGAAGGATTGCGCCGTAATTTTACCGTCTCCTGTTTGAACCGTTGTACTTCCATGTCTGGAGGGTATCGAGGCCTTCTGTGGGGGAATTTATAGTGGCTGCCAAACACATGTGGACTTGAGACTTGAAGGGCTGACATGTATCCTGGGGCGCGGCTACGGTACTTACCGTTCCATAGGATCTAGTTCGCATGTCCCTCCCGTAGACAAATGTCTCTTAAGAATTGATCGTGTCAGTCGCAGTGTCATCCATTCCACTCTGTTAACAACGAGTAACAGCCAAAATGACGTTGAACTACACCGAACTTATGGTAAGTCAAACATCAATACATGCTGCAATTTTAACATAACACAGACGTTGATATGGTGTCTGTGGGGTGGGTCATTCGTCTTCACTGCTCTGAGAGGTTTTCTACGATGGAAGTCCCAACACCGGCTGTTCGCCGACGATCACTTCGTCTTCTTTGGCTTGCTATCTTTGACGGCTCTCTCTGTGGTTATCACACGATTGCTACCGCAGTTTTTCCTCGCTCAGGAATACTCAAAAGCAGCTATAGCAGATCCAAATACCCCAATGCCACTACCACCGGACGAGTTCGTCGAAAGGACACGCACTGCACTCAAACTCATGTTCAGCCAGATGCTTTTGTTTTGGACAACCCTATGGGCTGGTAGGTTGAGATTGCTAGGACGCTGCCGGAGAATCTTGTGCTGATATACATATGTAGCCAAATTCTCTATCCTGTTCTTCTTTAGGCGTTTGGTCATTGGACTGCCCATATACATGCGCGCTTGGTGGTTATGTTTTATATTGGTGCTACTTCTCTACCTCGCATCAATCGCCTCAAACTTCTTGACCTGCCGTCCATTATCCAGATACTGGAGCGCGAGTCAGTATCTCATTCCAACGGGTTCTATATGACTTTCTAACTTATATAGCTGGGTGTAGCGATCCAGAGGATCTCATCCGAGCCGATGCCTCCATCAAATTCGCAACAAGCGCAGACGTCGTTGCTGATGCTCTCATAATGCTTCTCCCTCTGAACCTGTTGCGCAAACTACAAGTTTCAGCCCAGCAGAAGTTTGGACTTGCTATTATCTTCTCACTCGGTACCATCATCATCGCCTTCGCGTTCGCACGGCTTGCGCAAGTCACAAAGGCTACTTCGAATCCCGACCCAGCCGCACTTGCTGATGGACCTGTGCTACTGAGTATGTGGAGCCACATCGAGTCATCCGTATCTGTCATAGTCGCTACACTGCCAGCGTTCAGATACCTATTGAATGGAACAATGGGGCGCACTCGACCAAGTCCATCTGCACCACCAGTATATGGCTCTGCAGAGCCAAGTGCGTCAGGACCGCAAAGCAAGGCCCGCCGTGTATTCAGTGGACATAGGTGGAGTCATAACACAGGCCTAAGATTGCCGAGTAGTGAACAGGGTAGAAAAGAAAGTAACGATTGGGGCAGTGAGACCGAGTTGAGACCTATGGCTGGAATTGAGAAACAGGTAAACTTCACTGTTGAAAGAGAGTTGGCGATACCACAGCATCATTAGCGTTAATAACCAACTCTCCAAGGGCTACGAGGCCAAGCTTGGTGGACCTGAAGATCGAGATCTGATGTCAGATACTCCATTCATGATATAATTTACGTTATATGAAATGCTTTCCAGTATCTCCAGACACGCAACAGCTTTTGAGAACTTATTCAAGACTGAGAGACCACTGCATTCAGTTCCAAATGATGGGGAAATACGCTGTAAGAAATACGAGTAGTATCATAAGAAATTTGGCGATTGGCGTGCGACTGATCCACTCAAGATCGGGGTTTGGTGCGGCCACCATGCGGATGTACTGTAACAAGGAATGGCGTAGCACCAATTCTTCTGGTTCACACAGTGCAATTGATACCCACTCTATTCCCGTCCTCCCTTGCTCTTCCTACCCTCTAAACCTCCTCAACAGCAGGCACCAAAACCCTAACTTGTTCAACCAAGACCCTCTCAGGACGCCTCCTCGACCCGCTGCGTGAAGCATGCTTTACCTCTACGTGTGGCGCACTGTTCCGTTGCTGCAACATCAAGTCCCCAATTCTACTGTGAAAAGCCGGTGAACCGTATCCAGGTAGGTTCCAGTGCTCGTTACCTCATACGAAGGAAAAGCTAGATAGGCAAATAGATAACAAGCCTTATCTTACAGCCTACATTAGCTTCCAAGAAGAATACCCAAGGTGATTAACAGCATTGTAGACTTCTAGGTTCTTTATCTGTATCTACATAGCTCTTAACATGCTTTGTTGTATTGGGACAAGTGCTGAGCCCTGTCGGACTAGGCTAACGATCTCGAGTCCCAAACTCTGAAAGCCCTCCGTAGTCTGTCGACAAATTGATATAATCGAAGTCTCCCGTGGAGAAAAGAGAGTGAGACTCTTCTGCTTCTTGCTGCCGCGAGTGTTGTTGATTCTGCTGCTGTAGTAGCCAAAGATCGTGAGTGCTAGGCATGAATGATCGTGGGTCGGACGACGGTGTTTGCGGCAGTAGTTGGTCTTGCGCTTCGGGTAGTGTGAATGTGGGGTTTGTGAAGTCCATTGGGTTTTGAACAGATCGAGGAACTTCCACTGGTATTGGAGCTGGTGCCAGTGCTGGTGTCGTAGGTGCCACAATGGGATCGACCGAATCTGATACAGATCCATGGTTGTCCGACGGAGAAGATCTCTGCCTTTTCCGTGGATTCCTGCTAGTATTCTGAGCAGACCGGCGTCCTTTGTTAGCTTCATTGAGACCTAGCATCTCTACAGTATCAAGAAACACGCAGCCTAGAGCTCTACGTTGGTCGTCGTCAAGTGCAGAGAGGCACTCTTCCTGCGCGAGGTTGCGCATGAACATGAGGCGAGCATCAGCTCTAGATTTCCCTTCAAATCTTGCTGGCTGTCGTGCTGGAATGACTGGAGTAGAAGTAAGATTCTGAAGACAGTTTTCAAGAATACGAATCAGAACCTACATGGATTTCCCGGAACCTCATCGTCCGGCCGCAACTTTTTGAAGATCATATACCACTTCCACAGTTGAGACCTGGCGGTCTTCTCACTTGCTTGAGACCCATTTATATAAAGCAGCAAATTGCTCTCCACTCGTTGCTTTAATAGCGCCATGGTTTCGCTATTATAGAGGGCTGGCACCTTGTTCACCTTCATTTCCTTGTCAATACGGTTTCTGAGGTCGTCGATGGCTTCCTTGCAATCGAGAGATATTCCAAGTGTTTTAGGCTCCCGATTGAGATCCTCCAGTTCTACGGAGCTCAGCGTTCGACAAGGTATGACGGCAAGGACGTGTTCTTCTAAAAGTTGTTGGTTACAAAACAAACGTTTACACCGTTGGCACGCATCAGGTAGCCGATGATGTGGACCTTGCCGTTTTTTGCCCCAAGCGTGATCACTATTGAATCAATCAGCATTTACCTATGGACGACAAAGGGTCCGTGATCCGACTTACTTCCACAAGTGCCGTACTTCAGTTGACATCTTAACATACTTCGCAGTACAGGCTATACCGGCGGCTGCATACCAGCAGATGAGGGGAAGAGGTTGTGGATCGGAGGCAAAGCTTGCCCTTATTACATCCTTGATCCTCAGATTTGGATCATTACTGTTATTTGATGCACCTATGACAGCACTTGATGAAGTATACCCGTTGCCTTGAAGGCCATTTCCCCCTGTAAGGCCAGATGCAGAAGACGCAGGGGTATCGCTCTTCGTACCACTGGTGGTGCTTCCGCTATCAGGGGAGTCGCCGTATGGAGAAGAAGTATCTGCATCATAGCTGCGGACATATGGGAGGAAAGAGGGTAGTGCATCGCGTTGAAAGCAGTTCCATGTATTGTTGTCACACTCACTGTCGCTATCGTCATCCACTTCTGCCTTTCCCAGTTCGTCGGTAGTATTGTATTCTTGATAGTCCATCAGCTTGACCTCGTCTTTGCTGCTGGAATGAGCTGAGTTCTCCGAAGGTGGAAGTATGAGAGGAGTGTGTGGGTCGGACATGATTTCGGGCGCTTCGATGGTTGGAACGGGTTGCTGGTCCATGATTGCGTCCATGTTGTCGTGATCCATGGCCGGGCTGGCACTCATACCACGGGCTTTGAACACTTGTCGGGATAGTGGTGGCGGTTGCAGCTGCTCGTATTGTGGTCCTGCCTGGGATTTTCTAATATCACTTGGAAAGGACCCTAACTGCGCGACACCGCTGTTGGTCGGAAGGGTCGGTGGCTGGGGCCCCACTGTATTGTACACATTAACGTTGATGTTTGTTGCGTCGTACTTGTGAACTTTAAAAGATGTTGAAACTCCATTGATCTTGTGAGCCAACAGAATGGGAGATCCCTCGGGAAGCTGAGACCTCAATTTTGACAGGTAATACCCCAACTTGTGTAAGTAATGGACCCCAAAAGATGTTATTTCGTCCGAGTCTTCGCTGGAATACCATGATCTCAATCGGCGATGACCTTCTGTTCCGCCATGAATACCGTGTCTCAGGCGTTCATGAGAGCGTAACCGCCTTTGAGTGTCGAATGATCTGTGGCAGAGTTGGCAACACCAGCGGAGCTCTCCTCTTTTTTTCAAGAGTTCGTCTCGTGATCTTGAGTGTGTGCTTCTGGTTGCTTCACTTCCTCCATAGCCACTATCTGCGGAGATGCTCGTTCCCTTCAAGGAGAATCGTGATTCGAATACTGGATCTTTCGGTGTAAGACTATCGCCCAAGCCATCAGAAAGAGGTCCATTCGAGAGCCACCTCGAAGCAGACCTATCCGAGGGTACGCCAAGGACAGAATTAAGTATGACTTCTCTATTGGAGGACTCTTCCCTGTTCGACCGAATGTCTGTGGGGTTGGAAGAGACTCGATCTAATGGCGGAGAGAAGTCGCGGGAATCTCCATAAGTTAGCTTGTTGAAGCCTCCTTTTAGGGGTGGATAATGACGGAGGGGTGGAAGATAGAGATCGCGTGGAGGATTGAGAGGGCGTGGTTCATGGGAGATGTCTGAATCGTTTCGTAGAACAATATCGCTCCATCTATAAGCAGGCACTTGATTATTAGACTCCAAGGGTTCAGTAACATCGAACTGATCTATGCATGGATCTCGAGACTCTGGTACAGAGACGGATGGCAGTGCCATCTCCTAAAATTTCAGCCAAAAGTGCTCGTGAAGGCGACGTTGCGTGTGTAGGAAGCGATAGAGAGTGTGGCATGATGAGGGGGCGAGGGAAATCGGGAAAAAATGGGAGAAGAGGACGCGACACTCAGCAGGCGCGACAGACAACAGGCGCGAAGTTTCGCGGTGGGCGGGCATTGGTCGAGACGGGTGCACCCAATGAGTGTACGTCACAATCGTACTCGAGCGCCACACATGGCTCAGCTGTACCCCCAGACCCCGCATCACGTTTCAGGGATCAGCCACACGATCCCCGCTTACACACACACTTCCGCGACACTTCGCGCCTGCGTTTGCGCTGTTCGAGCTCTCGGTGCTCATTCATCTCGCCTCTTTGATCCATCACAGGTCTCGCGCGTCGTCCAAATGTAAATCGGTTCCCCCTTCTTCGCGCCTCGTTTCGCTCGCGTTCGTTCTTTCATATCTACTCTCGCGGGGGCTCCATCCCAACATCACGAAACGTCGCAAGTCATGTAGATATCCATAAAAACACAGTGCCAGAACCATGGTTCTGCGCCCTGTCAGACCAATTCTCTCCTCCTGTCTATCATCGACTTTCAAACAAATACATCGCCTTCGTGATCTTATCTCCCCGTGATTTCTTCCAAGCCCCTCATGGCATCGTCTTCTTCATCCTCGTCTGTGGGCCAGGGATTGAATCAGCCCCAGTCCGAGCACTTCGAGTGGCTCATCGTCACCGGAAAGAAGCGCGGTCATGTCATGAACAGCGTCGAGATGCACAGTCACATGACCGGTACCACCGCTGTGCACGCCATTGGAAAGGCCTACAAAGACACTAAACCAAGCAACTCGTGATGCCACTCTCGCGCTGAGCTCGAAGATGCTGTTTTGTCGTCCGTAAGTCTGTTCCCCTTCCACACTTCGCCGATACTCCAACAGCCTGCAACCATCCTTTTTGGCATACAACTAGTCTTCCGAAGCCTACCCACGGAGCTCTGACCTTCTATTCCAGTTCACTGTCAACCCTGATCCAGAAGCTCAAGACTACCCTCGTACCGTCATCCTCAAATCCAGCACCCCACTCCTTGAGCTCACCGAAGCCTTCCATAATCCCTCTCTTCTCAACGGCACCGACACCACTCTCATCCGCGAGAACTCGCAATTCAACCCCGCAAACGGCAAAAGCCCCATCGACGGCCACTATCATGCCATTCTGATTAAGACCAAAGCCAGTCGCTGGCTCATCGCGGCAGGAGTGGCCGGTACCATCGTCGTTGCGGCGGTGATTGGGTCTGTCGTTGGGTACATGGTTGGGAATGCTGAATTGGGAATTGCGGCTGGGGCAACTGCTATCGCTGTTTTTGCCTTTATTCAGGGCTGCTTGTTATTTTTGAAATAGATGGGGTGATGTGAGCTTTGTGCCGTAGTAGGACAAGTTCGATCGGCACCAACGATGCTGTACGGATCGGTAATAGACTTGTTGACGTCGTATGATTCGTACTACCCTAGTGAGTTGACCGTAGGTAACAGTAACTCTATCGGGCTTCTATGCTAGCTTTATAATACTCTAGTAGTTCTATTTCTCTTGCTCGTACTTCGCGCTATTATTACAATCTCTAGCTATTGTTTGCGCCACGCTAAGCAGTGCGCTACAATGACGATTAATAACTTGATTAAGAAATTCGGCAAATAGCTCAACTTGCGACGGTTCCACAGAAAATCGGCGTTTGGTGCATCACCCGCATATTTCGCGGACGGGTTATACGTCCTTTTCTGGAACCCCAAGTGGGGCGAGAGTCCTAAGGTCCCATGGCACCGGTATCAGTAATCACACACGTGCCCAACGCCCGCTAGGCGACCGAAGAAGTTTGCACAGGGAAGATCTTTCCGACAAGCTACAACAAATAAATCTGGTGAGGGTGACGATCGTTAGCTGCAAGCTCGACTAACGTTCCAAAGTCTTTGGATTGGGCTATTTCTCTCTACGAATTCATATCTTAGTTCACGAATTATGCTTTCTTAATGATATTTCCACAATGCTAATCAATGGCAACTTCTACTGCGACACTCTGAAATGTGTCTGAACAACCTTTTTACCGTCACGGTATCTGTCCAACAGCTCATTGACCTTATCCGCATCCAGCCCGTCAATGACTTGGTACTTGAGTGGCACCACACTCCCATCCAGCAGGTACCCTTCTAGCCCCTCCCAAAAGGGGCGTACGACATCTGGCTTCAACTGCGAGATGCCCAGCACATTCTTCAACTCATATCCAGCCTTCTTTTCCCCAACAATCTTGGTCTCGTCGACCGTTCCCACCGAAGAACGCAAGCGCGCGAGCTTGCCCCTCTGGGAAGAAGACAAAGCACTAATCCCGACATGTTGTCCTTCGGGCGGATTGATGGCGTCAAAAACATAGACCAGGTCGTCGCCGACGACTTGTCTGATGCGATGGATGACTGCGGCATCGCCACCGTGTCGGTCCAAAACGACTGTCGCACCCCACTTCTTTAGCTCCTCTTCCTCTCCCCCAACAACGACGATCCGTCCTATGCCCGCCATCTTTGCAAATTGCACGCCGAATCTACCACAGTTGCTTCCGCCGCCCACAATAAGGAGCGTAGTTGCCGCATAATCGAACGACGATCCGCTGCTGCTCCAAGGGGCCGGAATATCCAGGCCACTGGTGGGGTCAAACAGGCTTATGAGTGCAGCAAGAGCGTTTGTAGGAAGTGTAGCAGCATCGTGATCAGAAAACGGGTGCGGTATTCTTGCCGCAAAATCTTCCTCAAGGACAGCAAATTGCTGCAGTGCTTTTTGCTCGTAGGCCAATTGACTCTGGCTCACCACTCTATCGCCCACGCTGAACCTGGTGACTTGCTCTCCAATCGCTGTCACGACGCCCGTGATGTCGTTGCCGATGATGGCGGGTAGTGAGTCTTTTATGAGCAGCCCTGCGTCCCGCGACTTCTGGTCGTGAGGGTTGAGGCCGGCTACTGTGACGCGGATTTGGACTTGTTTGGGTCCTGGGCGCGGGATGGGCCAGGATGATGTTGAGGTTATGCGGCCGCCAATGCTGGACACGATGAGCGCTGTTTGGGTAGTGGAAGGAGAAGACATGGTTGGACGTCTTGCAAATAGGTAGGAAACGGCAGTCAAGAAAAAGATGAAGAGGAGAGTATGGTTTCTTGTGAATCCCGCTTGTAGCATCGTGATCTGTTTAGAGAATGAGTGGGATCGCTTCTTTATACTCGATCCAGCTGATGTTTGGAAAGACGCCCGGCGTGAAGGGGGGTTGGATTGCTAAGCACGCTTGATTACGTGCTCGAGCTAAACAACACACGATACTCGGCACGATTTTTAATCAACGAAACAATCAAAGAACGGTGAAGAACCTGAATTTCCCATAATGAATCAAAAAAAAAATTCATCTTCGCTAACCAATGTATGCTGGCTCGTCTCGCGAGGGTATAGTGATATAACAAACGCCATAGGAAAGAAAGACGAAGATGCGACCCACGCTTAACACATCGGCGCAACTCGCCAAACATTGCGTCCGAACATCTAAGCTAAGGAAGAGGATAGTTCGCGATGAGAAATCAGAGCCGGCTGATCCTGCGGGCGGAACGCTATTGCGCCAGGACCTTGTCGACAGCAGCTCCAGCCAGGACCTGAACGTCTTGTATGCTTCCCTTGACGTCGATGATCTCGACATCCTTCAGCTGCTTGCACTCGGTCTCGTCAGGCTCCTCGAGCGAAGCGAACTGGCTCTCGACCATGGAGTCCTTCATGTAGTGGCCTTTTCTGGCGCGGACGCGGGCGATGAGGGTCTCCAGGTCGGAGCGGAGATAGACAAAATGTACATTGGCATTTGGGTCTTCGTCGTAGAGTCTGGCTGTGCGGATGACGTCGCGGTACTTCTTCTTGAGCGCACTGCAAGTGACGACAACACCCTTGGCCCCGTCCTTGAGCTTCATAATAGCTTGGTCTCGTAGAAGAATGAGCCAGTCCCAGCGGTCTTCGTCGTTTAGAGGGATACCGGCGGCCATCTTGTCGATGTTTGCTTTTGGGTGGAACTAAGAAGACGTCAGTACATGGTCAATGCGGGATGGGTTTCAACTAACCTCGTCGCCCTCAATGTAGTCGAATCCATAACGATCTGAAAGGTGCTTGGCAACAGTGCTCTTGCCGCATCCTGCTGGGCCAGTGACTATGAGAATGTGGTGGTGGGTTGAGATTGTCATTTTGTCCGTCTCGGTAGCGTTCAGGACGGACATTGACTTTGGTGAGCCGGTATTGGAAGCAGGCGGAGAAGGCGGTGATGCATATTGTATGGGCTTTGGCTGCGATGGATCCACGGTTTGCATCATGGTTGTAGAAGCGATTGAGTGAACCGGTTTGCGGAGATGAGTGTTTGTAGAACGTTTGGGGGGGTTTTGTATGACGCTAGTGATTGAGTTGGGCTCACAAGTACGTTGGGATGGGTGTTCGGCTGGGTTAATATACGATATTGCGATACGGGTGAAACGAGATGTATGTATGCAGGCGGTAAGCAACCCCGACGTTTGCTGGGGCGTGGTGCATTTAAGGCGTCGCACCTGGGGAACACGTCTGGAAATTTCTCCCGCAAGCCATGACGGCAACGGCAAGGGTGGGATGCGATGGAACTTGTCGATATTCTGGGAGCCAAGGCACGATGGCACGCTCCAAAAGGGAAACAGCGAATGGCAAGCAGAAGCGTGCAGCTAGCCTCAGTAACAGGCCCAGCCGGCTGTAACAGCCGCGAAGCCGGGCCTGGAGAGGATGAACTTCGGCGTTTGAAAGTGGACCTGTCGCGTGTGGGATGACGAGTAGCGCATCTGCCTCCCCGCATGCCGACCCCAGTCCTTTCTCAGGTACTTATGCATCCCACACGCCAATAGCCACGACGTGCCACGGCAGGATTGAGCTCGAGGCGCCAGGCAACTGCATGGCGCTGTGGTGAGCAGGCTGCGCTTCGGCCAGGTTTCTGGCAGCAAAAAATAAATCTTCAGCTCACCGCTTTGACTCGTGGTACGAAGCTGTTTGATAATGGCGCGTGGGGGTTAGGCGAGGAATCCGAAAGGACTTCGGGCCGGTGAGGATCGAGGCTGCGAACAATGTTTGGGGCGGGATCCGGCAGATGCACGGAGTGGGTGCTGGGCGTGTGTGGTGCAGACATGGGCATGTGTATCCGATCAGTCAGTCACGACGCGCATGTATCCGATCAGTCACAACGCGTTCGTCCTGTGCAGGTGGTCATGTCCGCCCACTTCGGAACGGCAATGTGGAGGACCATGTGACGACAAACATGTAGTGAGACGTGACGTGGATCCAGTCAGGAGGAAACAAGGATGGGTGTCGATATGACGAGGGCGTTGATGATGGGGAGGAATCGGGGGGAGGCGGGGCAGGCTGGCGTTCACGTGACGGGCTCAACGGGGACAAGCGCGTCATCAGCTCCTGCGACGGCATCTGGGGCGCAGCTCTCCACGACCATCCGAAGACGCGCCAACACACTGGGACATCTCGCGCATCGGGATAATTCGCCAACACATCGGGCTATCTCGTCGCCAGCATGTCGTACTTCTTCTCCACCCCCGTCGACATCGACATTGTGCTCGAGGACCTCGACGACCGCTCTGCCGTGGATGTGAAGCTGGACAAGAACCGCAAAGAAAAGGTGCCGCTGTATCTGGATGGCGAATCTGTCAAGGGCCAGGTCACGGTAAGACCCAAGGATGGCAAGCGGCTGGAACACACGGGCATCAAGGTGCAATTCATCGGTACCATTGGTAGGCGCCAACCCATGCATTCAACTCATTGGGTACAAGGGAGGATGCTGACATGATGCGCCAGAGATGTTCTTCGATCGCGGAAACCACTACGAGTTCCTCTCCCTTGGCCAGGAACTAGCAGCCCCCGGCGAGCTCCAGCACCCGCAGACGTTCGACTTCAACTTCAAGAACGTGGAGAAGCAGTACGAATCATACAATGGCATCAACGTCAAGCTGCGCTACTTTGTGCGCGTCACGGTATCGCGGAGGATGGCAGACGTGGTCAGGGAGAAGGACCTCTGGGTCTACTCGTACCGCATCCCGCCCGAGACCAACAGCTCCATCAAGATGGACGTCGGCATCGAGGACTGTCTACACATTGAATTCGAATACAGCAAGTCAAAGTACCACTTGAAGGATGTCATTGTCGGCAGGATATACTTCTTGCTCGTCCGGCTGAAGATCAAGCATATGGAGCTGTCCATCATACGGAGAGAGACAACAGGAGCTGCCCCCAACCAATACAACGAGAGCGAGACGCTAGTGCGCTTTGAGATCATGGACGGCTCGCCCTCGCGAGGTACGCACAGCTACGCATCTGCAGTGAGCATGACTGACAAGACTCCAGGTGAAACCATACCCATCAGGTTGTTCCTTGGTGGCTTCGACCTGACACCCACCTTCCGCGAAGTCAACAAGAAATATTCCACTCGCTACTACTTGAGTCTGGTACTCATCGACGAAGGTATGGCGCACCCACACACATGCACAACTGTGACTGACTGACTGACTCTTCGTAGACGCGCGCCGATACTTCAAGCAGTCCGAAATTGTCTTGTTCCGACAAGCACCCGAAGGCTTGACATTGGCCCAGGAGCAGAACAAGCTAATGGCAGTATCATGAGCATCCGGATCAACGTGACCAGCAGGAACACTTGCGAGTTGGAGTCGTTGGACGGGGCTTGGCTAAAGGCTTTCTATCCAACGACCATCAGAAAGCTCGGACCTCTAATTTGAGCCCGATATGTACTACCACACCGCGGCGGCGGCGGGAGCTTACGCAGCCACTGGAGCTCTTGCAGCGCATGGATGTTGCATGTGTAAGTACAGCAATGTAGCAGCCCAAGGATGGTAATGTCTCAGGACAATCATCGGGTAAACTTAGTAATGTTGGCCGAGTCTCCACATAACGAAGAAATAGCGCGTGCGCCTGCATGATCGTGGTGACAAGGCGACCTCTCCATCCGTGTGCCCCTAAACGCTGTATTCATCAAGTGTGGCTGGTGTGATGTTTTGGGAACAACCCGTTAGAGTCAGTGTCGCCGCTACTTCGCACGGGTCGGTGCGGCTCTTTGAGCCTCAAAAAAGCTCATTGGCCCTGGTGGCTCTCGGGTGATCTACATCTGAATTCCCTTCGCATTTCATGCATCCCGTCCCTACTGCACTTTTTTGGCGAGTTTTGATGACTCTTTCGTTTGTCCGAAACTTATATGTCACTCCATTGCCATACTTGTGTCAACAACAAAGATTGCAGGTCCGCGGAACGTCCGCGCGACCCACTGTAAAGATGCCGATGTCCAGCAATCTCACGATTCACACGACGCCACACCTTACCGCAACCCTGAAGATCGAGATGAAACCCTTCTTATCAGGACATGTCCACTAAAACTTGGGTACCGCAAACGGTACATATCCACTCAATGTGAAAATCAACTCGAACGATTGGCAGGAACAGCACCGCGTCAGCGAGAGTCCTTCCGAAATACTGGGGGCGTGGGCGAACTAGGCAAAAGCTTCCTTGCAAGTGACGTTACGCATCGAATTCTTCACTTTCCCATGGCTTAATCGCGGACGCACTTTTTTACCATCTTTTCCATTTAGCACCTCCCATGCCCCTGGTTTACTTCCAAGTTCCCTACACATCGGATATAAGCTTGTTAGGTAGTTCTCATCCCGAGACATGGAGGAGAAAGAATACAACAACAAAATGGCACAACAACAAAAGAACCAAGCCGAAGACAGTAAGTCATCCAATACTCCCCAGATCTTTATGTCCTAACATTCACGCAGCGCAACAACAAAGCGATGCTGAGCCTCAAAGACCAGGAGACATGTCTCAGCGGAGACAGCAAACTACGGCATCATACCAGCCACCGGGTCTTGCACAAAACCACTCCAGTGTGGGAAGCATAGCAAGACGTGAAACTGCCCACTTGGAGTCAAGACCTGAAAATGTGCGGAGCAATACAACTCGTCTAGATTCACGACCCGACCATGCGCGTACCGATACTGCTAACACAGGCATGACACACATGGGCTCTATTCGGAATACGCCGACTGCTCGAAAGAGCCGGGCAACCCGTGAGAATGTCAGGCAAGAACCTCCTCGACGACCTGAGAAGAAGCAACAGCAGGTCGTGGACGTTGACAATGACTACTTTTCGTTGAACCCGTGGTACAATGAGCAAAAGTCAAAACCAGTCTTTGGTTTGGGTGCGCCTCTACCACGCACTGTTCGCAAGGGTATGTGGTGGGGAAGGGGTGACCTGCGCAAGTCTTTGTACAAGGTCGACGACCAAGATGCAGAAGGCGTCGCCCAGCAGGACTATGCAGATGGAAAAGGTGAGTCTTCGCGGACCTTGTTAGGTTGATCCCCACTGAGAGTAACGATTCTAATCAGACCATGGACAGTTTTGGAGGAAGATTCGGAAGACTCTGAAGTCACGCTCGGCGGTGGACAACGCCCGCAGCCGGGACGAGATCCCTCTCAGTTCCAGACCACTGTTGACGGACGCAAAGTCAACATGAGGCGCGTGCCAACAAGTGAAGCTGACCAGTTCCTCGGCCGCAATCGCGGTCAAGACCCTGGCAGCCATGAGCATCATGATGGTCAAGACCGTGCGCCTATCAACGAACACGGTTTGGACTACGCTGATGGACGTGGCGACCGGCAGCACTTTGGTTTACAAGACGGTCTTCCACCACTGCAGGAGCATGATACGAATGCTACCTCTCAAACCAAGCAGGAAGAGAAGGAGATTCAACAAAGAGAAGAGACGGCGGAACGCGAGTTCTACAACCAGTACCGAAACCCTATCGCTAGGCTTCGGGCCAAGTATCCTCAGGCGCCCGCCGAGTTCCTTGCTGTGAGTTCAGCCACCTATCGCGTCATTGATCTCGCTAATACTAGATAGACGTTCGTCTACCTGCTTATTGGACTTTGCGTCAATCTTTCTGTCGCCACGTCCCAACAAAGCACCGGTAGTTTTGAAACCCAAGCCTGGGGATGGGGCTTCGCAGTCATGATCGGCATTTACCTTGGCGGCGGCGTCAGTGGTTCGCATCTCAGTCCCACAATCTCCATCTCTTTATCTGTCTACCGTGGTTTCCCCTGGAGAATGGCCATCGTCTACATATGCATGCAACTCCTCGCTGGACTCGCCGCCGGCGCCGTAGCATACGCGTGAGCAGTCCCACCTACCTCCACATTACCTACATTCGCTGACAACATGACAGACTCTACGCTGACGCCATTCACCATGTCGACCCTGGTCTGACTCTCGAGATGACCGGCAAAGCGCTCTTCCCCCAGGGTCCTTTGTATTCCACCGCGACTGGTTTCTTCAATGACTTCGTCTACATGGCTGTTTTCGTCTGTGTCATCTTCGCGCTGGGAGACGACCAGAACAGTCCTCCGGGCCAAGGAATGACAGCCTTTGTCGTTGGCCTTACCGGCTTCGTCACCATGGTCGGCTTAGGTTACAACACCGGGTTAGGTATTTCGCCCGCCCGTGATCTCGGTCCAAGACTCATCGGACTGTGGGTTGGATATGATTCAGCGTTTGAGAATGGGTATTGGGCATATGGAAGCTGGGGCGCAAGCATTGCAGGCGCGCTGTGTGGTGGTTTGATGTATGATATTTGCATCTTTGTGGGTGGTGAGAGTCCGGTTAATTATCGGTGGCCGCAGCCGGGGGATATCAAGTGGAAGGTTATTGAGAAGAAGAATCATGCAAAGGAGCAGGCGAAGGATCAGATCCAGAAGGTGGCATGAGTAGCCCGAGAGTAATTTTTGTAGCAATTTCAGAAGAAGAGAGAATGCTGGTAAACACACTGTTGCACAGGTTCCCATGAGGAAGTATCTCGGTTGGCTAATATAGAGGGTTTGTTGTGGCTCCGGGAATAGAGGGGCCGGAAACAAAGCCGTGGCGCGTCATGTTCCCAAGCACGACTACGCGACTCCATCATTGGGCATCTCACGATACTAAGTTTGACAAGGAAGTCATCATAATGTGACACGCCATCGGAAGCTGCACCCAACGACGACTCTGTCCTGCGTACAAGCTTCCTGTCAGTGATCTGAGATGCCATTCCACTGTACCTAAGCAACCACATCCCGTCGCACGTCGTCTATCGTCACCACAGTCTCCACAATATCACAACACCAAGCACATATCGTACCGTTTCCACCGTCATCACAACAACAACAACAACAACAACGGGCAAAAGAGTTCTAGATGGGTACGCCACCATCGGAAAACGACACAGCAATGTCGTCAAAACCCGAACCCTTACAACCGCAAGAGCAGAAACAACCAGATGGCAAGATCGGCATACGCAAACGCCTAAAGCACTTTACGTTCGCCTGGTTCCTCTCTACAATGAGTACGGGGGGTCTGGCTCTAGCCCTCGCCGATACACCGCATCAATTCCCTGGTAATAACCCTTTCCCCCCACATCCCTATTCTCCGCCGTTCTCACCCGTAAAGAACGAAGAAGCCAACTGACATGCCCCCTCCCCACCTCGCAGGCCTCTACCATATCGGTCTAACCATGTTCTTGGCCAACATACTACTCTTCCTCGTGCTCTGCACCTGCACAGTCCTGCGGCTCATCCACCATCCCGCACACTTTGCATCCTCGTTTCTGCACCCGCAGGAATCCCTCTTCCTAGGCTCCTTCTGGCTCTCTCTGAGCGTGATCCTAGCCGGTATCCAAACCTATGGTATCACGCACGGTCCTTTTTCTTCTTCTTCTTCTTCTTCTTCTTCTTCTTCTCCGCCCTACCCTTGGCTTGTCGACGCTGTGCACGTCTTATATTGGGTATACGCTGCTTTGTCTCTGGCGAATAGCATATTCCAGTACTGGATCCTTATTGCGTATAGTAAGCTAAGGCCGGTGCCATACTTGCCTAGTATTTTCCTAGCGGGGTATTCAGCCATGTTGACGGGCACGGTGGCGAGTATGGTTGCGGGCACGCAGCCGGCCCATCGCGTCATGGGGGTTGTGGTGAGTGGGGTTGCGTATCAGGGGTTTGGATGGTGTATCAGCTTCATTGCTGTTGTGGCATATGTGAGGAATGTGTTGGATCTTGGGTTTCCTCCTGCTGCGCAATTGCGCCCGGGCTTGTTTATTCCCGTGGGGAGTTGTGCGTATACGATTGTTGCGTTGATTGGTCTTGCGAATGCGGTTTCGGAGGATGCGAGTTACTTTGTGAGACATCCTGCTGCGCCTGAGATACTACGTGTCCTAGCATTGTTTACAGGTATCTTCCTGTATGTGTTTGCTTTCTGGCTTTTTGCTATTGCGTTTTTGGGGAACGTCGGTGTTGTTGGTAAGATGCCATTTAGTCTGACGTGGTGGGCTTTCATCTTCCCGAATGTGGGGTTCACGCTTAGTACAAGTGTGCTGGGTAGAGAGTTGGAGAGTGAGGGCATACTGTGGGTGGCGAGTGTGATGACCGCTCTACTGGTAGTGACCTGGTTGGTGACGCTCGTGGGATGTGTCAGGGCTGTTTGGAAGAGAGAGATTGTATGGCCGGGGAGGGATGAGGATAAGAATCGTTGACCACAGGAATCATGACCAATGCCGAAGATGATGATCAAAATAATCATGATTGATCTGATCCGTCCAAGAGACGACGCATTCAGCTACTTTACCACGTGGTATGAATTTATCCAGCCCCACGGAGTAATTTACGAAACGTCGCGCTACAAGATGAACGACGATTGTTCATAAATCTTTGCTCGAATTCTTTGGTTTCTGAGAAACTCGATCACGTTATTGGTTGTCCTTGTCTGATCAAACATGGCTCTACAATCCTTACGGTCACTTAATTCGGTCTGCAGGCTTGGTTTTTTTGAACACTAGGTAGGTTGGCCGACCAATTTCTCGCACTTCTCCACACAAGCATCCATGTCCAATGTTCTCGGATAAGGATACATCCGCTGTGGTAAGGCCTTGGTACCGGAAGTCGGGTTAAGAGGGTGTTGTACCCGGATACAGGCACGCCCCACTCTCGCCAACGCGATGTGCGACACACGATCCGCGGCTCCGCAACCTTACGTCTTTCAGAAAGACTCTATATCAACGACATATCGCCGTCGCCGGCTAGGTCGCCTAAAGTTGCAGTGCACATATCCTACGGTATAGTGTCATTAGCATATGTCGCGTCTCATGGCACTCACGACGTCAGTCATAACCTGGAAATTTTATATGAAGGTGGGCACATGCTATCAGTCTGTGGCAGGTTGAGTGTGAGAAACATACTTTATTCGGTACTAACCGATGCGATTGCCTATGGAATAGCGCAAAGGTGATCGATAATGCTACATCGCTACGCTTCGAAGGTGTACAGGCGTTGTCATAAAGGCCAAACCCTCACATTGCCTTACCTGCCCACGCGTCATACGCATCATGTGTTCTGGGATGGTCGATATCCAGGATGTCCGTATACGGCTGAGTTGCACGCAACATCATTCTCGTGACAGGTACGCCGACAGCGACAGTACGGCCGAGGATGTCTCTTTGCTCGCCCTTGACGAAACACTGCTGTGGAAGCGGAATCACAAAGTCCGCATCGGTAATTATCGCCTCGACTGTCGCCAAATGTCCAATGACCAAAGCATCTAGCTTCGCGCCCGCTCCATGCAAATCTCCGAAGAGCTGGTTGGCGAAAGTTTGCAGCTGCATAGACAATATCGAGGAATCCCACTCAGCGTTGGAATTGTGTTCGCTTCTTCCCAGCCGGTCGCAATCCGGTACGTGGAGGTGTAGCAGGCGCAGCTGTGGAAACCTCCTCAAAGATTGCTATTCTCACGTCAGATATCTTTCTCATAACTTCGTCTGTATGGACATGCGAAATCGTATGCACTCACCAACAGTGTAGTATACTTGTTTGTCATGTCTCCACCAAGCATCGCTGACTCGCCACAGTACACAGCGAGCTGTTTCACCTTACTCAAGGAGCTTACAGAAACCCACTGTAATAGATCCGATGCCACTCCATCCCATTGGAGCGTCTCGAACTCATCGCAATAGATGCTCAAGCTCTGTAAGTTGTGATTGGAGAGACTGAGCGCCTGCAAGAAATCCAGTAGGGTGATCTTGAGGGGGTTGGCTTCTGGGTAACGCATATGAAAGCTCTCGATTGGGCCGCAAGCGGTGATGATGAGTTCCATAGCATCCCTGAGGTCGATTGTCTCACGCTCATCAAGATCGGGCACAAACTCGACGGCGATATGCTTCAACTGGAGCCTGTTCACCTCTCTACTGCCAGTATATATGCTGTTGGCCAGATCCTTTATGAAAAGGTGAAGGCCGCAGCTCTCTACCAGGAGTTCGAGGCGAATCAATCGATGGAAGTCGATGATCCGAGATAGCTGCTCAAATGTGTCTGAGAAGTCCATCTTAGATAATCTGAGCTCTTCGAGTCGAGGTGTATAGCGGGTGAGGTCGTTCTGTTCGCCCACCGCCCAGGCATATAGCTGATTCTCGGTTGTCTGGGGATCTGCTGCCGTCAAGGATAAACGCTTCAAGTTGGCGCCTACGGCTTCCATGTTATCGAATAGAAGGGCGATATTTGTTGACTCTGTGAGATATAGGTCGAGACGCTGCAGACCGCAGAATATTCGTGGTAGTTGCTCAGGCGTTTTGGGATCAGTATAAAAGCTTATTTGCAGGTCTTTCAATCTGTGCTGATATCCATTAAGATGCGCTTTCACAATCGGTGATAGAGAGCGCCGTGAATGGTAACTGACCTCATTAGCTTTTCCAAGATATCAGTTCATACTCGGCGTAGCTTACCATAAGCGCTCCAGTTTGTCATGATGCATGATCTGCAAGAAGGAATAGGCACTATCATCTTGCTGAGACTCGGTGAGATAGCGGTTCCAAGGTCCACGATCTGGAGCGGGTAGGCGGATACGACCGGTATGGATCGATCTGAGTTCTTCGCCAACGGGTTCATCTTCTACGATTAGCTCCTTCGTGTACTGAAGGTTCAAACCTGCGCCTGCTAAATTGCAACGCTGCAGACACTCAACCGCTCGTTGACTCCATAAACGCAAGTCAATGCGTCTATACAGTATCGGATTGGCGAGGACGCGAAGAGCTGAACAAGTCATACACAGCGATTTGAGATCTGTCTGTGTTGTGATCTGTCGCGGTCAGTATGAGCGGCCGGAAAGATTACCCGCCACTGACGTACATGTTCGACCACTCTCTGCTGAAGCTCCCCCGGAAGGTCTAGGATAGACATTGTGTGGAGCATTGTGAGGTTTACAAGTTGCACAAGACTCTGACGACTGGAAGGATGTGCTTGCTTTCATCAGATTTCAATGATGGTTATATATTCAATCGATGCCGACAGACTTGATGCCGCAAGAGCAATGCGGCAACGATGAGGTATGCTTCTCTACATGATCAGGTTCCGATCGAGCCATTGGGAATGGCCCACTTCCTGGACCATAGGAGGGTTCATCCTAGAGAAGTCTTAGGTCTGACTTCGGTCGATACGCGCAGTCGCTTCGGATCTAGCATAGGAAAGCTGGGGACCAATTGAGGGTGAGGCGAGTCAAGGAGCCCGTTAATGGGATGAGTGCGCTAAGTTGAAAGCGCAGTGCACTAAAACGTGGGGCTTGGTTACCTACATACTGAGAACTTATCCTACGCTTGCGATCCAGATAGATTTGATCTACTATGGCACGAAGAAATGAAGCCAACATCCTGCGATTCACTCTCTGGAGCTATGCCATTATGCCGTGGAATGGGGATATTGACCGGAAAGTTGCAGTGAATGCAGCCCTACAACGTTGCGCATGAACATCGGTGGTCGGGGACGTGAGGCGGGGAAACTGCATTCCTCATCCGCCCCCATTCCCCACCCTACCCAATCAAGTAAGCACTTAACGTCACCGACCATGAAACAGAATGCATCTAATGCCTGAGAGGATCATCGCCAAACGGGATCACACAAGAATTGTTCTAGTACTCGAAATCTACACTCCGCATCTCACTCCGCGCATCTGGGTGCTGCAGGTGACACGATCGAGCAGAGAAACGCAGCTTTGCCTAGGAGGTAGCAGGGGTTAACTTGACAGCATCATTGTAGTGCACACTCCCAACAATATTGCGACTGCTGAGTGTCGCGTAGCGGCAACCGCCGCTAAGTTCGCATTGGATGGTGTTGCATGTGTCTATTTCCTGACGGCCCGATGAAGAAGAAACACTTGCATACGATGGACCGCAATGTGGCAACAAGCCGCATTGTAGCGACCCATCTTCCAACCACATGGGTCCTCCATGGGAATCGCGTTCGGTGACTTGCCCCAACCTATCGCAATGTTCGGAGACCCGGCATCATGGAAATCATCACGGGAAGTTATCTGACAGCGGTATTTGACCTGCCTTATGGGCTTCGCACGAGCTCTTCCTTCGGCGACGATACCGAACCTGATTATGATCTGCACGGTTGTGCAGCTTCTGACGCTCTGAAATTCGCCATGGCCCAGCCAAGAGTGGCTGGTACCCTGATCCGCATCTCAGCCTCCCTGGGACACTTCTCATGATAGGTTATTGCGGCGGAGGGAAAGTTTGTGCTAAGGCAGGGAGGCAAGAGCGACGCGTGTTTGCCATGCCAGCTCATCTGTTCTGGCCTTCCCGATCGGCTGAACCGTTCAAGACCGCAGGTACACGAGAATACGTGAAATTTGGTATCTTACAGTGGTAGTAGTACGCTGTCTGGTATCGTGGACGTTACGAAAAGCGTCGTCATCAAGCGCTGACTGTGGGCCTAGCAAACGAAGCGTTCGAAGCGCAGCGGCACTATATCGAACGGGACAGGAAACAAAGAAGAGCTCGCCAAACATCGGATCAGTCCTAGACAGATTCAAGCTCGAATGCCGCGTATCTCATCGGCTTCGAACTCGATTCAGGGTGTTCTCGTTCGCGGATGCCGTCCAACGCCGTCGGCTTCGAAGTCGAACCCGAGGTCTCGTCCTCGTCGGCTAGAGATCAGCACCTGGCATAAGAGCTGCAGAGGCTCTCAAGATTATTGGAACTCTTCCGACCATAGGTACTCCGCAATAGCTTTATTTTCGGCGCACTACGTCCCGTTCGGAGCGCTGCCGCGGGAGGTGGGCCGTTTACGGTTACTATGGTAAGACGGCAAGCTGGACATGGATTACCTTGTTGTGTTCTCTAAGAGATGGCGTGGGATCCCCCTCGTGTTGCGTCGGTATCGTGATGGAATGTGGGGTGGGGAATCTCGGTCATGTTGGGGGAGGCGAGGAACCATCGGCGTTAATAAGTGGATCGGCAGATCAGTGGATATCCAGGGCAAGCCCAATCGACAGTCTACCGAAAGAATACTCTCTATGCGAACATCGTAAACGCGGAAAGACCATACCACGCGGTATTACTTCGGTTTCTCCTAGCTTGGCACTTTGTCGCACACCTCGTGATGCGTTAGTATCATAATGAAGCGGAGATGCTAACGCTGCTCGGAAAAGCAAGGACGGCGGAGATCCAATCCAGTGAAAAGCACTCCATGTTTACCAGCTCTCCGGTATCGTGTGGAGAGTACTAACATTTTTCGACGTGAAGAATGCATAGCTGTATGTGAAGTTATCAAGAACTCCCACCAATCACGCCCTTTGAACATTGAGACCCAACATATGGCGTTACAGCATTCTATCGACA